AATAATCATGAGAAAGTAAACATACAGTACCGAAAATAAGTCAAAATTCTCTCTTTTACTACTTTTCTCAAAAGTTTTTTTTCAAAAAAAATTTTTTGCAGACTTTTTACTTTCTCATATCAAATTTACCATCCTTCTTCATACAGTTATATATCGCCAAGCTATTTTAACGCAACTTCTTTTTTCAAATAAAAATTCCCACGCCTAACGCGAAGGAACGCATAAAGTGGTCAAAAAGTGACTGGAAGATGACAAGATGAATATTATTCTCGTTTTTTCGCGGCCAAACACGTTGCCCAAAGACAAATGACTTATTTTATGTTGTTTTACATCCCACTGAACTTGGTAATCAATGTGTTTTGGAAGAAAAAATGAAGTTTTGAAAAGTGGAAGTTGGGTGGAAGATTTGTAATGTATTTTGCACTGAAAATCTTCCATTAAAATTCACTTTTTTAAAAAGTCTTAAAATGGCCTGAAAACACGTTTTTTGACATTTTTGGACGTGGAAGTTCTGTGGAAGATTTTCGGTGCAAAATACATTACAAATCTTCCACCAAAATTCCACTTCTAAAAAGTGATAAAAACGTGTTTTTAAGCCATTTTAAAATTGGAAGTTTGGTGGAAGATTTTCAGTGTAAAATACATTAAAAATCTTCCACTCAACTTCCACTTTTCTAAACGTCCCAAAACTTCGCCTACACACCAAAAAAGATACCAAAACAATCTAGCCTGGTAAAAAAACAAAAATCTTTCTTTACTGAACAAAAACAGTCGTGAAAACCATAGTCATTTCTAAAAAAGAGCTAAATAAGCCTAAAGAGTAGGCTTATATAACGATGATAGTAATAAACCATTAAAGAGCTCTTGGTTCCAAAAAAAACTACTGAGAAAAACCATGTTTTAGTCTATTATTAGTAACAATGAATGCGATTCTGAAGTGGCTTCAAGACTGTGACGATAAAACGAAGTGAGACATACCAAAAAGCGTAGTAGCTAGCTATAGCTCTTTACCTACTAAAGCTTACACAGTAATAGAATTTTTAAGCTGTAAAGAAAGTTTTGACCGTTTTTTCACTATCCCGTAAGTGATTTTTATCATTTTTTATCGGTAAACCAAGTGATGACACTTTGTAAAAAGTGGAAGTTTGGTGGAAGATTTGTAATTTATTTTGCACTAAAAATCTTCCACCAAACTTCCACTTCTAAAAAGTGTCAAAAACTCATTTTTAGGCTATTTTACGACATTTTGAAAATGAAAGTTCAGTGGAAGATTTTCAATGCAAAATGCATTACAAATCTTCCGCTCAGCTTCCACTTTATTGAAGCTTTATTTTTTATCCCTAAACCAAATCTTTGAAGATTTACAACACTGTAAAGTAGTGGCACATAAAAGATTGGTTCTCAAAAACATGCATCACATAAAAAATGACAGTTTAACCCAAAAAAAGTCATCAAAAACCTTCATTTTTAGGCTTAAAAGTCAATGTTTAAGGTAAAAACAAAGAAACCACTTTCAAAAAATGTCAAAAAGTCATTTTTAAGCCATTTTAAGACATTTTAAAAATGAAAATTTCGTGGAAGATTTTCAGTGCAAAATACATTACAAATCTTCCACTCAACTTCCACTTTTAAAACAATGAAATCTCGTCCGTATTTTACAAAATCCTAATTATAGTGTAATAAATTATAGTATAATATACTATTTTAATCTGAAAATTTGTTTTTCCATCAAAATTCCCCCATCTTAAGACAACAAAAACAATTTAAAACAGCCGGCTCTGTAAGCAGATTTCCGAGCACTTGACGTAACGAAGTTCGACTCTAAAACAATAGCAAATTCTGAATGAAAATGAAGTTGAAATAACGTTTTGAGACTTTTCCAGTTTGTAAAAATGGCAAAAACTTTGTTTCCAAGCCAAACTATAGCTTTATTAATCATGAAATTACACATTTAGAAGTGGAAGTTGGGTGGAAGATTTGTAATGTAATTTGCACTGAAAATCTTCCACCGAACTTCCATTTTTGAAATGTCTCAAAATGACCTAAAAATGACTTTTTGACACTTTTTGGGATGGAAGTTCAGTGGAAGATTTGTAATGCAATTTGCACTAAAAATCTTCCACATAACTTTCATTTCCAAAAACCTTCAAAAACACGTTTTTAGGCCATTTTAAAAATGGAAGTTGTGTGGAAGATTTCCAGTGCAAAATACATTACACATCTTCCACTCAACTTTCATTTTTTTAAAACTGCCAAAACATAACAAAATTCAAAAAAAATAAAATATTTAATTGTGATCCCTTATAAAAGCGCCAAAAAACGTCAAAGAAACAAACTACATAAAAAAATGTCATACGATATGGCCACTTATATGTCTACAGAGTATATAAACATATGTACAAAGCGATCACTTGAAAGGAGAGGAGAACATCAATTATTGGCAATTGGGACTGGGAAAAATAGAAATTTTACTTTCTTCGCAAGAAAATTCCTTAAACAAGCCCAAAAACATGTTTTTTTTTAAATTAAGCCTAAAATTGATCCAAAATAAGCCTAAAACGCCAATTTTCAAAACTAAGCCTAAAATTTACACAAAATAAGCCTAAAATTAAAATTGTTGCAATTAAGCCCGAATTAGTCTAAAACAAGCCCAAAAACAAATATTTTAAAATTAAGCCTAAAATCGCCCCAAAATAAGCCAAAAATCAAAAAATTTAAATTTACTTTTCTCAACTCGAAACAATGTAAAGTAAAGCAAAAAACGTGTTTGAGTATTCAAAAACGGTTTTTTGTATTCAAATTGAGTCGAAACAGATTAGCCCAGGTATTCATTCGGAGGGGTCATTTGATACGTGAAACCCGGCTAAAACACACATGCATACAATTCTTTTGTTCCGCGACAGATTGCTAAAGGTCAGGGTGAAATTTTGAAACTAAATTACATCGAATTTTGTTTTTTAAACACCCCTTCATCAGAAAAAAATTTTTTATAAAGAAAGTTGAACGTGGTCCCCCTGTTGATAATTGAAAAAAATTTGAAAATCCAAAAAATTTTTTTTGACTTCCTCTTTTTGTCAGCACTGCCAGGTAAGGAATTTTGGTCTACCCTACCCTATGGGACGAAGAATTTTTTTTCACAAGTGGGACTTGCGACACAAATTTTTTTTTCCAAAATCTTCAACAGGGGGATCACGTTTAATTTCTTCAAAAAATTTTTTGTCCAAAAATTTTTCTCAAAAGACAACATCATCTATTTCACCAATTATCTACCATTTCCGCTTCAAAACAATCCAAAAACATCCCCAAACACTCAATTTTTACCCAAAAACGGCCCTATAACAATATCAATTCGTTCAACCAGGCAAAAGAAGCTTAATCAAGGTTATGATCATTCAAATCTACTCAAAAAGACGAAGAAAAGCCAAAAAATAGTTAAAACAATCAATTTTCTACCTAAACACCAAAAAATAATAATAAAAAAGGGCTTACCAATCAACGTTTGATATTGTTTTAGATTGAATCAGGTCCTGGTCCTTTTCTGTGCCGTTCTGTGAAGTAAACGTCGTCTGAAATATTCAAAAAGATAAAATACAGTCTTCTAAAACATAATTCGACAGTTTATATCAACATTTTAAGTTTTAGCTACAAAACAAGTCCAAACTTTCAACTGTTACCTAAAATGTGTCTAAAACAACATCAAATTCCTATACCTATTGAATAACGCACAAAAAGCTTTCAAAAAATTAGAAGATGGTTAAATTGTAATGTAGAATTATAGTGCCAACCTAAAACCACAAAAATATTATAAAAAACGTCTTACCAATCGGCGTTTGATATTGTTTTAGCTCGGATCAGCCAGAAAATCTCAAATTGAAGTCGAAAACCCTACGATACGAACCTAAAAGTAGATGATTTACATAAATCTAATTAAAACGAGTAATTTGAAAATATTTTACAAGATATAAAAAGCATTTACATTAAAATAGAACGATAAATCAAGGACAATTGCAATTGCCAAGACTATCGCAAAAACTTGGAAGAGAAAACTTGCGAGTTTTTTGCGAAAATGTCGCTTCGCCGCGAAGTTGAAGGATGAAAATGCCGATATCTCGGCCAATTCTTTACCAAAACGGTTGTTGTTTTTGGCTACAGATGACAAATTTTTAGGTACAGATGATGAATTACATCAAAAAATACGTAACTGTGCCCATTTTGTAAAATTTAATATGAGAACTCAGTTATTTTGCGATTATAATATTAACCTACTCAAATTTTGGCTGCGCTGCGTATTAGTTTTTGCCATAACTTTTTTATTTTTGATTATTGTATTGTGAGGTTTTGAAATTCAGATTCCTGCTTGAATTCCAACCTAGAAACATAGTTTTTAAGGCAAATTTGATTCATGTCAAATTTCGAACTGACCATGGGGAGCGAAAGGATTCTTGAAGAGGTGGGTGGGGAGAGAAAAATACTCATATCTTGGCTGGTTCTTTACCGAATCGAGTCATTTTTTAGACGTGTAAAATGACAGTGGAAAAAGTATAAGTGGCCTCATTTTGCCAAATTCAATCTTGTAAATTAGTTATGCTGCAAAAAGTATATAGTTATGTAGTGAATTACAGATCTGTTGGTCAGTCCAAACTGTTTTTGGCCATAACTTTCTTATTCTTGATTTTTGATTTGTGAGGTTTAATGATTTGAGTTCTTTGTTCAATTCCAGTTTAGAATTGTAATTTATAGGCCTGGGTTGAATTCAGTCGCAAGAGTTAAGGCTTGAGCTAGAGCTTGAGCTAGTGCTTGAGCTAAGGCTTGAGCTGGGACTCGGGTTGAAGCTGGTTTTTAAGTAACAATCAATTTTTATAAAATTTAAGTTAAGTTGATTTGCTTTAGTTTATTTTACAGTAACATATTATTATATTATAGCCCATAGGACCTTAACAATAAGATTTTTAAAACTTCTTGGTGATTTCAAACTTTTAAAAAACCAAAATTTTGAAATTTCAAACAAAAAGTTCGCTGAGTTCCCTGAATTTGGACGTCGAATCTCGGATGACATCGTTGACTAGAAGGGCGTGGAAGACGCATTCTTTGAAAATGGCACCAGCCTCCTCATTGTCCCTGATCAATAGTAGCAATTGGCCGAATCTTTTCATCGCATTCGTTGGACTGTTTTCTTTACAGGACTCGTACAGCTCGGACATTAGGCGACGCTTCTCTTCGGCTGCTTGGGGGAGTTGGAGACGGTAGGTTACTGTAACAAATTTGTATTATTTTAAGTTAGAGCTCTGGGCTACGGATGGGGTTAGGGTAGTGCTGGAGCTAAGGCTTGGTTTTGCCAGTCTAGTGCACTTTCATTGATATAGTCTAATCCAGCCCTATAGTCTGATCTGGGCTGGGCTTTGCTAGGGAGGGGTGGGTTAGGGCGCGAGCTAAGGCTAGGGCAGCTAGAGGTAAAGCTAATGCCTGGGCTACGTAGAATAGGACTGGACTGGACTATGCTGGGCTGGGCTAGCGCTCTGGGCTAGGGTAGGGCTAAGACTGAGCTAGGCTGGGATGTGCTAGGCTGGAGTGGGCTGGGGTTGAGTCGGCCTTAGCAGGGTTGAGCTGGATATGATCCGAGCCGAGCCGAGCTGGGCCAGACTAAACTCAACTGAATTCAGCTGAGCTAAATTGGGCCTAGCTTGACTGGGTTAGTCTGGTCAGGGCTGTGCTGGCTTTTTTGGTCTTTCTCCTATACCCTTTCTTTTGCTGGAGGGAGGGGAAGATAGGATAGGGCTGGGCTAGTACTCACATTCATTACTCAGCACGATGCCGACCAAACATAGGAACTCTTGGTCGTTCAGTTGAAGTCTTTTGGCTTTTGAAATGGTTTTGGCCGCTTTTTTCTTTAAAGGTTCGAAAATTCTGAAACAGTAAAACATAGCTCAATATTTTTTATACAGCCTATTATTTTTAAAATTGAAAAAATAAGTTAATGCCGAATGTACAGTACTCACTTTTCAACTTCTGAAGGGTTTTTTAAATTTACAAAACGTTCTTTCGCCTTCTTGTTATCTACATAGTCGTGCCTTGTATAGGCTATATAATCAGGCTTTTTCGAGAAGAATACTGTAGAAAGATACATGGCTTGAAAGAAACTGAAGGCGTGGGAGAACAACTTTATGACTTCTAACTGAAAATATCATCATTAACATTATCCTACCCTACCCTACCCTACCCTACCCTACCCTACCCTACCCTACCCTACCCTACCCTACCCTACCCTACCCTACCCTACCCTACCCTACCCTACCCTACCCTACCCTACCCCTACCCTACCCTACCCTACCCTACCCTACCCTACCCTACCCTACCCTACCCTACCCTACCCTACCCTACCCTACCCTACCCTACCCTACCCTACCCCTACCCTACCCTACCCTACCCTACTCTACTCTACCCTACCCTACCCTACCCCACCCTATCCTACCCTACCCTACCCTACCCTACTCTACCCTACCCTACCCTACCCTACCCTACCCTACCCTACCCTACCCTACCCCACCTTATCCTACCCTATCCTACCCTACCCTATCCTATCGTACCTTAACCTACCGTACTTTACAGTATCTTAATTTGCCTTAAAGTACCGTACCCTACCCTACAGTATCATATCTTGGCCTACAGTACTCTGCTTTACAATATCTTACTTTGTCTTACATTATCCTGCCCTTTCCTACCCTACCTATCCTACTATTACTCTACTTGCCTCCACTCTACTTTACTATATTTCACTCTACCGTACTCTACTGTACTTTACCCTACTCTGCCGTGCCCTACTCCACTGCAACTTAATACATCTTCCCCTACTGTATCCTATTCTACAGTATTCTGGCATATTCTCTGCAGCCCTATCCTATTGTACAGTATGTTACTCTACCCCATCCTACTATCTTCTACCTTACATTATCTTACTTTATCTCTACCCTACCCTTTAATTTACCTAACCTCAGCTTACTATATCTTACCCTAAATTATCTTACCTTTTGTTCTTTCTCTATCGTAGCATAAGTGCAGAAGTAATCCCTGAGGAAGGTGTACATACTGGGCACTAATGCCATTTCCATTTTCAATTTCTTCTCAATAGGTATGACAATCATCTCTTTCCGATCTTTGAGCACATTCTCAACAAACATAGTAGAATATATGGCTTCTTGTGCTATAACATATCTTTTGTAGCCTATATCAAGCCTATCTGCTATCTTCGGTGGATGCATTATATGATTCAGTATCAATGAATCGGAGGCGTGGGATTTACTATTAGTTTTGGTAATGTTTCTGTTGAGATCACGGGGTTTTTGTACTCCTGAAATGGCACAGACTGGTTATATTGCTTATGGAATAGAGCTGAAAGGTCTAGTCTTAGCCCTACGCTAACCATGGCCTATTCCTAGCCCAAGCCATTCAGTCAATCGGAGTTTGAAATCCTTTATATTCTAATAAAGGGCACAGAAATATTTGAACAACCTTAATATTGCGTTGTTCGAATAATTCTGTGCCCCTTAGTATTAGTTTGTTCAGATAATTCTATGCCCCTTAATATTAGGTTGTTCAAATAATTCTGTGCCCTTTAATATTATATTTTTTAAATAATTCTGTGCTCCGTAATATTAGGTCGTTCAAATAATTCTATGCCCCTTAATATTAGGTTGTTCAAATAATTCTGTGCCCTTTAATATTAGGTCGTTCAAATAATTCTGTGCTCCTTCATATTAGATTGTTCAAATAATTCTGTGCCCTTTAATACTAGGTTGTTCAAATAATTCTGTGCCCCTTAATATTAGGTTGTGCAAATAATTCCGTGCCCTTTAGTATTAGGTCGTTCAAATAATTCCGTGCCCTTCAATACTAGGTTGTTCAAATAATTCTGTACCCCCTCTCAAAGCAAGTTTTTGGGTTTAGGGGCACAGAACTATATGAACAAACTAATACAACACTGTCATGGCATCACCTTGGACTGGCCCAAGGTTCTAGAGCCAAAGCAAACTTTGTACGGAACCGGACTAAAAATTGGGCTTGGTTTAGCGACTTTACAGGTCTAGCAAGGTCTAGGTCAAGCAATTCAAGCTTTTTAAAAATGTTTTCGAGGCCTAAAAAATGAAAAAAATAGAAAAAGTAACTTACTATGTGCTTTCATACCCATTTGTAAGCATTTTGCGTAACGACAACATCGGCAACAGTTCCGGACATCTAAAATCTTACATTGTATAATGTTAACATTGCGATTTAAAAAGAAAGTTTTTGCCATTTTCCGTTTTGTAAAGAAAGTTCTTGCTATTTTTTGTTTTGTAAAGAAAGTTTTTGCTATTTTATATTTTGTAAAGAAAGTTCTTGCCATTTTTTGTTTTGTAAAGAAAGTTTTTGCTATTTTATATTTTGTAAAGAAAGTTCTTGCCATTTTTTGTTTTGTAAAGAAAGTTTTTGCTATTTTATATTTTGTAAAGAAAGTTCTTGCCATTTTTTGTTTTGTAAAGAAAGTTTTTGCTATTTTATATTTTGTAAAGAAAGTTCTTGCCATTTTTTGTTTTGTAAAGAAAGTTTTTGCTATTTTATATTTTGTAAAGAAAGTTCTTGCCATTTTTTGTTTTGTAAAGAAAGTTCTTGTCATTTTTCGTTTTGTAAAAAAAGTTCTTGCCATTTTTTGTTTTGTAAAGAAAGTTTTTGCCATTTTCCGTTTTGTAAAGAAAGTTTTTGCCATTTTTTGTTTTGTAAAGAAAGTTTTTGCTATTTTATATTTTGTAAAGAAAGTTCTTGTCATTTTTTGTTTTGTAAAGAGTGTTTTTGCCATTTTCCGTTTTGTAAAGAAAGTTCTTGCCATTTTTTGTTTTGTAAAGAAAGTTCTTGCTATTTTATGTTTTGTAAAGAAAATTCTTGCCATTTTATACTTTGTACAGAAAGTGCTTGCGTCCTTAACTTACCAGAAGTTACCTCACAGTCGTTTTTATGAGAACATTTGTACTTTCGGCCTTCTACAATTGACCTTCTGAAGAAGGCACTGCCTGAAAAATAATGTTTTTATACTCTAATAAGCCCTACCCTACTCTACATTAACTTACCGTACTATATCTTACCTTACTTTGTCCTACCCTGCTCTAGCTTTTCCTACCCTAAATCCTATACCCTGCTCCACCTTACCACTAAAATGAAAAGACAACACTTTTCATAAGCCGAAACTTACATGCCCTACAAGAAGGCACTCCAAAGTGAGGCCCATCCGATGCAGCACCACATATTTTACATATTAATTTGGATGTGTCGTCGTTTGACGTACTACACGTGGCTACACTTGAAGGGGTGCTGGACATGCCCTATGCTTATATATCTAAAGTCAAGATTTCAATATTAATATATTTTTGAGTCAAAAAGTGTGTTTTAAAACGCCAAACAAAAGCTTAGGGGTTCACGATGTCAAATTGTATCAAACGAGAATATTATAACAACTTTTTTGTCACGTTTATAATGAGTACAATTAGAAAGCACGTTTGGATACAGACTTCACACCTACTCAAAAACTTGACGAAATGTAGAGTATAGTGTACCAAATATTGTATTTTAAAAAGATAAAATGACAAGCTAAAAAGTCGTACGCTACAGTATAATACCCTACTTTACCCTAACCTATGCTAACCTAGCCCACCCTATCATATCCTAACTTACACTTCCCTACCCTCACGAAATGCATGCTATAGAAGTATGACTTTAAAATTTAAAACGTAATACAACATGCTATGATATAATACCTGCATAGAAAGTGCATGTATGACTATAAGATACCAAAAACTAAATATTAAATAAAAAACTGTAGGTCCCTAACAAAGAAATTTTACTTTATTGAAATTTATAACTAAAAAAACATATTTTAGATACTATAATAACTATAAAACATTATAAAATGAAATTTTGTAGCAAGTAAAAAACTAATTTGCACTTCATAAAGTGTAACAAAACTGTTTTTAGATTATAACCTAAACATTTCGCCGTTTAAACTTTAAACATTGATAAGTTACTTATGCATTTGTGAATTCAAACTACAAATCACTCACTTATTTTTGGTCTTCTACCTATAAACTACAAAACTATTTTTGGCTTTTGGGCTGGCGTGGGTATATAAATTAAACTAGACCCAAAACGAAGCTCACTATGCAGGACCAGAAAAAGATTTGAAAAGGACCGGGCCAGACCAAAGAAAATTTTAAAGGAATTAGGCCGGCAAGTATGGGCCCAAAAGACGGGTTTCAAACCAAATGCCAACCCGTCAGCCAAACAGGGTCCGACCCTTTTACAGAGCCAAGTCAACCCTTTCGATATTATAGAACAGTCTACATTGATATTCAATGACTTTAATGTCATATTGACATATATTTGCTATTAACCCCAACGTCATTAGATTAGATCTTTCTTTGTCAATATTAAAAACTGATGAGCATGTCCAAGTTCATTATGTCTAGGCATGTATTATCTAAAAAAGTATTAATATATTAACTGAAAGTACAAGTACAAAAAAAGCGCTACGATTGGTGCTAGGTGGGGTTTTAAAAAACGAATTAAAAGGTTAAAAAACATTCCTTCTCCCCGCCTTTAGCCTTGTAGACCAGTTATTGATAGAAATATCGCTAAAACAAACAACACGAGTTTAAAAGTTTCCCTTTCGGAAATTAAAAATATACTTATTGAAACATAAAACATCAACTATGGTTTGGTGTTTACTCTTCATTAAAACATCAAAAACGTTTGTAAAATAAACGCAAAAACAGACCAGAACAATTGAAACTAAAAACTTAAAAATGAAGTTTCGTAAAAATTAAAAGTGTCGACAGATCTTCAAGAAGCATAATTCTAGACACGAGAAACGGGCCGGGCCGGCCTTGAGCAAAATTTCTATCAGGACGGACTTGAAAAATGGGTCCGGCCCGTTTCTCATGTTTACTTAATTCTTAACTAAAATTTTAATCTCATCTTACCTAATTCAAAATTTTAAAGTTATAAATTAATATCTTTACCCATGATGACACTTTTGAATTAATCTTCTTAATGTTACATTTGCGAACAAATATAATATCTTTACGCCTTGGTAACCGTTATGTTACTTGGAAACAAATTTTCGTGACTTGTGGGACAAAAATAAACTTTTTAGGCAAATACAATTAGTTTTATAAATTTATTACCAATAAGAAAGTAAAGTAAAGAAACCAATCCCCCCCCCCTAACTTAAAAATTTCTTTGCGTAACCCGGGTTTGAATTAATTCTTTAAAGAGCCAACCAAGCTTAATTTTTTCTCTTAGTTTACATCTAAACTCTTGGCCCCACAAATGTCAACCATCTCCGTTTTACTCTTTTCATAGGTCTAACTTTTTATTGCAGAACTTAAGCTGGGACTCGTATTAGGCCCAGCGTTATCCCACACAATCTCGCCCCATTTCTAGCCGGGCCGGCTGGAACTAGGACAAAGGCTTGGGCTCTAATTGAGGTTAGAGCTGGGGCTGTCCGGGGTCAGGCCTAGTGGGCCACTTTTGGATCTAATTTTGCACAATTATTCTCCCCCCTACGCTGTCCAAAAATTTTTTTTATTTTTTAATTAAAAAATTTCTCCCCCCAACTCCTCTTAACAGCCTTGCCTATAACAAAACCACTAAATTAAAACAAAAATAGCAAATTCAAAATAAACTCTCGAAAAGTGGAAAAAACCCCGAGAATGACGATAAACTCTTTATTCTCTCCCCCCTCCCCTCTTCATAAGGCGAAACATTTTTTAATACCAACGACACAAACCACGTATACAAAAAGGTAGTCGAAACTCTAATACGCGTAAAAGAGCGACCCCGCTTCACATGTTCAGTGAGGTAGGTTGCACAAACAAAACCAAACTACAGTCTCCTTGTTCGTAAGACTGAGGTTTTTCGTTGGGAAAGCATGTTTGTTTAGGCTTAATTGGACAGAATTTTGTCCATGTTTTACATGATTTATAGTTTGCTAAATGAACCCTAGCTCTAGCTCAAACCCTAAATTAAGTCCTATCTTATCCCTAGCCCTAGCTCTAGTTCTAGCCCGGATTCCTAACCCTAGCCCAGAGCCCTAGCCCAGAGCCCTAGCCCAGAGCCCTAGCCTAGAGCCCTAGCCCAGAGCCCTAGCCCGGAGCCCTAGCCCGGAGCCCTAGCCTAGAGCCCTAGCCCAGAGCTTTAGCCCCAACTTAAACCTAAGTCTTGGTCTAAGCCCTCGTCTAAGCCCTAACCAAAGATTTAACCCTAGCCCTAGTTCTACCTTAAGTCTAAGCCTAATTCTTAAACTAAGCCCTGATCTAAGCCCTATCCTAGCCCGGAGCTTTAGCCTCAGCCTAAGCCCAAGTCTTGGCCTAAGCTCTGATTTAAGCCTTAACCTAACATAACCCAGAGCCCTAGCTGAAGCCCAAGTATTAGCATAAGCTCTGGTCTCAGCCTTAAAAAAATTTTTAGTTTGCCTAGAGCTCTAGCTCAAGCCTAAGCCTATGTTTTAACTCTATCTCTTGTTTTAACCCTAACATAGCAACTTGTTAAAATATACTATTATACATCTCTTTTGAGGTTATGATTTCTAAATACGACTACAAAACCCAGAGCAACCATTTGCTTTTTATCTAGGTTTTGTCGTATACAAACATATAACGTTAACTTGATATTGAACTTGTACTTTATAGTTAAGTACGTTTGTGACAATTTATTTCTAATTAACATTATCATGCCTCTACAAGGTTTATCACGCCTCCAAATAACACATTTAAAACATTGTACTATTAACAGTAAAACAGTATCTAATCACCAGACTGGTCGATAATCTGTCTCAACCTCACGACAGTTTCATTGACAAAGTCATCGTTGATGACAGCCATGCATATGCACTCTCTGCCAATTGCACATGATTCTTCTATGTCTCGTACCATCAAAAGTAGTTGAACATATCGTATTTCAGCCTTATCTTGGCCTTTGCTTTGGCAATGTTGGTACAATTCTTGGTGCAATTTTTCTCTTTCTTCTGTTACTGGTTCTGTTTGGTGCTTCTCGTAGACTAAAGATATGTCGTTTAAAAAAACCAAAATTTTTGTTTACTAACTACAAGAACTTTCTTTACAAAACCAAAAAATTGTTAAAAAATTGTTTTTTAAAAATGAAAGTTGAGTGGAAGATTTGTAATGTATTTTGCACTGAAAATCTTCCACTGAAATTCCATTTTTCAAAAGTCTTAAAATGGCTTGAAATGTGTTTTTGACACTTTTTGAGAGTGGAAGTTTGGTGGAAGACTTGTAATGTATTTTTCACTGAAAATCTTCCACCAAACTTCCACTTCTTAAAAGAGTCAAAAAGTCGTTTTTAAGTCATTTTAAGACTTTTTTAAAAATAAAAGTTTGGTGGGAGATTTTTAGTGCAAAATACATTACAAATCTTCCACTCAACTTCCACTGATAAAAAAACCAAAATAAAATCACCGGGCGTATTTTACAATATAAGTATATAAAATTTACTCACTATCTCTGTTGATCATTATAGCCAACAAAAGCAACATTTCCGTTTGGTCCATTTTCAATCGTTTCACTTTTTGAATTACTCTGACCAGTTGGAGTCTGGCTGGGGTGAAAGTTCTGGAAATAAACAATGATTCCTTTTGTAAAATAGCCTTTGGGTGGCTCTAGTCCTGTTCTTATTCCAGTAGTAACCAATTAGTAAGATGATGACAAAAATTTTATACGTTGTGTAATATGACGTAATCTACATAAATGATGACTAAATTTTAAAACTACTTTACCTAACTCTGTCATACCTTACCCTACCTTAGCCTACCTCACCCTACCCTACCCTACCTTAGTCTAACGTACCCTACCCTATCCTACCCTATTCTACCTCACCCTACCCTACCCTACCCTATCTTACTCTACCCTACTCTACCCAACTCTTCTTCTTTGCTCTACTTTATCCCATTATACCTGATCTGATCCATCCTTTTATACTCTACCCTACCCTATCTTATCCTTACACCAAAAGCTCAAGCTTAATTATACACTTCTTACTTTATCCTCTGCCCTGGATCAATGGTATTTTTAAATCTGATAGCCAAGCTTTTTCTATCACAATAGTCGCTTCTCGAGAAGGCCACAGCATCTGGTTGATCTGGGAATATGATTGAGGTAAGGTAGGCGGATTCTAAGGTCCGGATGTATTGAAAAAACTGAGTTAGGAGTTCAATCTAAAAAAAATTCTTGTAAAGAAAGTTTTAGCATTTTTTAAAATTTTTTTTTGTAAAGAAAGTTTTTGCATTTTAAAAACACTTTTTTTCTGTAAACAAAGTTTTTGCATTTTTTTCAAAAATTTTTTTTTTATTTTTTTGTGCTGTAAACCAAGTTCTTGCGCTTTTTCGAAATTTAAAAAAATTTTTTTTTGAAACAGCCCTGCCATTTTTTACCTTATGTTCCTGTCCAATTTTAACATAACAACAAAAGTAATCTCTCAGAACCTTGTACAATGTAGGTAACACGTCACAGTCAATCTTGACCTTATCTTCTACTGTTAACACCATCATTTCTTCTTTATCTTGTAGCACATTTTCTGGAAATTTGGCTGAAAATATGGATTTATGGGCTATCTGATAGTAATTGTAGCCGGCTTCTAGTCTTGATAGTACACTTGTAATAGGTATAGGCTTGTTGACTGGTTTTGGAACCCGCTTTGCTGGTCTTCGACTGGTTATGTTACGGTTTAGGTCTCGCGGTCGTTGGACTTCTAGAATTTTGATGTTGTAGTGATAGTTATATAAGCCTAGTCCAGAGCCCTAGCCCAGAGCCCTAGCCCAGAACCCTAGCCCAGAGCCCTAGCCCAGAGCCCTAGCCCAGAGTCCTAGCCCAGAGCCCTAGCCCAGAGCCCTAGCCCAGAGCCCTAGCCCAGAGCCCTAGCCCAGAGCCCTAGCCCAGAGCCCTAGCCCTAGCCCTAGCCCTAGCCCTAGCCCTAGCCCTAGCCCTAGCCCTAGCCCTAGCCCTAGCCCTAGCCCAGAGCCCTAGCCCAGAGCCCTAGCCCAGAGCCCTAGCCCAGAGCGCCAGCCCCGAGCCCGAGTTTAGAGCCGTAGCCTAGAGCTCTAGTTCTAACGCTAGCTCAAACCTTAGCCCGTAGCATAAACCCGCGACCTACTGTAGCCTGTCGTGCCATACCGTGCCTTAGGCTTACTTTGCAGCCTGTTACACACTTACTTAGTCTACCTTTTGCTCATCTTAGCTTACTCGCAAATGCTCTTTATAAGATAAAAATCATAAACTTTTAATACCGTACTATCAGCTTTCATTCCAACAGCCAAACACGTGGCGTAGCGGCAGCTTCTGCATGAGTTTCGTACATCTAAATATACAAATATAAATCTTATCAGTTAGGCGTCTATTTTACCTGAATTCACGGAACATTTGCCCTTGTGATTACATTTGTACCGACGATGTTCCACTATTGATCGACGGAAGAAGGCACTGCCTGAAAAACCAATTTTTCAAATAAAATTACCCTACCCTACCCTACCCTACCCTACCCTACCCTACCCTACCCTACCCTACCCTACCCTACTCTACCCTACCCTACCCTACCCTACCCACCCGTTTTGGCTCTAAATATGTATAATACGGTACTTACAAGCCCTACAAGCATAAGCACCAAAATGTGGCCCATCAGCGTTAGCACCACAAATTCGGCACAAACTCTGTGGTGAATCTTCGATCGTACTCACTGATGCTCTGCTAGTTGTATCAATTGACATTTTTGAACTCTAAAAATTAAAAAAATTAAAAAATAAGTTGTTTTTCAAAAAGAACTGCCTTAAATGACCTAAAAAACTCTTTTTGACACTTTTTTAGAAGTAAAAACCAAGTGGAAGATTTGTAATGTAATTTGCACTGAAAATCTTCCACGCAACCTCCATTTTTTAAAAAGTCTTAAAATAGCCTAAAAAAGTGTTTTTGGGTATTTTTGGGAGTGGAAGTTGAGTGGAAGAATAGTAATGTAATTTGCACTGAAAATCTTCCACCTAACTTCCACTTTCAAAAACCTTTAAAAACACGTTTTTAAGTCATTTTATGAAATTTTAAAAATGGAAGTTGAGTGGAAGATTTTTAATGTAGTTTGCACTGAACATCTTCCACTCAACTTCCACTTTAAAAAAAAGTGTGATTTTTGGGAATGTGAAAAGCCGTCAAAAAAAGCATATTCAAACCATTTTATGGCTGAAAATAGCCTTAAAAAACGTTTTCAATTCTCAAAATAAACAAAACTAATCAATAAAGTAAAGGTTTAGTAACAAAAAACACTAAAAACCAAAAAATTTTTGTTTTGAACCGTTTAGACGTTAACAAAAGCACTACTTAAACCGTGCGCATCAAAGATAGTTTTGATCAGAAATTGCAAAATAAGTGAAGAACCGAACGATCTGAGCTTCGAAAAAGATTCGCCAAACTTCAGTCGCTGAAGAGAGATTATTGAAAAAATTTTATTTCAAAAAAAAGATGATGTTTAGCTAAAAATATATATAATAATACGTAAGTTTTTCACATCAAAATTGACAAAAATGGATTTTACTATTATAAGATACGTTATGAACTGTAAAAGCTACAAAGGACTGGACCAAAGTGCCATAATAAACAGAGAGTCGCACTGTCCAAGTAGTTCTTAGTAGGAGTTCTATTGGGTAGTTTAAATAATCCTGCGCCTAACCCCAAAAATATGCTTTGACAAAGGGCACAGAATTATTTGAACAATCTTATATTTAACAAAACAATTTTTAAAACTTCTTAAAATGGCTTAAAAACACGTTTCTGAACATTTTTAGAAGTGGAAATTCGGTGGAAGATTCATAATGTAATTTGCACTAAAAATCTTTCATTCAACTTCCATTTTTTAAATGTTTTAAAATGGGCTAAAAACACGTTTTTAACACTTTTTGAAAGTGGAAGTTGGGTGGAAGATTTTTAGTGCAAATTACATTGCAAATCTTCCACTCAACTTCCACCCCAAAAAAGTGTCAAAAAGTCATTTTTAGACCATTTTGAAACATTTCAAAAAATGGAAGTTAAGTGGAAGATTTTCAGTGCAAATTACATTGCAAACCTTCCACTCAAATTTCACTTTTCTTAACGTGCCAAAACTTTGCTTATAAATCAAAAACCCAGTAACTGTTTTCAAAAATAAAGTTTTGCTCAAAGAAGTAACACAACATGTATCAAATTATCAAATCACAAAACATACACCCACATCACTTTTTTTCAAGTCTTAACATATCTTGTAGCCAATTAGTATAAAAATGTCGATTTTAATATTAGAATACCATAGATAAAAAGAAATTTTAAACCTTTGCTAACTACGTCAATAAAAATTGTGGTAACATCCGCTTGTGATGACTATAAAATGAAATAATGAAGTATTATAGTATAATATAGTACTGTAGCTTCAAAACAATGTTTCAAAGGTTTCTGACGACTAAGGGTAACAAATGGCAGAAATTGATACGCACTATTAAGAGGCTTTTAAGGTGCTTCTACAATTCAACCTTTGGCAAGCATATCAGGTTAGTTGCACTATTACATCCTACTGTCTTGCACCGGCTTGGCCTGGCCTAGCTTGTCTTTTCATTTATAATATTATCATACATTAGTCTGCTGTTGATCTTTGATACTAACTTTTCTTTTCTAAATGTACTGTAGTCTTATCTATATCTTCACCACATCATTGCAAAATTTGTAATCGTTTTTTATCGTCATCACGGAAACACCCACGCCCTTTTATTATCATCTTGTTTTATAGTGTGCTTTTGCTTCCTCTCTCAATTTCTGATTTCAAACCCTGCCCTACCCTACCCTACCCTACCTTACCCTATTCTACCCTACCCTACCTTACCCTATTCTACCCAGACTCACGTGTATCTTACTCTACTCTACCGTACCCTCCAATACTGCACCTTGCTCTAATTTCTCTTACTGTACTCTACTCTACAGTATTTTGCCATATTTATACTGCTCTAGCATACTCTACGTTACTCTACCTTACTCTACTTTACCCTTCTTTATCTATTCCGTACTTTTTAATCTAACTTTACTTTACCTTATCTTTACCCAACCCTTTCCTACTTTCTCTTCTCCTTCTTTTCTTCTTTCTATCGTCTTCTTCTATCTATATTATCAATTCCTACTTAATTTCTTACTCTTTCGCCTAATGCACAACAATTGTAGTGATCACAACCTCTTTTTTAAACAAAGCTATACCTACTTTCTAGTCTTGCTATAACCCCTATGTCATGTTGTAGTCTCATCATATATATGTAGACAAGGCTACAACATTTCCTTCTAACACACACGTATAGTTTGTGTCTTTTGATCAACGAATTTATCGGTGCGATCAAAACAAGGGCTGTTTCTGCTTTTTCTTTTTCATTTCTCTGCTCCATCTCGCCCTTCCTCAACTTAGTAGGGCTTAATTACTAATTGAAGCGCCATTCTTCATCGACAAACTTTGTGTTTTTATTGAGAATTTGTTAGAATGTGCTTTGGGATTGGTTTTACGTGATAGTTTCGAATCTTGACATTGATATTATGCTATGATACAGAGATAAAACACTTATTAATCTTGATTTTACGTGCTTTTTTGTAGCTTTTAGCCCATTGCTAGGTCAAAAAAGATCAATTTAGCAACTAAATTTTAATTTTTGCCAATTTTGAAGATCATAAATTTCAAATAACTTCTTTTACAAGCCATAGAAATTCAATAACTTTCAATAAATGTCAAAAACCAAACATTTTTAAAATGAAAGTTGAGTGGAAGATTAGTAATGCATTTTGCACTGAAAATCTTCCACTCAACTTCCATTTCCAAAACGTCTTAAAAAAGCCTAAAATCGACACTTTTTAGAAGTGGAAGTTTTTTCCACTGAAATTCCATTTTTCAAAAGTCTTAAAATGGCTTGAAATGTGTTTTTGACACTTTTTGAGAGTGGAAGTTTGGTGGAAGACTTGTAATGTAATTTGCACTAAAAATCTTCCACCCAACTTCCACCAAAAAAAAGCGTCAAAAACTCGTTTTTGGACCATTTTTATAGCTTTTTAAACAGTGGAAGTTTGGTGGAAGATTTGTAATGCATTTTGCACTGAAAATCTTCCACTCAAGTTCCATTTTTAAAAAGTGTTATTTTTTGGTTTTAATGAAAGTTTCTGCTACTTTTTGATTAAAATTACATTTTTTGTGTTTTCATGTTCTGTAAACTAAGTTTCTTTCGTTTTTCGCTCGAAAACTAACCGTCTTTTAAGTAAAAAATTATTACCATGCTTTTTTCTGATATTGTTTTTATTATTATGTGACTTACAAAGTAATTTTGGTTATCTTACAGTCAGATGCTTGCAAGCACTTCAATTTACGACCTAGAACGTAGGTCTCATTCCAATGATGACACGGATATTAGTAATGTAGAGGGGGAGAGATGTAAAGTATGTGATTCAACGGCTAATGGAGTTCACTTTGGCATTTTGGCTTGTAGGGCTTGTGAGTTTTTGTGTTTTTTTTAAATTTCAAAGTTATTTAAAAAATTTTTAATTTTTGAAAATTTCTTAGAAACTTCGAAATTTTTTTTTAGTTTTAAAATTTAAAATTTTTAATTATTTAAATTTTTTTAGGCAGTGCATTTTTTCGTCGCTCAGTAGCTGAGGATCGACGATATAAGTGTTTACACGACAAAAAATGTGACATTTCTTCAGGTAAAACTATTTTCATGTTAATATTGGCAGTCCTTAGCTTGTATTAACATTTTTTTCAAATTGATAAGTAAGAAATATTTTTTTTTATTTTTTAAATTGCGTTTTCAGATATTCGAAACTCATGTAGAAGTTGTCGTTTTGCGAAATGTTTGGCCGTTGGAATGAAAACTTACAGTAAGTTTTTTGAACTTTTTTGATTTTTTTAAGTTTAGGTAACAATTAAAGCATATTTTACATCACTTTTTAATTAAGAGGCACATAATTATTTGAACAACCTAATAAGATAAACTGCATTACTAAATTATTACAATCTTTAGAAGTTCAAAAGCCTCGAGACAAGAACCGTCAAACCGCCACCCTCACCCCCTCTCCAACATCCCAAACCCCAGATGAACCTCAAGAGCAAAAAGTCATTGAACGGCTACAAGATGGCTACAAACAGTACACAATAGCCTTTGGCGCAGTTTTTGCATCAGTTTACCCAGAGCTCATATTTACCGACCACAAAGACATGGTAATGTTGACAATGGACGAGCGACTAAAGATAGATATGGCCACATTGCCCAGTATATACATGATGTTAAGAGACTACTTCTTGCCGTATGTGGAGATTGATAAGAGTGTCAAGTTTGATTTTATCATGGTTTTTATGCAACGATTCGTACAGTTTGAACGAGCCTACCTTACCTCAATATACTTTCCAAATGACAACAATGCCATAGCCTTTTCGCGGTCGGATTATATGACATTTGACAATCTGGAGCTGTTTTTTAAAAATGATCATAATCCCAAAGAGAGCATGAAGTAAGATTTTTTTACTTGAAATTTTAAAAAAATTATAAAATTTTTTTTTAATTTGAAAAAAATTGAAAAAGGTTTTAGCTTGGTCCTCCCCCCCCATTCTGTCTTTTTAAAAATTTTCAAAAGATTTGAATTTTCAGAACCTTCAAGCCATATGGAATGCGTGTATGTAAATTATCAAAGAAATTTAGAAGACTACAAGTAGATGAATTTGAGTTTTTGTCGCTAGTCGGCATTTTTATAACGAGTGAAGGTAAGGCTTTTGCTTATTTTTACCCTGCCCTACTCTACCTTACCGTAAAAAACACCCTAATTTTTTTTGGTTTGTTTTTCCTTGCCCTATCGTACCCTACCCGACCTTACTCAACCCTACCTTACCCTATCTTACCGTGATTCATCCTATCTTACCCGATCGTACTCTAATCTACCGTAACCTACTTTATTCTCAACTATAAAAAAAACTATTTTTAGCCTACGACCGCCTACACTGTGAGAACGCCCTAGAAGAGCGTGAAAGAATGTACAAAGAATTATACGAACATTGTCGGCAAAAGTCTGTAGAAAACGCTGACATTCGTTTTGGCCTAATGTTGTTGATGATCCGGGATGGTGAAGAGATGTCATTGATCTTTAAAGAATGCATTTTTATCGGGGTGCTAATGGATGACATTTACAAAGCTACAATCGACAAGCTTAGGGAGTTTGTTGATAAAATTAGAGCATGACAATTATATTTTTATATAATAGAAATATGTTTAAAATTTTTTGTATATACAGGGTGTTTCAAGAAAAGTGCCAAAAAGTTAACAGATCTTTCTCAAAATTTTACCATTTAATAAGACCCAAATTAAATCCAAATTTTTTGAAACTTAACTTCATTTAACAAACTATCAACAATAATAAAACTAATTAAACTAAGTATACCTAGTCGATTTCGAAGTACTTCTGCTCCACGTTCCGTCCTTGCACCAAAAGACATCTCCGTCTGGGGTAGTCATTCAAAGCTCTTCGGATAGTTTCCAATAGAATTCTACCGAAAGCCTCGCGAATCAGTTGTTTCAGATGATCCAACAATTGCGGTTGAACGCGGTACACTTCACCCTTGACATGACCCCATAGATAAAAATCCACGCGTGTTAAATCGGGCGAGTTTGCCGGTTAGACGAACGGAGGAGTCTCAGTGACACTGTACCGGCCTATCCAAAGTCCCGGTATGTGTTTGTGCATAAATGCACGAATAGGAAATTGAGGAGGTGCTCCATCGTGCATCAAGATTAACTCCTCACTGGGGCAGCTTAAGGATGTAGGACAAGACCTGATCTCTTAACATATCAAGGTGCAAGACACCAGTGACATATATGGTCAATACATATTGGGCCAATAATGCCACTCCAACCAATCGCTGCCCACACATTGATCTTCGGCGAGTGAAGGGTAGAGTAGGGCAGTGCGTGATAGGGTAGAGTACAGTAAAACTCGGTAGGGTTAGGTACAGCCGAACACAAATTATAAACAACTTTAATACAATAACACGTAAGCAAAGTACAACACGACTTCAACAATGATCTATATGATTAAATAGGCGGAGTATCGCGTGTACGTCGCTGTCTAAACATATCTTGTCGGATTGGCGGACTTAAAATACGAGGCGGCGGTGTGCCATCTGAATTCGAACTTGAATTGGGGCCTCGTGTCGGAATATTTGGAATGTCTACACTCGGTAGGAGGTCTACGCCTGAAATTGGGTGTTGATTAATATGAGAATGGTTTGGGTAGGGTAGGGCGGGGTAAAGTAAAGAAGTAACTTTAAAACTTCAATCCTACCTCTTACAGTCCCAGTAGGTACAGCGGCCAAATTTCTTTGTGTAACATGCACATAGCCGTTCTTGTGGCCACTACTGGTACTCGGCCGCATAGGTTCTGTTCGTTCTTTAGAAGTCTGATGATGTAGTATATGTGGAGCAAATTCGTTTTTAGGAGGAGAATCGATACGTATCCTATGAGAAGAGGCACGAGAACTCCTCCTCTGCCCAGCACCAGTATACGGCCTTGAGGGTACCATTACGGAGCGGATTTTCTCGTTCTGAAAATTGAGAAGTAATTGCAAAAATTTTACCCTATCCTATTCCATAGTATCTTACCCTGCCAGATAGCATCAACACTCTACCTTACTTTATCCAACGATACCCCAAAATACCGTAATTTACCGTATTCTGCAATGACCTCCTCTATAAAAAACAATCTTTAAGCCTACTGCCGTTACCATATAACCATCCACTACAATACCTACCCTATTATCACTATCAGCACGACTCGGCGTTCTATTGCTCGAACTTCTCGCCAAGTTGATCGCCGCTGCCGCCGCCACTGCATCGGCACTACCCGTCACAGTCTCTTCGATGATGATACGATCATGACTGTGTAACAAAAACTTGGTTTGTTCTGCACCATACTTGTCAACCATTTTCATGACATTGTGCTTGATCTTTTTCCAATTGTTGATGGCCTGTTTCCTCTGACGTGCTCTGGTCTTCCTCGTTTGTTTGATAACCATTAAACCTCGGGAGGTTTCGTTTAATTTGATAGAATACTCGAGTTGGCAAGCGGCTAGTTTTTGCTTATCCACCGACCGTTCCAGTACCATTACGATTTGAGCGTACTGTTGTCGCCAAGCTTTTTCGGCTTGTGTGATGACTGTCGTGTATGTGTTACCCATCATAGCAATGAGGATGTTTATCATCATGATTGGCATTACGAACATGTACAGTACAAATAGGGTTTTGGTCAAAGGCTCGTAGTTGGTGCAGCCAAACTCTTCGTACTGTAAAGGTATTGTTAATGGGGGATTTTTGTACTCTACTGACTGGACCCTACTAATAGATCATTTGATACCTCGTTTTTAGATTTCTTTAGGCTCTACTTGTAGTTCATAGTACCCTACTTGAGTACTAGTAATAAAGCTAACAAACTGTGAATAAATTTTCATTTTCACTATTTTTCGACTTACATCGTATCCTCCCATACTCGCCCTAAACAACGTAACAAACGTCTCCAAGAAAGTACTGTACGTATAAATGTCATAGCCGGTAATAGCACAATAAGCATCGTCGTTCGGTTGCAAATGTTGTTTCGCCGCCATATCTTTACCCACAAAGTAAAACACTTGTGAAAATGATATCAAGAAGATTGCACTGATAATCCCGAAACGAATCATGTCACCAGCAATCATACTGTATATCATCTGGACAAAGGGTCCAGTAAGTTTGGCTGAACGAGCGAAGAAGAGCAGGAAGATCCATGACCCCGGAATGGCAAAGATCAACAACCCTTCTTCGATTTGATTTTGTTGAGTAAAACGAAATGGTACACATAACAACAGGCAAATATTTGCTATTAGGTAAACTATTTTTGCTGGGGCGGTTGCCTAAAATTAGTTTTAAAATAGTTATGTTTTAGACTTGTTCAAATAAACTTTTAATAACAGTCGAACCCTCTTTAGTATGACACTCAAAAGACTGGTCCAAACCTGCCATTGTATCAAAAAAAAGAAAGAATTTGACTGTTACAAAATATGCAATAGAATTTCGTGTTTCGTACAAAAAAATCTTCCTGCGTCTGATGGAAATTAAAAGCTTGTTCATTGGACCTAAAAAGAAGTCCACAAAGCCCTTCCAGGGCCGGGCTTGGCCTGGCCCAAGTATGTTTGATTGGGCCAGGCCGGGTCATGTAAGCCAAAGGCCGGAGCCAAAACTGAGACTCGGAAGCCCTTGAACCTCGGCTCTCTGACCCACAAGTGCCAGTCAATTACTTTAATACCTAGACCCAAAATCTAGGCTTTAAGCCTATCACTTACCAAATTTCTGAGGTATCCTTGAAACCCTTGTGTCCGTAGATCACCAACTTGTTGAACAAAAACAAACCAGACGCAGCTTAAAATCGTAAAGAATTCGAAAACCGCTCGCACATAGTCGTCATATTGCATTACTTTGAAGAATAGTCGGTCAGTTTCGGTCGGCCGTAGATAAACGACGAAACAAAGACAAACCAAATGAAACGCCAGTAGCCCTAAACGCTCGTACATCTTTCTCGCTGCGAACGCCTTCCATTTGTCAGCTAGTAAACGTTGTATAACTTCACTACCGATCATGTCCAAGTGTTCGGGTGAATAACCGTTTATTACTGTCATTAAGGCTGAGTCGTAGTCTAAAAGTATTATGATTTAGAACTTCTAAAGCATGTAAGCTAGAAAATAATGTAAGACACATACGATTTTAAGAAACTTACTAGTCGATCCATCGGGCCTAATAGTATCTAACGTATCCAAGGGGTAGGCACTACATGTCATGTCAGAAAAACGCCAAAACTCCTAAAAGCAAAATGATGCTTGACAAAGATATTAGGCTTTTATAGGATATTGTTAGCTATAAAATTATTACTATCACTTACCACTTTCATAAGCTCTAACATCTCTTCAAAAATGTGCTTCCGACCCAATTTGGTAGCCAAAGTCAGCGGCGTATAACCAGCATTGTTAACAATGTTAGGCTTTGCAGGCTTGTGCCAATGCCTTACAGCATAACTATACATACTCTGCAATGTCATTCTCTTATATACCTTGTTATGGTATAAAAATTTCTTATATCTTATTATTCATATACCCTGTTATTGTAAGTAACATATATTTTCATTATACAATCATAAATAATTTTTTAAGTCCAAGTTGTTAATTTCACTGTTTGTTAAGAACTTTACACTTTGATTGTAAAGGCCGCAATCTTTGTGGTACAAAAGCCCTATCGACATTTCCCGACTTACACTGCTGTAATTAATTACACACATATGAAGACAGGTGTTACCGAACATGTCCTGCAAGTCCGGGTTGGCGCCATATTGAATTAAGAGGTCGTAAATGTCTTTGTTACCAAAACATGCAGCAAAAGCCAACGGGTATTCGCCGTAATACGCATAGCCTACAAAACAACACAGTAATTTTAAAGCTTTTCGATTTTAAAACTCAAAACTTAATCAATAGATTAACTTTGGTTTTTGGGCTGGCGCGGCTAGACTTGGGCTAGCTCTAAACCTTTCAAAAGAACAGTCTACATTGATGTTCAATAACTTTAAAGTCATATTAAGATTATATAAGCCTCACCATACGTCTTTCAACCTTCCTAAATCATACCTTGATAACTATAATTCCGTGCATTGGATTCATCCGTATCTTCGGGCAAAAAGAAGTCACCGCACGCTCTCGCGTTTACCGCAGCTCCCTTTTCCAATAACAACTGTACGGTATCGTAATCGTCGTGCACGATCGCTAAATGTAGCGCACTTTGTCCTGAAAACGCAATAATATTTTCGAGATAACCACAAGTTGTACTGGCATGCTATGCATTTGGCTACAATTTATGTCACGGTCTGCGGTATACGACCGGAAGGGATTGTACTGTAGTTTTCTTTAGCTGTTTTTACTACAGCAAAGTCTTGGCAAAGGCAGCCTTTTTAGAAGTGGGATCGTTATGTTAAGCTGTTCAACTAAGTTTGTGTCCTGCAACCCCAAAGAGTTGCTTTGAGAGAGAGCACAGGATTACTTGAACAACCTAATATCATTTAAAAAACTGTTGGAGAGTCTTATGATCCAATGTTTGTCTAATACAGCATCCTTACCAAACATTTCATCGCCCAAGTAGAGGTCCTTAGCAAGCCCAGAGTACTTTTGTATTAGAATTCTAGCAATTTCAGCACAACTTGGCTCTTCCCTGTTTAACAGTAAATGAACAATTGTCTCGCCATCTACACCACGTTTGTTCAACCGCCACTGAGCTTCGTGTTCTCTGAATTTGGACTTGTTTTCGTCCATCGTTTCTTCTTCTGTTAGGCCTAATTCGACGCTCTGTAAAAAGTTTTATAATATAATACTTCAACTTCTTCATCTTTAGTTTTTGTAATAAGCAAATCTTATTAATCATCACCTTTATTTTTTGTTTAAAGTACCACAAAAGTACAATGAATAAAAGTTACATTAACTTTTCGTAAGTAACATGAATATCTTAACAATATTCCAAAAAAGTCTTTACATTGAATGATAAACACTTACTACAGATTTCTTGTAGCGTATATAATCAGCAAACTTTATCATCTGCGTCTTTTCCCCATTCTCGTACATCATTGGCTCCATCTTTTCGGCAGCAAACCTCAAAACTCCATCCTCACCTTCTTTCTCATATATCGTTAACAATTCACCGCCTACAATAAATTATTTTTCTTATAACACCTTGTCTTTTTAATAAAATCGCCTGTTACCCTTGTATTTTTAATGCCTTGTCTTATTATTAAAATTTGTAATAACATAACATTAGAGAAGTCTACAACATCGTACTAGCGATATCAACTTTAGCATACCTGTCCTAACACCAACCCATTTGTAAAGATGATTTTTCTCCCGTTCTCTGTACAAATTCGACCATTTCTCATCCGGATCAAAGTTTTTGCCAGCGCCGCGGCCATGTGACGTGGATACCCGTGAATTTTTTCCAAATTTACATGAAAGGATTTGACCCATAGTTTAGCTACCTTTTGAGTGTTAAATTACATTTCGGCATTGTGTACTCGTACTGTTTTTACTAAAATTGTTTTGGCTTATTATTGAGTGGTTGAGTTATCAGTAATTGATCACGATGTTATATGAAAAAAACAAACTACGGCAAATACAATGATCCTGTATAGCAAACTACTATACAAAAAAACTTTTGTATAACGAACAACTTTTGTGTCCTCGGCTAACATTACAAACTGCATCTAAAACCCCTGTACAACGAAACTCCTTTGTAACGGACAAATTTTAAATCCCCCCCAGAACTTCGGTAGGAGATCCCTGTATCTGCAATGGAATATCATTGGTTTTTGGGCTATCGCGACTAGATCCTTAAAACCGTTCATTTCATTGATATTCAATAACTTTGCAGTCATGTTAACAGAAGCTCAAAGATCTCAAAGTTGTTCTTTATAGAAGGTTTTATACAGGAGTTTTAACTTAAAACTCCAGTACAAAGAAATTCCTTTATAACGAACAAATATTAAATTCTCCAGCAAGTTGTTATACAGCAATTCTACAGTAATTGGTCAAAAAACTCTATCAACCGAAAAATATAACAAAACACTATCGTTTAACGAATGAACACCAAATAATATAAAAACAGGTATTGTGTTGTGTGTTTGGAGAAGTAAACCGCTTTCCGTGACACCAAGCCCGAGTGTTGTTATGGCCAGCCGAAACAGGCAATATAATTTGAAAAGGTGAACCATTAATGTTATTCACACGAGTACAAACCTGTGTAATATTGAAACTAAACATTAGGTAACTATTAAATTTTGACAAAAAATATGGGTGATCAGGTTGACTATGAGTCTTGTCATGACATATATGACACTAAAAGCCCCTGAGGTCGTTATGAAATCAGTTCTGTACCTCAAATCCGTAAGGAATATCATACTAAAAAAGACCATACTAGATTTGATTATAATTATAATAAAAAAAAACAATTTTAATCCCGTTCCTTTGAACCCATGCTTATAATAAAAAGTAGTTTGTACTAAATGTTACACAAAAACTTGGCAAGTCCTGGACCAATTGAACCGCATTTCCGCATAAAGTTCGGTTAGAACTCTCAAAAAACAGAAACATTTATACAGTAAAAATCTTTCATTGTGCGTTTTTTGCGCCTATATTTCCCAGCTCGGTTAGCAAATATTGGCCTAGGTTAAGATTTTTATTTTTGTTATACCGCGCTCTAAATTTTCTCAAAATTTTTCCGAAAATCAACGTGGGGGGAGGAGGGAGGGCATAGTGTATAAACATGAAAGAGAGGCTACTAGGTCCAGCTCCATCGCGGTCAAGCCTCGGATCTGTCCGGTCAAAAATAAATTTAAAAAGGACCGGGCCGGACCCAAGCACCCAGTGGCGCAGGTTAGATCCCGGAACGAAAGAGCTACCTGTGCCAATTTTTTGCAAAAATTTTTTTCCAAAAATCCACAGAGGGGACCACGTTCAACTTTTTTCAACAATTTTTTTCTGGAGGGGGGGGGGCGTCCCCCCCCCCTCCCTCGCGCCCGGCCCTGTGTGTAGCCTCGTCGAGCATTTTAGGTTTTTGTTATAAAGGAGTTCCACTGTAATTCAAAAACTACCCCATCTAGGCAAAAAACAAAAAACTTGTCCGGCCCAAAATACAATTAACCCTACACAACCAATGGAAACTACAGTATTCTAACAAAATCCCGACCAATAACAAACCATCTTCCCCGCCCCAAAACAAACCCAAGATAATAACCCCCACCACCACTCATCTTCGCTTTCATTGGCCGCCAAACGTGGAATTTGTGAAAGCGAACGGCGAGACAGCCCGCAGGGCCTGTTACCTTTTCGTATGGTGCTCGAGATATAATTCGTTTTCCCTAATAGCGTGCATTCCGTCGCCCCTGACGACCAGAATTATGTTAACGAGAGAATGACTTTGTGGCTTATAGTAGTAATTTCTTCAAAGATTTGTTTTCCTTCCAAAAACACTGATACGCATTCGGTGACAAAAACCTAACGAAATATGACAAATTGCTGGACAAACACAAGGACATATTATGTTATGCGAAAATAGTTAAATTTGTGAGAAAGATGGCCAAAATTTGCTATTGGACAGAAGGTTTTTGCCATTTCTTGCATTGTAAAGAAAGTTCTTGCCATGTTGAGCATTGTAAAGAAATTTTTTGCCACTCTTCGCACTGTCAAGAAAGTTTTTTCTATTATGTGTCCTGTAAAGAAAGTTATTGCCATTATATGCACTGTAAAAAAAGTCCTTGCCATTTCTTGGCTTGTAAAGAAAGTTTTTGACATTTTGTGTCCTGTAAAGAAAGTTATTGCCAGCTTTGTCTTTTCAAACAAAGTTCTTGCCAATTTTTCCCTTTCAAGGAAGTTATTTCCGCCTTTAAGTTAAAAGTGACACGAAAATGGAAAAAAATGGAAATAAAACATTTCAACCATATCACATAAATTTAACCTTAATTGACCCACAAAACATAAATAAAACCAAAAATCTGCCCCAAAAACAAATTTTCCTCCTCAATTTTCTATGCACCCACCGGCAATTTTGGTCTCACCACGAAAACGAAACGCCAATAGTTTCGGGCACTTCTGGCGGGTTTTTGCGATTTTTCTTCCTTTTTCGCAATTCTAGTGTTTTTGAAGGCGTTTTTTATGAAATTTACAATAATAACATGTCGTAGTGGCATCAAAACATTATATTTTAGTTTTACTATGTTGTTCTTGGGTAAATCCAGGCATTTTTGAGGTTTTTAGGTTAATTTTGAAAAGTTCGAAGGGTTTATTTGGGTTTAAAAGATAGTTTATATTGTTTTACACTGTTTTTAATTGCCTTACTTTGTTTTACATATCATATATATATAGATTTCTTAATGTTTTTGCCACCCTTTTAATTTTTTATAATTTTAGGTATTTTCGGACTTATTTTACCAAGCCCTCATCGTTATGGTTTATGTCGAACCCCGTTATCGAGGAATTGTGCCAACGCCTACATCAACATCGCCAAATCAGTCTTTCAAAGCCGAAGGATCTTTGTTTTCACCAAAAGTTCAGAACAAATACATGGTTTCTCCGCCAGCCGAGTTGATTCAAGTAGGTATAGGCAGCTAGATGTCTACGTTAGTTTTTAATGTAACTTTTGTTAATGATTACGTAGAGACGTGAGTTTTGGTGAGCATGTAGGGATTTTCATGGTCTACGAAATTTGTCTACTACATTTTTGAAAAAATGGTTAAAAATTGCGAGTTGGGGTATATTCAAGTAGATATAGGTGGAATATATTCATTTTCTTTGTAACTTAAGGATAGGTATGGACTTAAAACTTGGTGGCGATATACAGCGTTTTGTGTTCTATAAAATGTATTATAAAGATTATTGAAAAAAATTTTACATTTTTAAAAATTTGAGTTTTCTGTCGAGCCTTCAAAGTTTTCATTTCAGAAGCCCCTTCAAGTTGTGAATTCAGCTTCCCCTAGCTACAAATGGTCTGGAATGTCAGCTCAACCGCAAGGACATGTTATTATGGAGCTTCTTACTGGTCGGATGGGTGTTTCCACCGGGCCAGTCTTGCAATCCGATGTTTCGAAGCATTATTGGACCCCATCAAACAGTTACAACATGGTGCTGGAGGAAAAGGACTCATTGAAGGATTTGAGCAGTGAATTGGAGAAGCTGAGGTTGAACAAAAGTAACACGAGCCAGGGCAGTCGATTTGGGGAAGCTAGGGAGGGTCAGCCATTGGGTATGTGATGGAAGGGTGTTATGTTACTATCATGATTAATATAATTTTTGTGTTTAATTTTTTATTATGCTTGCTTGATAAAAAGGAGATTAAAATACTTACGAAAATTAAAAAAATATTTTTGTGAAATTAAAGTAAAATTTCAAAGTTTGTTTTTGATGTTTTAAGCCCAAAAAAATTACTATAAGATCTTCATCATCTCACTTTTTTCAGCTCAATCAACTCCGTCTTGTCGTCCAACTTATGGACGAGCTCCATCTCCAAATTGCCGTGCTACTGACGTAGAACGAGATCGTCAGAAGGCTGAGCAACGTTTGTGCGACAAGATGAAGACGGTTTTGTGTACTCAGTATATGAAGACTGGATCTTGTGACTACGGGAAGTGCTGTCGATTTGCTCACGGATATGCTGAATTGAGATTGAGAAAGGTAAAGGTAACTTATAATGCGGGGTTCTGTTGTATTTTGAGTGTTTATGTTGTTTATGGCGGGTTTTTTTTCTAATGTTGGTGGTCTTTGAAGGTTTTAATTTGATTTACTGATAAAATTTAAAAGTTTGAAGATTTTAAAACATGGATAATAAAACTTCTGATATTTTTAACATTATTTTTATTAATAAAAATTGATGTAAAAGTTATATTAACTTTGAAAAATCAAAAACACCATCTTAAAGTACGCAAATCCGTAACATTAGAATGGATCCGCGCCAATCGGATTAATATCGTGTCGGGACCCAGAAAAACAAAATAAAATATTATTTCCAACAATTATTTTTTGTTGCGAATCGGTTGAACATTTCGATGTTACCTGATGTTTGTTTATTTTTTGTACATTTCCTATGTTTATTCTGGATCTACTGTATCTAAATTGAATCCTTGAGTTGGCATGTAGGTATCAGAGTATTATTTTATAAATTTGATAAATAATATTGTGATATATATTTGTTCCCTCTTGGAAATTCTTATTTCGCAAGTAAACTATAGTGTCAATGCTTTTAGAGATTTTTATTGCATGCAGAATAATATATTTATTAATTTTTACCTAATATATATGTTTTACGTAATAATTTATATTATTTTAGGTGAAACGGAAACAGTTTAGGTAACAATAACGAGCACGCACATTTTGATGGAAACTAATTGGACCGAATACGCGGAGGAACTCGGTAATTCAGCTTTTATGGACTGGGTATGTGATTTACTTTGTTTTGTTCGGTTTTTAGGTCTAAAAAGGTGCAAAAGGTTTAGCATAATTTCAAGATTGAAAGGCTAGATCAGGAAAGTTCTTGGCATCCACAAAAAACGGACGTGCGAAACAGCTATCGTGCACGAAGTTGCAGGGGAATTGGAGACATTGGAGAATGTAGTTTTGCAAAATGGGTAATAATTAAATTTTTAGATATATTATAGTTAGTTCTACAAAGTTTAAAAGTTTTAGTGTTATCATTTAAATATATGCACAATTATAAATTTATTCGACCAAAAAGTTTTGTATGAATACTAATTAACCTCCACTAATTCAAAATATACCAAAAAATTTAATTGATCCTCCTTTGAAAACTTTGTACCTTTCCACACCTTAAAACCGAACAAAACAAAGTAAATGACATACCCAGCCCATGAAGGCGGAATTGTCAAGTTGCTCCGCGTATTCGGTCCAATTTGCTTTCATCAAAAGGTGCGTGTCCGTTATTGTTACCTAAAATTTTTCTGTTTCACCTAAAATAATATAAATTATTACGTAAAACATATATATTAAGTAAAAATTAATAATTATATTATTCTGCATGCAATAACAAATCTCTAAAAGCATTGACACTATAGTTTACCTGCGAATTAAAAATTTCCAAGAGTGAACAAATATATATCACAATATTATTTATCAAATTTATCAAATAATACTGTGGTACCTACATGTCAACTCAAGGATTCAATTTAGATACAGTAGATCCAGAATAAACATAGGAAATGTACAAAAAATAAACATAAACATCAGGTAACATCGAAATGTTCAACCGATTCGCAACAAAAAATAATTGTTGGAAATAATATTTTATTTTGTTTTTCTGGGTCCCGACACGATATTAATCCGATTGGCGCGGATCCATTCTAATGTTACGGATTTGCGTACTTTAACATACCTCATTTTAGGTCCCAGCCAATTACAAGACGGTTTTGTGCCAAAATTTTGAACGTGACAGTTATTGTCGCTATGGAAAGCGTTGTCAATTCATTCATCGCAATTACGATCATGCCAATTCGAGTGATGTTGATATGGATCGTGCTGTTCTGGCTACTTCCGCAGACGAGAAGAAGGTTATGAAGCCGGTTGTGTTTGGCAATCGTTTCCAGCGCTCTAACTTCCATTAAGTAGGCCTAGGATTTGGGAAAGTACTTGGAAATTGGTGGTAGTGGTATTGAGGGTAATTTTTAGTTTTTGGGCTTTCTCTTAATGCTGTCCGGTGACATTTGTTAGCGATTCTACTACCTGGTGCTGTTTTTTAGACTCTACTTTTCCCGGAAGTTTAGTTTTTATTTTCGGTATCTTTTTTCTAGGAATTTCTAAGTTTTACTTTTGATCGAAGCTCAATTTTTTTAATTTTTTTTTCGGCTTTTGATGACGGTTTAGGTATTATGTTGTTGTTTATTTTGTTTAAGCTACTTGACCGATTGTGTTCAAGATAGCTTGACAATTTGATTTTAGGTAATATTTTTGTAGTAGGAATCCGAAAATACCTTGAATATTGTTTTTCACTCCAGCGCATACTGGTGTCATACTATTATTGTTTGTTTCCAAATATTCATGTCATATTTTCGATTATTCATGTCATCTTTTTTTGGTTATTCATGTTATCTTTTCTGATTTTTCATGTTGTTTTATCATACTTACGGTTTTTCCTATATTATTGTTCTATTTCTTCTATATGTCGAATATGAGTATCATACTCAATAGTGGGTGGTAGGTTATTAGGATGGAATTATTATTATTTAGTACGGTTATAAGACAAAAGGAGTTTTACTAAGTTTCTGCAAGAATTTTTTTTGAGATATTAAAGGTTTATTTTTTTTGAAATTAAAAAAAAATCTTAATGCTATTTTAGATTGTAGTGGGTATCAAAAAGCAAATGTTTAGCCTAAAAATTTCTAGAAGCTAAGGTCTCTCTAAGAATTTTTAAAAAAATTATGTTGTAGTAGGTACCGAAATGTCAATTTTCCTCAAAAAATATGGTAGAACTTCTTAAAGTCTCTAATAAGTTGTGTCTCAAGTATTTTATACCTCCCAATACCCACATATTAATATTCTTGTTTATTTTTCAAGGGATCGTCCCTCAAAAACATTGTTTCAGTCTAATGTTTGCTTGTTTTAATTTCTTAATATTGTTCACGGTTTCATATTCTATGTGAATTTCAAAAAAAGTTTTATTAAAATTAGGTTTTTAAAATATCATGTTATCGAATAAATTCAATGCGAATTCGTTATGGGAGGTTTTTGAAGGTGATAATGATATAATATCAATTGGTATTTCTTGATTGAGACTATTTCTTGATTGTTAGGTTGAGGCTTTATCGTACATAAAAAAGCATGTGAAAACCCGATGTGGTGTTAAATGTAAAAGGCATGAGAGGGCGGTTCTTTTTGTAACCCTAATGGGCTGATTTTTCACGTTTTTCTTCCTTCCAAGGACCTGTAATCTTTTTACTGAACTGAGCGTTCTTTGGAACGTTTGCTGTGATCTGGCATGATAATGAATAGGTTTACAATGTAAAAAGGGTGTCATGGTTAAAAATATAATTTACTTTTGGAAAGGAGTTGTTGCATTATGTTAAAAGGAAGTTACAGTAAATAAAATAAAAGTTACAAGAGGCAAAACGAAGCTTACAGTAGGTTACACGAAAGTTATAGTAGGCTAAACGCAAGTTATAGTATACATCTGACTTTTAAAAGTTCAAATTTCAAAAGATTAGCTAATTATTAAAAAGTAAAAAATGAAAAAACCTGCAATCTTTAATCCAATTCGATAAAGAAAATCAGTTTTTTTCTTCTAGAAATCAGCTGATTTTTCTAGAAGACGCTTGCAATATCCAAAAGACAAGAAGACATCAATAATAGTAAGACAAGAAGATCCATAATAATAATATTAAACTACTAAATTGATCTATTGAATTCAAGAAGCACAGCAAAACGACAAGGCCGAATTATTCTCGAAGATTGACGTTCATTTTGTAAAAATTTCAGAGTTTTTAAAATGGAAGTTGAGTGGAAGATTTGTAATGCATTTTTCACTGAAAATCTTCTATTCAACTTCCATTTTTTAAATATCTTAAAATGGTCTTTAAAAACATTTTTGGCACTTTTTAGAAGTGGAAGTTTGGTGGAAGATTTTTAGTGTATTTTGCACTGAAAATCTTCCACTAATTTTCCACTTTTAAAACTGTGCCAAAACGTTGTTTAAATTTCCTTTAATGGCCTAGTAGTGGACGACATTTATAAGAAATAAAATATTATTGTTAAAATAATTTTACCTTTCTTTAAACTTATTGTTCAAAAAAAAAGTTTTTAACATAACTTTTTGACCTCTAAAGATAATTTTTCACACTAATCTCAAAAAAACGTACAAAATGACTGATTTTGATCAAATCGGCTACGAAACGGTCGTTCTTTGCTCAAAACTATAACTAACCTCTTGATGTGGGGTAATATGAGCACAAAAATCAACAGTATTTTCGACCCCTCAAATGGTATGATCACAAAGCTCCGCCCACTTTTTTAAGAAACAGTCAAAAATAACAATCAAACTAATTATTTTTTGCATCTGACATTCACGCCACTTTTGAGTCAATATAAATGTGGCCGTTTCCGAATGTGGTAATGAATAGCTGATTTACTCGGCTTACATTGGGCTACCGGGTGTACTGTAACTTTCTTTTGCATTTTTTGTATTTTACTGTAAATAAACAAAGTTTTATTTTTGACTAGGAGTCAACAGTTGCAGTAATTTCATTTTTTTGGTATTTGGCGTATGATTTTCGCAGAATTACTTTAAAGTAGGGTATTGCTTGTCAAAAATTTTGATTTTTTAAAATTCTTTGAAATTTTTTAAATTTAAAAAAGGGAAAAGATGAAACAAGTTACCTTGTACGGGTCATATGGATAGCTAGCAAGCAGTTAGGGGTAATCTAATTGTAGATTTTAATTCTTTTTGTAGAAAGAAAGTTGAGTGGAAGATTTTTAGTGCAAAATACGTTACAAATCTTCCATCGCACTTCCAATTCTAAAAAGTGTCAAAAACGTGTTTTTATGCAATTTAAAGACATTTTGAAAGTGGAAGTTGAATGGAAGATTTTTAGTGCAAAATACCCTACGAATCTTCCACTTAATTTCCACTTTCAAAAAGCCACTGTTTTTGGGTTTTGTGATAAAACTTTGATCATTTCGACTTTTTTACTTTTATTTTGTTGCAAGAAATTACACATTACGCTTTACTGCAATTAAAATCTGTAAATTCACCATTTGTTGCCCACGGTTCTGTGGAAGACTTTACTACTAATCACTAGCAAGAAAAGATTATCAATAAAAGACAAACTAATAATTCAAAGCAAAGAACGATTGGGAATTAATTTCAAGTTCTTTCTTTTCCGAACCTATCTTTGCTTATAATAAAAGGTTTACAACGTTTTTGTGTAAAACACGCGTTCTTGCAAATTCCTATAAGCTTCCTTCCAGACGTCCGTCGAGGTTTAAATTTAGAAGTTTTATATTTCAATTTTATCTTATCGAACTGAAATTTTTGGAGAAGAATGGTCTTGAGATCAAAATTTTTAAAACGTGCCCGACATGAGCCTAGATTTTTTTTAACTGGGCCGAGTCTCAAAAGTGGGCCTAGCCCGTTTCACCCCTAGATCAAACAGGGACGTTAACCCTTATTTTTTGTTAAATATGGCATAGTTAAATAAATGAAGTGGCAAATAACTTATTTTTTATGCTTTTTAGAAGTGGATGGGTGGAAGATTTTCAGTGCAAAACGCATTACAAATCTTCCACTCAACTTCTACTTCTAAAAACTTTCAAAACATAGTTTTTAGGCAAATTTGAGGCGTTTTAAAAATGGAAATTGAGTGGCATTATAGGTAAATTTATTGCTGTTTTATGCTCTGTAAAAAGATTTTTTGCATTTTACAATTTGTAATGAAAAAAATTTTTCATTTCGAAAAGAAAGTTCTTGCCATTTTACATTTTTACAAATAAATTTTAGCCATTTTACGCTTTGATCAAGCCCTTCTTTTGAGCTCTGTTCAGTCCATTTTCTCGTTTTTTTCTCCAAAAACGGCCGATTTCCGTCCAAAAAGCGAAAAAAGGCGGCGGGTGCAAATCGGCGACAAAACAAACGTTGCAGAGGGTTTATTGCAAGACATAACTGAAAAAAAACTATTTAAAAATTGTGGGGTCAGGGAAAAGGTGTTTAACTGGGAGCCTTTTTTGGTTTTGTTCGTGAATGCTTATGAAGTAGATTCTGTTTTTTCGAAATTTTTGGGTTTTTAGGCATTGAAGGCGGGGCATGGTGGCAAAGAATGATTTTTTCTGGGGGCAGAGCCAACTAGTTTATTTTGATTTATAAAGTAAAAAAAACATTGATTCTCTTAATCCTACTCTTATTTTTACCCCCCTCTACACATACCCTTAACTCTAGCCCTACCTCTAACTCTATCCTTACCCTTAACCATAACGATACTCTTAGACACTACCCCTTTCTCTACCCCGCCTCTACGCCTACCCCTACTTCTATCCCTACCCTGCATCTACCTTTTCAAAAAAAATTCTTAATACGGTGACCTTTCCCTTCCTCTATTGACCAACAAATTAATCCCTCAATGACTGATACTAAACACGTTATCAATTATATTAACGTATTAAATTGTCTTCCTCTTGGCTTATCGTTTTTGGAATTGATTTCGGGCTGGAATGGCGTGATTTGCACTTTTTTCGCAATACCTCAATATATAGACGATATAAGTAAGGGAAGAGGGTTGATAATAACGGTTGTTGCATAATGTTTAAGAAGGAAATGATTTGTCGGTTTTGATCATTTTGTAGGGTTATTCGTGGTCAAAAGTACTAGGTTTATGTTGGTCAAAAAATGCATAGAAATCACTTTTTTATGAAAATTTTTGTATCGGTCAAAAAGTCCATAGAAATATCAAGTTTTTGATTTTTTTGGGACTTTTTTTAAAAAAAAACTTTAGGGCAGGGTAATCTACTCCTTTTCTAGTTTCTTCTTAGTCTTTTTTAATGCCCTAGCGACAATTTAAAACCATTTTCATATCGAACATTGAGTAAAATTAAAAAATTTTTTTAAAAATTTTAATTAAAATTTCAATTTCCAGGGTTAAAATTTGAAAAAAATAATCGGAAACAACGACAAAAATGGCAAACGTTACTGGTCAAGTGGCTGTCGCCGACATTCTCCTAGCCAACGATTGGAACCTGGAGCGTACCATCACTTTCATGCAACATTGGGTACCTACTTCCTATAAGGTAGGGTAAATATTTTTTGGATATGGCTCGGATATAGTTTTTGTAACAAAAGTTTTAAAAAATGTCAAAAACGCATTTTTAGGCTATTTTAAGATATTTTAAAAATGGAAGATGAATGGAAGATTTCCAGTGCCAAATGCATTTCAAATCTTCCACTGAACTTTCACTTTTTAAAGTTGACTTTTAGGCCAAATTTTTGACATCTTTTTATTTTTCATAGAATTTGAAGCAATTTTTGTTTTCATCAACAATTTTTATATTAAAAATAAAGTAATATTTTTATAGATCACCATGGCCTATCTCCTAGTAATTTTTGCCGGCCAAAAAATCATGCGCAAAGTGCAAGCTTTCGACAACTGGATGATGGACCTCATCCTAGCCCTATGGAACCTCTCATTCAGTATCTTCTCCGGAATCGCCGCCTACAAATTGCTACCAGAACTCTTCCACAGTCTTCGTACTACCGGCTTTGTGGGCTCGTACTGTAACAAACTGGATTACTACACCGACCCAACTACCGGCTACTGGGGATGGATGTTTGTGATGAGCAAAGCCCCCGAACTCGGCGACACTTTGTTCTTGGTGCTTAGAAAACGACCAGTCATTTTCATGCACTGGTACCATCACGCTCTGACCTTTGTCTACGCTCAAGTGACTTACAGTGAGACTCAGGCGTGGTGCAGATGGTCGTTGGCTTTGAACTTGTTTGTTCATACTGTCATGTACTTGTAAGTTTTGAAGTTTGGTTGAGAATAGGTTTTTGAGAATGAAAGTTGAGTGAAAGATTTGTAATGTATTTTGCACTAAAAATTTTTAAAAGCAACGTATTGTACTATTCGAAAATTGATTGGAATTTAAGATGCTAATTTTCAAAATGTCAAAAGCTTTCTTCACAACTCAAAAAACCGCATAAACTTTCCACCAATTTATTTTCTCAATTTTCAGCTACTTCGCAGTCCGTGCCCTTCACATAAAGACCCCAAGATGGGTGGCCAAGTTCATCACCACCATTCAGATCATCCAATTCGTCATCTCCTGCTACATCTTCTCCCACCTTGTCTACATCAAGGCTTTCGACACGATCCCAAGCTGCCAAGCCAGCTGGAACGTACTCGGCTTGGGCGGTTTGATGTACTTGAGCTACTTGTACTTGTTCGCTCAGTTCTTCTACAACGCCTACATTGCCAAGAAAGCGCCAAAGACCAAGAAGGTCGAGTAAAAATAGTCGATTTTTTAAAATTTTTCGAATTTCAAAATTTCGAATTTTTTACAATTTTTTGGTCTACAGCTTTTAAACCCTACCTATTAGTGTTTTACTGTAATTTTGCACAAATCACTGTAGTTTTTCATAAATTTTTTAGCACCGTACTATGTATATTCTACTGTAGTATCGTACACGATATTACTATAGTGTACCATACTATTAGTTTGTATACAGTACTATTCTAACACCCCATTTGTTACTCCACAATACTTGCCCCCTTTACTGTATATTGTATACCTGTAAAAAGAGCTCAAACGCGTCAATACGGTTTTTTTTGTTGTTAATATAGTTTCCGGTTATTTTTTCACATTTTTAATAAATAATTATTGTTTTTTTGACTTTCATTGGCATTTTTATTCGAATATTGATTCAAAATTTTTAATTTAAAATTTTTTTTTTATTTTAAAATTAACATTTCAAATTATCTTTTTATTCAAAAAAAAACCTATTTTTATTGCAAGGTGCAATCTATAAGATATTAAAATTGCACGGTGCAATCAAAAATAATTTGCACCGTGCAGCCGAAAGCTCCCCCAAAACCATTTGCCACGCACGTGAAAAGCATGCGCAATATTTTCTCGGTTTTTTGGCTCTCTCATTTCCTCAAAAATTCCCCGCAATCGAAAAGCCCAAAAAATCCAAAGTCCATGCACCGTGCAATCAAAAACCTCCAAAAACGTTTGCACCGTGCATAAGAAAATCGATCCTTTATCGTCTCTCCCTTTCACGCACTCCTTCTTATTTTATAAATTTAGCCGCACCGCGCAATTCAAAATCGAAACATTGCGCAATGCAATCAAAAACCTCCAAAAAACTTTGCACCGTGCAAAAAAAAACAGCCTTTATCGCCTCTCATTTTTCCAAACTCTTTCTTTTCCTCTCAATTCCGCTGCACTCTGCAATCAATATGCGATACTTTTCGAGCAAAACAATCGAAAATGAGAGCCCAAATTCCGGCCAAATTTTTCCAAAAATCTTGCATCGAAGCAAGCGACAAAGTCCTCAAAACCCTTGCACTGTGCAAAGAAAAAACAGCCTTTATCGTCTCTCCTTTTCCCGCACTCTTTCTTTTCCTCTCAATTCCGCTGCACCGTGCAATCAAACAGCGATAAATTCCGAGCAAAACAATCGAAAATGAGAGCCCAAATTCTGGCCAAATTTTGTCACAAATCTCAGATAAATTTGGACTCGAATCGAACGACGAATCTGTCGCCGAATTTGCGCAATCGCCTCTCTTGCGGGTGCGAGAAAGCGCGAAACTGTGAGAGAGCGGGCAGAGAAGAAAACGCTTGCGAAAAGAAAGAGCCGAGCAAAGAGCACGTGAAGAGAGCACACAGTGAGAAAACATTTTACGAATAGAGAAGGAGACAGAGAGGAAAACGGCGCGGACAGACGGAAAGAGGAACGTGAAAAACCGAACGGAAAAGGAAAAAGCGCGCCAAAAATCCTTTTGATCAGGGAAATCTTCAAAAAAGGATCTTTCAGCTTTATTTGGGCCCAAAAATGTGTTGAATGATCAAGTTCTCGGACAAAACTTCAAGTAATTGGTAAGTACTATGTTTTAAAATATACGTTAGGTTATTTTCAATATAAATTAGGTTAAAAATCCAGCTTTTTCCGCGGTAAAAATGATTTTTTGGATATAAAATTTGAGTTTTAGCTAGTTTTGGGGAAAAATTGGTCAAAAATGGGGTTTATGATACTTTTTTTTCTAATTGTTTTTGAATCGCAACACTAAAATAATATTATTATATATTTTAAAAACATAAATATTAGCATTTTGTAAATTTTTTCTAAGTTATCGATCAAAGAACCTGTATTAGCATGAATAATACAGAACATTTTATTCAAAAATAATTATTTATGTTACAAAGATGGAAAACCGGGTTCTGTTTAAAAAATACAAGCAATATAACTTTCAAAATGCAACAATAATAATCAAAAATTAAAAAGTATTTCCAAGATCAATCCGAAAACTAACGAAAAATTCCAACTCGTTCCAACATTCCTCTAACACTATCGACTTTAGACTTGTATAGGTCTTCAGACACAATCCCAATATACATACATTCCATAAAGGCAAGAGAAAGATATTCAAGATCACGCAGCATTAACATAATCTGGCCATATCTAACGCTTGCACTCTGTGATTGTTTTTGTTGGCAATGGCAGTGTAGCTCGTAGAATAAGGTATCGCGGTCTTCGTTTGCTTGTGTTGATCCGGTTAGATTGTGGACTGGAAATAATTTTTAAAGGGGGGAGGTAGGTTAAGGTATAATAGGGTTGGTTTAGGGTTAGATTGGAGCTATGATAAGACTAGTATTAATACAAGGCTAAGTTAGGGTAAAGTAAGGTTAGAAGGAGCAGGGTAAGGCAAGAAACTGTATTGGTATACTTACTGTTTTCACAGTTGACGATGCCCATAACGGCGATAAATTCAGTTTCGTCTAATTTAAGAGTTGTCACTTTTTGAGAAAATCTTTTTAGTCGTACACTATAGGGCATGAATGTCCTAAAAATAAATTTATAATGCATCGAAATATATTTAGATTTTTGGTCACATGATTAGTAGCAATTTAGACCATGACAACGTAAAGAGGGTAGGTAGAATAGGGCAGGATGAAAGAAGTCAAATAGCTTGATAACAAAATGGTCTTACTGGTTCATTTCCTTGCTTGCACCATTTGCATCAAATTTGACATTGTCAAATACAATATAATGTGAGTTGGAGTTGGCTATTCTTTTGTCATTTTTGTCAGGAAAATGGATTGACGTGAGGTAGGCCTTTTCAAAGTTGACGAACTTTTCCAAAAAACCTCTGACAACCTCTTTCTGTAAGTTAAAAGTTTATTTATAGCATTGCTCAGTGCTATGTGCGCTATTTTGATTCACAAATTATAGTAGCTTTGAGTGACAGAAATTTTTAAGTTTTAGTTATTATTAACTTACTTTTACACTAGGATCCAAAGGGTATCTCGAACAAAAGTAATTTTTATGCATAAGGTAAAGATTAGGTATCAAAGCTTTGTCAAGAGTCAGCTTTTCATATATTGGGATTTCAATCATTGCAGTCTGGTCAGAAAAAGTGTATTCCGGAAACCAACCGGCAAACACGCTATTTCTGGCATTCTTATAAAATTCATAGCCGTCCATCAGTTTTCCTAGTACGCTTGATATTTCATTTGGTGTTGGAGGTAATGATGTTTGTGTAAGGGAACGGTGAGCTCGTTTTGTGGGTGTTGTTGTGATTGTGTTTCGATTTTTGTCACGGATTAATTGAACTTCTAAATTTTTATTATTATGGACGTACCCCTAAATTTAAAAATGTAAAATTTGATTTCATTAAAAGACAACTTACTTTCAGCCTGCATTCCAACAGCTAAACATTTGTCGTAGCGACATTTTCGGCAAAAATTTCTTGCTTCTGAAGTGATTTTAAAATTAATAAACCCTTATTTTAGTTTGAGGTTATACGTTTTGTGGATAAGCTATTGTAGTCATTATATGGTTTCATGTGGAGGTTTTTAAAAGGTTTTTTTTCGACTGTTACGGTTGAAAGACTTACTAGTGTCTATGGAATGCCGCTTAGGATGGTTGCACTTGTACACTTTGTGTTCTGCTACTGTTCTTCGGAAAAATGCACCGCCTTAAATGTTTTAAGCTTAGTAAATGAAGGCTAAAACAAATTTATTTTTTGCAAGCTTTTAATTAAAATTATAAATTTATATTACACTAAAGTTGTAAATGTTTATTATAGGCTTACACGCTCTACATACAATTACACCAAAAAGTTCACCATGCGAAGGGGCTCCACAAACTTTACATGAAAAGATACTATTTCTATGCACGCTTTGACTAGTGCTGCTGCTTGGCATTTGAGAATCTGATTCATTCTGAGCGTCTGAATCCATTACTGCTAAATGTCATAAAACGTGAGCAAGGCTTTTTAATAAAAACGAAATCAGCGAGAATGTATATGTTATCAAAATCAAATTTAACAAACTGTCTAAAACGTGATAAAACCTATAAAACGATAAACTTTATTGAAATAAAACAAGAATACGAAACGATTTGGTAGTCGTTCAATTGATTTTAAAGCGCGAGCGAGGTGTACACACATTAATCAAGTCAATGACTTCTTTTTTATCAAGTCGTTGTTTCGAAACTGTTTATCACATCTTATTTATGTGTTTTGTAGTCTGTAGATTGGTTTTGTAGCTATAAATTTGATAATTTTCTTGAAAAGAGTAACTGATCACGCAGTTATGTTTATTGTATGAGGCTTTTGGTGGAAAGAATATTTTTGTATTTTTCAATCACATATAATATATTTTTTTCAATTTATTGCAATTTTTAGTTGGTAACAACAGCGCATTAAAACAAAACAATACAATTTAAAAGTATAAAATTGTAGTTCTAGAGAAAAGAGTTAAGTACTGTCGTAAAATACCCTATATTAATATAGACTGACCCGACTATGTATATTAATAAGTATTGTTATTATGCGGCAAAGTAAACAAAATTGTTATATTAAAGATCAAGTACTATCTTACCTATAACGTAAGTACGATAACAAAGAATTATATAGAAAATATTGTAGTAACAAAGACAGTGATGATAAAATGTAAATTTACAATCATAAACTGTTAAGGCTAGGCTAATAAATTACTGTACAATAATATACAGACTAATATTTATACTGAGATGCAACTATAATACAGGGAAAGTAGTACCTGAATCTTTCAATACAATAAAATTAAAGATTATAATAATCACGACGTTAATGCCAAAGAGAATAGTAAAAACAATAATTAATATGTGTACATTAAAGTTTCCATAGTCATTCATCACCGGTAAATTTCCGTCTCGTCGTAAAGTAGGTTTAAATTTTAATAAAGAAGGCACATAGGCTTAAAGTTGAATTTTTGACAGTACTACCAATGCTGTTCCAATACAAATCAGTACAAAGGCAATGCAGAGAAATGAGTAGTTTCGTTTTGTCTGAAAAGATTAACACTATTAAATGTATCAATCCAACATAGTTTACTTTAAAGTATAATAATTTATGGTATAGTAATGTTCGATAGGCTAGGGTACGGTAAGACCGGTGGGCGTAGGGTGGGAAAAAGTATGTCAGGATAGTGTAACGTATGATAAACTACGGTAGGATAGTATAAAGTAAATTAAAGTAGACTATAGTAACTTTAATGCTTACCGTAATTTCCTTAAAGTAAAACACGCTCCATAAGGCAGCTATCACACCAGGCACAGTTGTAGTAATAGGATATGTGATTGTTTGGCCCAATATATCGTTGGCCATGATCATAGCGGCCATAGCAATACCCCAAATTACACCACCAGCTATTGATGGCAATACTATTTCTGGGTTTACGTGCGGGTTGTTTCGTCTGAAAATATGAAAGTTGATAAATATTTTATTGTTATGTAGGCTTATAAAGTAAAAAAGTTTAAATTGCTGAAATAAAATTAAAAAACTTACCGAAACAACGCATAGCCTACAAAAATGGTACTAGAACCAATAAACACTCCAAAATAGGCACTAAACACAAATGGCAGACCATGTGTAGGAGCATTGGGGAAGTCTTCATGGTGGTCTTCGATATAAAATATTGGTAACAATGTAGCACCATAAAATACACCAGCCACTAATGCCAGCACTATGCATATCACTCTGTCAGCACTGATCTTCGTACCACTTGAACTAGTAGTACTAGACGCAAAATCCGGGTGCAAAATTAGGGGTAGTGATTTGGATTTTCGGCGGAATCTTGGGGGTGTTTTGTTGACGGTTTCTATCGCATCGTGACCGTGATGATAGAAGCCGGAAGGCGTGGAACAGTCAGATGACAGTGGCGAGATACGATCGGATAAACCACTGAGCGGGTCGGTTATTCGAGGGGTTTTTCGCACAAATGCTATTACAAAACCACTGAAAATGATAATTACAAGTTATGTGTAATTTAGAGTAGTTTTTAAAAGCAAAGGTTAGTGGAAGATTTTCAGTGCAAATTGCAATACAAATCTTGCACTCAACTTCCGCTTTTTAAACTGGTCCTTTTACAACATTAATCAATTTAAAATACTGTAACTTACCCCATAAGAACAAAACCCAGTCCCATAATATTGAGAATCTCGCTTTCCGGCAATCTAGCTTTGACACCAAACAATCCGAATCGACCGGTCGCCCAGCCAGTCAAGCAATTTGTTGAATTCCACAACAATAGAGCCACTGCCAATCCAAGACCACTTATTACTTTCTGTGACAATGTGTTGGCGATTGTCCATAATATTCCACCAACAACTGCTAATGGTTGGAACGATGGGAAGTCTTCTATCACGTTGATAACAAAACCTGTGATTAGGATTCCAACACTCATTGCCCATTGCACGAAGAAGCCTAGAATAATATAAGCTTAGGGATGGTTTTGAGGGTTTAAGTATTGTAAAACAAGTTTTGGCATTTTTTTAAGTAACGGAAGATTGGTGGAAGATTTTTAGTGTAAAATACATTAAAATATTCCACCCAACTGACATATAAATTTTCAACCGCTTTAGGGCTAAAGAATGAAATGGCTTACCATCACCAGTAGGATATCGTCTGATAGGCACATGTAAAGTTCCAAATCCAATCGCAGCTATGATTGCTGCTATGACACCTTGATACATACAATACGTCGATTCGTCTGTCATTTTATACTAAAAATTTTAAAAATAATTTTTTTCTTAATTGAGCAAGCAAAATTATTGATGTAGTTGATAAAAAAATCAAAATAAATAAAAAAAAATCACGATATATATTCAATGACATCAACAACATGTTTGGCAATGTCTAGAATAACACATTGGTCATACTTGTATGTTCTGTCTATGTCATATCAAATATGAACTCAAAACTTTTCCAAATAATCATACGGTAGAATACGTCAATGCGGAAATGCAAACATTGGAATTACAATAACAATGACAACGTTCCCACACTTAACGTTCCTAACGTTCTTTTTAGGAACGTTAGGGTTTGTTTTTATAAAAGTTTGGTCTTGCATTGGAAATTTTGGAAAGGAAAAATAAAAAAAAGGTACTCAAGGGTTAAATTAGGAAAAATTATAGTGGAAGATTTTTAGTGCGATTTGCACTGAAAATCTTCCATCGCATTTTCACTTTCAAAAAATTTTTATAACCGGCTAAACATAAAAATATAGTGAAAACCCTAAGCCTAAAATTCCAAAAAATATGAGTTCTAGCTCTTAAAACAAAAAATATATTAAAACTGAGAAGAATTACACTTCCGACCGTATAAACACGCTGACGTTCCGCCGTTCTCAAACAGTTGTTAAATCGAATGTTTACACAAAAAACGGATTGTCAAAGGATCTTTTGAGTAATATGCAAGCTCTCGAATTGTTGAACTTGAACACGTTTTCAATGGAAATCGTTAAAATAGTCTTGGTGGTCGTTAATTCTGCTCGGAAATCATGTTTTTTATTGTTTTGTTATGACAAATGTTACAAATAGGAACACTGTAATTGAAGGTTTTATTTCTTAGCGCAGGTGGTGCGCTTAAAATATTTTTAAAGTACGCGGTAAGCTAAGGGATAGGCTTGTTGAAAAAATAAGGTTTAACGTAAAAATAAGTATAGAAATAAGGTCAAAAAGTTGAAAGAATTAAGCTTACTAAGCCTAAGTCTATTAAACCTAAGATTAATAATCTTGTGCTTACTAATCTTCTCCAAAGTATAAGCCTGAGTCGACTGAGCCTAAGCCCGCTGACCTAAGTCTGCTAAACCTAAGAAAAGTTTATACTTGAGAATACGATATATGCGCCTATAAAATCAAAATCAACATTAAAAACACGGTATAATCAAAACCTTTTTTACAAAATTTTCGCAGTGTTACCTAATCTTGTGATATCAGAACATAGCCTTAGAGAAATTGCAAGAATTTGTGTTGCGCAACTTTTTATTATGTAATTTTATGGCTTTATATAACATATGCCTCGATGTAAAACGACCCAACAAATTACTGCGAGTACGCCAAAATTATTCTATCTTAACTTCGAGGAAATACTATAAAATTTAAAAAATTAGTGCTAAACTTCACGTTCCCCCAACGTCAATTTTTAAACCTACTGAAACGTTGTCTCGACCATAAATGTTCAAATGTGGGCGAGGGACTGAAAATTATTCAAAATCACAAAATATTCAAAAATGCGGGCTAATTTACAAGTTGAAAAAGTGAATTGGCCTAAACGTTCCAAAGAATTGGAAGTGAGACGGAAATTGGAAAATTGATGTTAACATAGATCTGCATGGGCAAAAAAAGAAACTTTCGGTCTTTAAATTTAAAAAAGTATTGGGTACGGTAAGGGATTCTCCCTTAAAACTTTTTTTTTGAAAATTTGTTTCTGGGGGGGGTTCCCCCCCCCCCCCCTCCCAGCGTCCGACTCTACACCTAACTTCACCTCTACCTTTACACCCACCCCTACCATTGCAATACATAATCTACCTGAATTTCTACCTCTTCTACGTATATATATGTACCATTCAACCTTGGTCGTCTGTTCACAGTTTTTTAATCACGTTGTGTTGGCTAAAGCCGGTTAATCTTACTTGGTCAAAACGATCATAATCAATTTGAAATTTTTTAAAAATCAAAAAAAAATTAGATTTGAAAAATACAAGTGAACAACACATTTTCATGTTATCCTAGTCACACTGAAGTGAGATACATAACGTGAAGTAGCATAACGTAGCAAGAGAGTTACTATGGTAAAATGACATGAGATTGTAGAGTAAAAAAGTATTTCATTTACCTTTAAAACGTAAAAAAATTTAAATCCTTTTTAAATTTTTTGTTATACAAATGAACGATCACACACTGTTCTTATTTGTAACAAAAAAACAGTTGAAAACACCAAAACTTAGGTTAATATTACTGTAGGAAAGTGATTTATGACCGTAACTTTTGTAAAAAGGCGCGATTGAGAAAGTTGCAAAAATTTTGTTTACACAACTGCAAACCATAAAAAATTGCTGTTTTGACACTTTTTGAGAGTGGAAGTTTGGTGGAAGGTTTTTAGTGTAATTTTCACTGAAAATCTTTCACTTAACTTCCATTTTTTAAAATGCCAACAGTCCTTTTATAATCCTATTAACTCATACAAAGTGCTTTAAATTCATCTACAAAATTTTTATTTCTTCAAAAAATGCCAAAAACCATGTTTACCACCTCTTCCCTTATTAAAAATGCTTTTACAAAGATAAGAAACCATTGACCGTAGTATTTCGGTATATATAACAATAATGCTGCTCTCAAAAACAAGATATTACACTAAAACATGGTATAATTAGCCCTATGGTTTGACTTGTTTTAATGTTTTTTGTTGAAATAGTCGAAGTAAACAATCAAATTAGTGACGAAAATCGGCTTAAAACCCAGTTCATTTCATAAATAATGTGGCAGTATTAATCAACAATTTTAAGGTTTTTGGCTTTTAAAGATACTTTTTGTAATTTTTTAGTTTGTATAAATATTTTTTTTGGCAGAAAACGTACTTTTAAGGAAGCTTTTTTGGTAATGGAAGTTCAGTGGAAGATTTTCAGTGCAAATTACAAATATTTAATTTTAAAAACCTATTCAAAATACAATATCAATAATAAAAAGTTAAAAAAATAATCAAAAAAAAATAAAATCTTCCACTCAACTTCCATTTTTAAAAGTCTTAAAATGACTTAAAAATGAGTTTTTGAACATTTTTGAAAGTGGAAGTTGAGTGGAAGATTTGCAATGCAAAATACACTAAAAATCTTCCACTAAAATTCCACTTTCAAAAAGTGTCAAAAAGTCATTTTTAAGCCATTTTAAGACATTTTTAAAATGGAAGTTGAATGGAAGATTTTCAGTGCAAACTACATTACAAGTCTTCCACTTAACTTCTATTTTTAAAAAGTATGATTTTCCCGTTTTTAAACGAAATATCTGGGCAATATATCGCTCTGTAATTGCTCTGTAAGCTCTGTAAAGAAAGTTCACGTCATTTTTGATTTTTATGAACCAAAAATTTTAAGTTTGATATAAAGAACGTTCCAGTAAGTTACAAACAACAAAATTTTAAAATTTGAAAAAACATTGCCCTTTACCATATCAACCCGTCAAGTTTAATAGACAAAATTTTAAACTAAGTTAGATGACCAAAGGGCTAATTTTTTTGTTTTCTCAAAGTTTTTAAAAGATAAAAAAATATTGACGGCGTAATTAAGGGTAGAAATACGGTACCGCTAGGGTACGGTAGAGCAGTGATAAGGTTGGGTATGCCTAATGCAGGCTACGGAAAAGCAGGGAAGAGTAGGGTACAATACAGTACGATAGGGCACGATAAGGTACTACAATGAAAAGTAAAAATTGTGCTGTAGTATGAAGTTTGTCTTCATCCTAACCTCCCCACCAAGTCTACCCTCACTTACTCCCCCTCCGACGTTCAAAGAACGGATAAACAATAAATATCCGTTCTATAAATTCGTAACCGCCAGCCACAAATTCTGCGTCACTAACCTTAATTTTATTTCAAATGTTTTGGTTTGCAAATGAAAAATAAGTTTAGTGGCTCAAATTTGGTTATGCATGTTCGTCACGAATTTAGTACGGTAGAGCTGTAATTTTCACAATTAAGATTTGAGTGGAAATTGGGAGGAAGATTTGTAATGTAATTTGCACTAAAAATCTTCCATTCAACTTCCATTTTTGAGATGTCTTAAAATGGCCTAAAAACGTCATTTTAAAGGTTTTTAGAAGTGGAAGTTTGGTGGAAAATTTGTGATGTATTTTGCACTAAAAATCTTCCACCAAAATTCCACTTTTAAAATTTGACAAACCGTGTCTTAAAAGGATGTAGCGTGCATAAAATATGACCCCACAGTATAAAAATGTCACAAAACGTTAAAAATTAGTTCACTAACTTTGTCTCTTGCCCATAAAAGGCTTGTATGTCCTATAAAATTAAGAAAACAAAAAACAAGGACGAAAGCAGGAGAGAACATTGTTGCCTAACGTTCTAGAACGTTGGACAAACAAACCCAAATTCTCTAATCCTTCACTAATCAAATTTGAAAATTAGTCGGATTTGAAATGGCATATGGAGTTTGTTATAATGAAATGGGGATAGGCTTGGAAAAAGAAATAATTGAGGACTTAAAAAGTTCATTATAAACCTAAAATTTATAGAAATGAAAAACTAAGCTTGAAAGTTAAAAATAAACATAAAACTGCCCTACATACCTTAAAATTCATTACTTTGCCCAGCCTTTGCCCTGTTTTTGCCCTGCCTTTGCCCTGCATTTGCCGTGCCTTTGCCGTGCCTTTGCTCTGCCTTTGTCCTGCCGTTGCCGTGCATTTGCCCTGCCTTTGCACTGTCTTTGCCCTGCCTTTGCCCTGCCTTTCCTTGCCTTGCCTTGCACTACAACGCTACTCTGTTCTGTCCTGCCTTATCCTACCCTACACTTCTTTGTCCTGTAATGGCCTTCCGTAGCCTAAACATGGCCCTTACTTTTCCTCTACAAAAACAAGTTAAAAACTTAAAGCAAATTTTTATTACCTAAACTTAAAAATGAGTGTTCCAGGCCCATTACCAACAATCTAAAGCAACCTGTCCAAAACGAATAAAAATGCAAATGTCTTTTACGTCCAACTTTTTATTATCCCATGAAAAAAAGTTTTTTCAAGTAAACAAATTTGAGTGAACAGTGGTCCTCACTCAGCACGAACCCTTGTGCACCAAAGAGCAAAAGTAAACAAGACGAGAGAGTATTTACAGATATCTAATGAGATATCCTGGGAAAATTGTTTTGAGTATAATAAAAATGAGTAAAATTACTTAGAAAAACAATAAATAGCTAAAAGTTTTATTATGTTAGACAAAGTAACAAGTTATAAACAGTGGAAGTTGAGTGGAAGATTTTTAATGCATTTTGCACTGAAAATCTTCCACCCAACTTCCACTTCTAAAATGTGTCAAAAAGTCATTTTTAAACCATTTTAAGATATTTTAAAAGTGGAAGTTAGGTGGAAGATTTTCAGTGAAAAATACATTACAAATCTTCCATCAAAATTTCATTAGTTTAAAAGCCTAAAAATGAACCAAAAACTCTGATATAGCTTGAAAAATAACATCATATAAAAAACAGCTGATACTCTTTATATTTTGGCAGTTATAAACAAAAAAACATAGAAAAAGCATGCTGTTTTTAGCTTGTTTGTTTAGATATAATCACAGACAGTATTTGTAAATAAAGAATGACACAAAAATAAAATTTTTCAACTTTGAACTGACAAAGATAGAATTTTACGTGTGCTTTATGGATGTATATACATTAAATAAAAATACAGTATTTTTCTATAAAAAGTAATTGCGCAATATTACGTTACATATACAGTATACTGACAATTATAGTAATGGGTAGTAAATTATCAAAAAATGAAAAGGAAAACACAAAATTTATACTTATATAAAACTGATTTTTTAACCATAACATTACTCATCAACCCCCACCCCCCCCTTCCCTATTATGTTCGTTTATATTCTAGTGACCAAAAACAGTCCAACAAATACGCTTAACCTTTTATGAGTTTTCAATTCCATTCGGAGATTTATATTCCCAATTTGCAGCAAAAACAACGATCAAAAGCGTTTCGAAATGGGCTTGATCACTAGTGTTCATGAAGGCTTTTTAAGGTTTTTTCAAAAATCAGTTTACAATTTGTACTGAATATGAAATTACATTATAGTAATCAGTTTAGGCTTAGGGCACAATTTTTGTTTTTGAACAGAAGTTGAAGTTTAAGCTCAGGATTAGGCTTAGGCTCTAGCTTAGGCTCTGCCTATGGATTAGGGCTTTGGCTTAGGCTTAAACTTAGGCTTACACTTAGGCTTAGCCTTAGGCTTAGGCTTATGCTTTGGTTTAGGCTTAGGCTTTGGTTTAGGCTTAGGCTTCGTCTGAGACTTAAGCTTAGTCTTAGTTTTAATTTTAAGCTCAGCCTTCGGCTTAGAATCCGTCTTAAGATAAGGCATATGCTCAAACGTAAGCCTAGACGATTACATTAGACAATATAAGGTTAGAATAAAGCAAATCTTAAAAAAATAAACAAAGTTAATGAAATGCAAATCACGGTAACCTTTGAAAGCTGCTAAAACCTCATGAGAGGTGATTTACCATGTATAATTTTAAGCTTGTACATCAAAGGGCAAGGAGTTTAATCATTAAACAACAACAGTTCTTTTACGCTAACAAAACTGTGCAAGAAACAAAAAAATAATTCGAAAGTTTAAAATTAATAAATATTTTTAAAATTTTAAAAGTCCAATAAATTTTTAAAATTCCGACGTCTAGCCGAACGTTTCTTCCTAAGATTGCCACCTCAAATGTGGGTTCCGCTTGACGTGAAAATGAGCCGGTCAGGTGGAAATCCTCGTTTGCAGCGGCTGTTCCAATGTTTTGGCCGTTCTGATAAGAAGAAAAACACATGTCATAATTTGGTTTTGAACTGTTTTAAATTTTTTTACAAAAAAAAATCAAAAAATTATATAAAAAGGGCCTTTTATGGTTTTAAATGACTATAAAAGGCCCCAAATACCAAATTTAAAGCAAAATGTCATTGATACAAATATAAATAGAGCTAAAGTTTAAATTTGCTTAACAATCGTTTAAAAACTTCCTTTTCATTTCAAAAACTTTAAATATGAAGTGGGCTAAAATTTTTATTTTTCTGTTTTTAATTTGCTTCCAATACAGTAAAAGCAATAAATTTACTGTACCCATTGAAAAACATCATAAAGGTTTGGTTGGTATTGTTGATGGAAGTAAGTGCTCCATAAAGACCACGTTTTTTTAAATCTAAATCCAAAAAAAATTTTATTTCCATTTATTTTAACTAAATTTAAAGATACGTTTTGTTAAAACTATTATTTTCAGTTCGAGTATATGATCAAAGAAGACTGGAAAGAAGCCTTGATTTTACCAAATCTAACATCACACAGCCATTGAAAATTTTTCAAAACATAGAGTATATTGGTAAGTTTTAGCCCCAGCCCAGAGACCTAGCCCAGAGCCCTAGCCCAAAGCCCTAGGCCAGAGCCCTAGCCCAGAGCCCTAGCCCAGAGCCCTAACCCAAAACTCTAGCCCAGAGCCCTAGTCCAGAGCCCCAGCCCAGAGACCTAGCCCAGAGCCCTAACCCAAAACTCTAGCCCAGAGCCCTAGCCCAAAGCCCTAGCCCAAAGTCCTAGCCCAGAGCCCTATCCCAGAGCCCTAGCCCGTATTTCTACCTTATACTACCTTACATTAACCGCGAACTCTGTTTATTAGCAAACGTAACATTTGTCACACTACCACAACAATATCGTGTGATTCTCGATACCAGTTCATCCGACACATGGATTCCTGGGGCTGATTGCAAAGGAAGGTACGGTCCTTGTCGCTCCAATGGTTTTAACAAAACCTCATCTACAACCTTTCAAGACCAACACAAACGATTCTCAATTCTATACTATGGTTTCCGACAAGAACGAATCGTTGTTGTAGGTCATGTTGGTCGAGATACTGTAGGACTTGGGGATATAAACGAAAACAAATTAGTTGTTCAAAATCAAGGCATTGGTGTTGTTAAATACTTGGGCAGTGCATTTTATTCGGATGCCAAGTATGATGGAATTGTTGGCTTGGGCTTTAGTAGTGGGTCTTCTGAAAATGAAAATTCAGTTTTTGAAAACGCAGTTAAGCAAGGATTGGTTGATCAGCCAGTGTTTACTATTTGGACGACGGAGACTTTGGATAGTGTAGAGGTAAGTAAGGGCAGGGTAGGATAAGTTGGATAAGGATAAAGCAGGATAGTGTAGGTGGGTAGAGTAGGGTAGGGTAGGGTAGGGTAGGGTAGGGTAGGGTAGGGTAGGGTAGGGTAGGGTAGGGTAGGGTAGGGTAGGGTAGGGTAGGGTAGGGTAGGGTACGGTACGGTACGGTAAGCTATGCCTAATCTTTTTTATGTAACTTTTTCTGTCACCCCTTCAGGGCAAATTTGGTGGCCAAATAACATACGGTGGATACGACAATGACCATTGTGACAATTCTTACATTTACTGGACAAACACTTCTTCTTCACTCAAATATTGGCAATTCGAACTGGACGATTTTATAATAAACGATCAGAGAATGGGCAATAAATACCGTGCTATAACAGACTCCCGCACCGATTATATTGTGGTTAAAGAAGATTTATTTGCACAAATTATAAAAATTTTTGGAGCAGATTATTCCCTTCCCATGCTACCATGCAATTCAGACATATCGCTGACTATCGTATTGAATGACGACGAGCTTGTTATTGAGGCCAGGCATTTACTTATAAAGGATTATGCTTCTGATCAAATGTGTGGATTGGCTGTTGTGTCGGCTGCATTTGGTCATGATGACATTGACATTGTGCTGGGTGATGCTTTTATTCGACAATTTTGTCAAATTCATGATGTTGCAAAGAAGCGGCTTGGATTGGCTCAAAATAAAATTTATTTATAAAAGTTGTTTTAAAGGCGCTAAAACTCCGGTATAAACTTTACTTTACTTTATTTACTAAATCAACCAACAATAAAATATTAAATAATATGGACTTTCTTCCACTTTTCTCTGGACACCCTGTACTTAAACATGACCGTAACATTTGATCTTTTCAATGTAGTCACTCAGGGCCACATTCCATCTATCATCATCGGCTTCCAACCAGTCATTACCAATCCACGAATTGTTTATTAAACAAAACGAACTCTATTATAAACTAATTAGCGCATATCAACCCAAAAAAAATTTTTGAAAAAAGTTGAACCCCTGTCGATTTTCGCAAAAAAATGGCACAGGTGTGCCGCTTTTCCGACCCCCGCCCTCAGACCAAAAGTCCCCGCCCACCCCTGCGAGCAACTTTTAAGTTTTCGTCTACCACTACACAAGGCATTAAAACTCCTTAAACCGAAATTTCATACCGGACAAATATAAAATTTAAGAACAATTTGTTATGGGTCTTTTAAATTCTAAAACCCATAGTTTGTACAAAAGTCTTACTGTATGCACTTTTATGCTTCCAATTGGTTTTTTTAATATTTGTAAAGCTTTCTACGAAAATTCTTACTACGTCACAAATATTTAACATATACTTTTAAATTGATTTTTACGTCAAAATTAAAAGTTGTTTATGAACGTACTGTTTGAACAAATCGTTATTAAACTATTTTAAGAATTTATGGCGGACAAATAACAAAAGAATTTACTTATATAAGCATCGCATTTAGACAGTATCCACTATGTTTTTTAAATTTTGCTTTTTTTAAAGCTTTTTATTGCTACGACTGCATATCCTAATAAAATAGAAAAATGTTGTTTTCATTGTTTGTTGTAACGTTACTGGTCAATACGTTTGTGGTATGTTTTTCTTGTTGTAATTAGCTTTAATGTATTTTAGAACAGCAAAACAATCACCTGGGACCATGTAGTGCCAAACTCTCCTCCAAACAAGGGATACTTTGTGGTGGAAACAATGCCAAATAAAGTGGAAAGAACCACTTATATGGAAGTAAGTTGTCAGTTGGATATAACTCGATACCTTTTTACTTGGTTGTAAAAAAAGGTTCCAAAAGACAAACACCTACTCTAGGATTATTCAAGTGCAATTTGTATTACCAACTAATTACAAAGATATACAATTTTCATTGTAATGATCGTAAATGTCTTTCCAGGTACACATTTATCCAAACGACGTCCGAACCCGAAGTGGATCCTTCAGCACGTCTTTAAAGACGAAACTCTTCCACGACCTAAATGGAGTTACCGGGGATGTTGCTGGCCACATTTTGGCCAACACTTTTGGTGGTCCAAATACCGCCACCAATTTCTTCCCACAAGCACCTTCAGTGAACTCCAATGTAGGTGCTCGTTTTGCACTAAGTTCGTGGTTTGAAAACGAAAACGACATGCGCCGATGGTTGCGCGGTGATAGCTTAAAGTTTTATCAAGGCAACATTAACGGTGTCCGAAGTGTGCTTTATAAAGTTGGTTTGGAATATGCTAGCAGCAAAAGTGGAAGGTGAGTTTTAATGGGTTTATACAGTGGAATTCCTTATAACGAACTCTTTTATAACGAAACTCCTTTATAACGAACAAATTTCAAGACCCCAAACGATTTGTTTTACAGAAGTTCCACTGTATAAAAAATTGCCAAACAACCATTCTTGCAATTTTCTAAATAAGTCTTTAATGTTGTTGGTTCCAAATTAGAAAAATATTTAAAAAATACAGCACTGATATAAACTAACGTTTTGTACATTTTTTAGACCTTCCAAAGTTCATTTTTCTACAATCTTCGAAATAAACGGTCATAAAATAACTGAAACGAGCGGTCACTTTGATAACTCCAAGAAAGATTCAGGACACGCTCGCATTGTTTGAATCAATTCTAGTATTATAATTCAATAAACTTTGCAACTACTTTCATTTGTTTGATTATGCTTATGAAATTAGTTAATCAACAACGACGATTTTTAAGAATACAGTAGGACCTTTGGATAACGAAGTTCTTGGGGAATTTAAATGTGTTTGTTATGAAGAAGTTTCAGTATACTGAAGCTTCAAATGCACAGTGTAGCGTTGCGAGATTTAACATTTTCCCGCTATATTAGTTATACAGAAGTTCCAGTGTACTCGTAACAACTACATTTAGTTGACCATCAATAATAAAACTACATTTTTCTATTTTCTTGTAAATTGCAAAGAGTACGAACGTAGTGTTTAAACAGCTTTTTGTGTAAGAACACACAGAAGGCTTGATAAACAAACATCCTTATATAAGCGTAAAATTTTTTCAATTTTTACATTTTTTGTTGTTTTTGCAACAGTATTAAACTATATTTTTTGCCTCACAAGGGGTGGCAAGAGTAGAGTCTCGGACATAAAAACGAGAATTATGTCATGTGAAAGAGCGTAAAACGATCAAGAGTTTTGGTAACGACGGCCCTATGGGCAACTAAAACAACTTGATCTAACCTTAACTTCCACGCCTTAGGCCTTGCATCCTAAGTCCGCTACCTTACTTTTGTCAACTTGTTTAATCTGTCTACATTATTTTTAGTGTTGTACAGTCAAAAAAGAAAAGATGTGAGATCCAATTTTTCTTGCAACAATTTTAACCAATGTGATTGTGGTAAGTTTTGTACCTCCAAGCACTATTTTTTAGGCAATAAACAGCGTAATTGTAACTTGGGACAATGTAGTGCAAAACGCTCCGGAAGCTAAAGGGTACTACAACGTGGAAACAATGCCAAGTGGAATAGAAAGAACCACTCATATGGAAGTAAGCTGTTCATATAACTCGGTGACTTGCTAGCTAATTACAAAAAAAGTATCAAAATACAAACACCTACTACTTTAATACGTAAGATCCTGACAATTACATTTGCATTGTCAAATAAGGTTGCAAGATTTTCACTAAAATGAGCGTATCCTATTAATGAAGGCTTTATTCTTGGGTCGAACTAGAGGTTTGAAACGATTTTCATTGTAGGTACATATATACCTTTCGGATGTGCGAGAACGAAGTGGATCCTTCAGTCGTACACTAAGAGCCAACCTTTTTGATGATCTAGGTGCAGTTGACGGCGATGTTGCTGGACATATTCTAGCTAACACTTTAGGTGGTACAAATACGGCGATTAATTTTTTCCCACAAGCACCTTCAGTCAACTCAAACGTGGATGCTTGCTTTGCGTTAACGTCTTGGTTTGAAAACGAAAACGACATTCGTCGGTGGTTGCGCGGCGATGACTTAAAATTTTATCAAGGCAACATTAACGGTGTCAGAAGTGTGTTATATAGGGTCGCTTTAGAATATCCAGATGACAATATTGGCAGACCGTCCAAAATTTACTTTAAGACATTCTTTCAAATCAACGGCTATCAAATCGCCGAGACCAAAGGAGAGTATTATAATCTAAAGCAAGATTCGCATCAGGCTCGAATCATCTAAAGTGATATGTAAAAGAAACAAAGTACAAAATTTTTGAGAACTGAGTACACTTTTATCCTACTGTATCAATAAATTAGTATTATCAGACTATTAAATATTTGATAAATTATTAATGGCAGCCGGCTACATAAACTTTAGAATAATAATACAAAGCGGCTAAATAAAAAACCATTTACTCAGACGATATATATATATATAATAAACTGGATTTTAATTGCATTGTAAAAAATGTTGTTGCTTGTGGCTGTGTGTATACTAAACTTACAGTATGGTAATAGCAAACAATATGCCATACCTGTTACCAAGGAATATTCAAATCACCTAGGTGTTGTTGATGGGAGTATGTTTAATTTATTTATTTTATAATACACATGTATAGTATAAAATAAAAAATGTCATATCTAGTTCGAGTTGTTGATACTGAAAAGCATCGCAAAAGTGTGAAGCGTCTAACTGGAAAATACAGGTCGAATTCGTCTCAACCACTTTATGATTATCAAGACTATGAATATGTCGGTACGTTCTTTAAAGCCACAGCCCTAGCCAGCCAATGCCCCAGTTTTATTGTTACCCTGGAATTTAAACCTTTAGGCTACTTAATTTTCAAATTGTCTAGGCGACTTAACCGTGGGCACACCACCAACCCAATTTCGTGTTATCTTTGATACCGGTTCCGCTGATACATGGCTTCCGGGTGTTTCTTGCCAAGTAGGAGGCACTAACAAAACTTGTAATAAAACGCTTTTTGATCCGAAAAATTCATCAACATTCCTTGATAAAAATACAACCTTCTTCATTGGATACGGTACCGGTAGTGTTGAAGGAAAAATCGGGTTTGATGATGTAGGGTTAGGTGGCATACATGATGATAAAATTGTTGTAAAAAATCAATCAATTGGAGTGGTAACCATTGCGGACGACATGATTAATAGCGACATAACTATGGATGGGATAGTGGGGTTGGCGTTCACGGAGATGTCAACTATGTTTCAAAAATCAATATTTGAAAAAGCCATAGAGGAAAAGCTGGTTGATCAGCCGGTCTTCACTGTTTGGATGGACGGTGAAGGGTATGATGCAAATGTAAGCATTGTTTTAACTGGGGGGGGTTGCATTAGTGTAGACCGGTTGGGAGTAACTTTAGTTTTAGAAAGAATTTCCAACGCCTTAATATATAAAAAATGTAAATATTGTAAAAGTTTTGTGAAGTTTATAGTTGGGACCCCTAATATAATAAACTACTGTAGGGAACTATTGGAGGACAAATCACATTTGGTGCATTCGATTGCGATCACTGTGAATGTGACACCACGAATTGGATTATTTTAGAATTTGCCTTTTATTGGAATATCGTTATTGATGGTTTCGGAATTAACAATAAGTTAATTAGCCAGAGATATGGTGTCGTTGTGGATACTGGCACTTCATATATTATTACACCACCTGACGTGTTTGAGCAAATTGTGAAAGAGTTCGGAGCTACCGAAAAAGATGGGGAATACGTTTTGCCTTGCAACTCGAATGTCTCATTGTCCATTGTGGTTAATGCGGTTGATGAGAACACATATGTAATTCAAGCTAAGCATTTACTGTTAAAGCCGCATAACAGCGACTCATGCATATTGGCTATTCAAGGTGCTGATATATCTTGGGATATACAATTTATATTGAAAGATCCGTTTATTCGCCAATTCTGTTTGGTCCACAACGTCGAAATGCAGAACCTTGGATTATCAAAAGTCAAAGTTTAATTTATAAAAGTAATTTGTATTGATTCACTTGAATCAATGAATAAAGCATATTATTATAAGATCAATTCAAATAAAGTTATAGTATAAAATTAATTTATTACATAAAATAAAGTTTAAAACAATAAAAAATGAAAAAATTGCTGAAGTTCAACTAAATTAAAGATTAATATACGTATATATATATCATTATTTTGTTTGTGAATCACAACAGTCACTTACAAGTAACAGTGAAAACATTAGTAATTTTATGGTTATTATTACTACAGTATGTTTTTTGCAAAAAGTTTTCTATGCCAATAAAAAAACACTACTTGAACCACCTTGGCACAGTTGATGGAAGTATGTAACAGTTCCTATAATATAATATCTTACTTATAATTTTTGATGAACTGTATTATTACTGTTTAGCTATTTTTGACATAATGTGAATTTTAGTCCGTATTGTTGATGGAGAAAGACATCGAAGAAATCTGAAATTATATGCAATTAAATATCGATCAAATCATACTCAGCCGTTTTTTGACTACAATGATTTTTTGTACCTGAGTAAGGTCTTTTTTGTATATATTTATTATTTTTTGTGTATTTTTTTGTTTTTTTTAATTTCAAGTTGTTTTCAGGTGACATTACTGTAGGCACACCACCAACCCAATACAAAGTAATACTTGACACAGGCTCATCAGATTTGTGGGTGCCCGGACTAAATTGCAAAAACCAAGAAACAGGAGAGACCTGTTACAAAAAACTTTTTGATGAAAAAGCTTCATCCACTTTTGAAGACCTGCACCGAAACTTTAGTATAACTTTCTACGGGGCCGGTCCAATCTCAGGACACGTTGGTAGAGATACTGTAGGGTTGGGTGGTATTGGCAATGATAAATTGGTAATTACTAACCAAGGCGTTGGTGTGGCTGATCTATTGGGTGGGCTGAATAATAACTTTACCATGGTTAATGGGATTGTTGGCTTGGCATTTACCGCAGGTTCTATTGAAAATGAAACCGCAGTTTTTGAGAAAGCGGTCGAACAGAAGTTGGTTGATGAACCTATTTTTACTGTTTATATGAGTGATCTTATTGCTGAGGTAAAAAAGATATGAGGTTTATTTCTATTTTTTATGTCTTATTCAGAACAAAACCTCCGGTCAAATAACATACGGTGGTTTCGATGACGATCAATCGTTAATGACAAAGCAATTGGTAGACGTTTCCGTGTTGATTCTGATACTGGATCACCATATATTTTTGCGCCAACCCCTGTCTTTGACCTAATGGTCCAAGAATTTGGTGCTACAAAACAAAATGATGATTACGTTTTACCATGCAATTCTAACATTTCATTGACTGTTGTCATAGACAAGAAGAAACATGTTGTTGACGCGAAACAATTGCTGTTAAAGACTAATGATTGTGATAATTGTGTGCTGGCAGCATCTAATTTTACTCTCAATTCAACTCTTGATTTTGTTTTTGGCGATACTTTCGACAGTTTTGCCATGTTTATGATGTTGAAAATTATCGACTTGGATTTGCTAAAATTAAAAACTAACTTTGAAGTTTGAAGATAATGTTTTATTATTCAATATTGTACGAATAAACGCTTTTTTTTTATTTTTTTTGCACAGGTGATTGGAAATAAAAAATATTTACCATGCGGTGGCCTTATTATTGTAGAAGATGCGACCTCTTGTCGAACAGTCAAAGACAAGAAACGTTAAGAATTCCTCTAATTGTTCAAATATCTGTGACCTCTTAATTTTACCTTAATTGTTTGAGTTTGGTAAAAGGTGGTTCTGTGAAGATCTGACGAAAACCCGGGGCATTTCGCAATAAATTCATTCCACTACTTTGTTATGTTGCGAAGAGGATTGCGACATACCAATAGTGACATTATACTTGAAAAGCATAGTAAAATGTCAAGATTGATGATTGCAAAACTAAACAAAAGTTGAAAATCGTATATCATATATGTGATATATACATTAGTTATCAAAGCCTTTTTATTATTTTACTAATTATGAAGAGACTTGTTGTATTTGCCTTGCTATTACAGTATGCAGTTTCTAAAAAGTTTTTTGTGCCAATTGAAAAACATCATGTAAACCACATTGGCATGGATGATGGATGTAAGTGTAACTTATAATGCTGTTGTAAATTAAAACAAATTTAGAAGTTACTTTATATTTATATTTCACAGTTCGAGTAGTTGACAAAGAAACACACCAAAGAAATTTAAAGAACTTGATAGCTAAGTACAAGTCACAGCCATCGCAGCCTTTGTATGATTATGCCGACATGATGTATGTTGGTAAGTACTACAGTTAAATCTCTTTAGTGTTACCCTCCATAGTGTGTCACTTACAATTTAGTCAATAGTGTATACCTATAGTTTACAATGCTTTAGGCGACATAACCGTCGGAACTCCACCAACTCACTTCCTTGTTGTGCTAGACACGGGCTCAACCGATGTTTGGATTCCTGGTAATAATTGCAAAGTCGAAAAAAGTGGAGAAAAGTGTAACAAAACTTTGTTCGATGAAAAAGCATCTTCTTCATATAAAGACCTAGACCGTCAATTTGAAATACATTATGGTACTGGTCACGTAAAGGGTCATGTAGGAGAAGATACTGTTGTGTTGTGTGGTTCTGGCAATAATGGCGTACTGTTTTCGGGTGGTAGTGGCAATGACGGAGATAGTGGCAAAGACGGAGATAGTGGCAATGACGGACTAAAAATAGTGAACCAAGGAATTGGTGTTGTTGATAGACTAGACCATTTGACTAATGGGTATCAAAACATGGAGGGAATCGTTGGCCTTGGGTTTTCTACCAGCTCAGAAGAAAACGTAACGTCGATATTTGAAAAAGCGGTAGAAGAAAAGTTGGTCGACGAACCTATTTTTACAGTTTGGATGGATGAAGAAGGCTTGGATTCTGAAGTGAGTGACGCAAGACAAATTTTTAAAAAATGCAAGCCACTGGCAAAAAATACTATAGTACTATATTACCATATTCCAGGGCAAAGTAGGAGGCCAAATAACCTACGGTGGCTTAGACACAGATCATTGTAGCTCCGGTATTGACTATGCCCAAATCACAAACACTCATTGGTGGCTTTTTGAAATAGATGACTTTGAAGTTAACGGTGAACCGATTGGTCAAAAGTACAGAGTAGTCACAGACACTGGTACGTCTTTCATCACCGCTCCTGCAGATGTGTTTTTGCAAATTACTATCGAATTTGGAGCGAGGTACGACTTTGACGACTTGGTTTTTAAACTACCTTGCAATTCCAATATTTCACTTACTGTGGTGCTGAACAACAAAAGGCATGTAATTGAAGCTGAGCACTTGATGATAAAACAAGGTGACAGCAAAGAATGTATTTTAGCTGTAGAAGAGGTTAACTTTGATGACATCGATTTTATTCTTGGTGATCCGTTTATTCGACAGTTTTGTCAAGTTCACGATGTTGAAAACAAACGAGTCGGATTGGCTAAATCGAAACCTAAAACACTCTAGTTTTAATTTTAAATAAATTTTATGCAATACTTTCGATACTTTTTTTTCAATCTGACGATTTCGGTATATGGCCACTTATAATTTTCGCTAATAGATAGGTTTCGATTTACACATCTATATTTCTGACATAACATTGTCTTTCCATAAAATCTGTCGTTTTGGGTTACTCTTAACAAAACACGACAAGAGGTATAAAGTGGAACCCCTGTATAACGAATCGTTCGGGGTCTTGAAATTTGTTCGTTATAAAGGAGTTTCGTTATACAGGAGTTTTAAATGCACTGTGTAGTGGTAGACGGGGATTCAAAAGTTGTTCGTTATACAGGATTTTCGTTATAGAAGAGTTCGTTATACAAGACTTCCACTGTAATGAATTTATTTCGGAAATTCCCGGCTTTTATATCGTCAACAAAGTACAAAAAAAAGACAAGAGAGATTTGCATATTGCTAGGAATCTTCATCATTCCTTGGACTTGACGATTTGTCAAGCGGTCGGGTCCGCCATAAATTCAGTAAGTATTAAAAATAATGCAAAAAAACCATAACATCTTGGTCGATTTTGATACCATATTTTTGGCCGAAAATAGTCGATAAATCGGGTTCGATCAACCTTGTTTGATATTTATAATATTTAATAATGGAACGTCTTTTTAGTGGATAATCACATAGAGTTCACGTTTAATTTTAATACAATGTCATTTAGCGTGAAAATTACAGCATTGTTTTATAAATACTAATAACCGTTCCGCCAACGAACAAAGAAATAAATGGTCAAGTTAAAGCTATATAATTCCTATAATTTCTGGCTTAATCATTGTGTTCATCATGAAGCCGTTTTTCACTGTATTTGTGTTATTACTACAGTATGTAGTTTGTAAACAGTTTTCTATGTCAATAGAAAAGCAATACAAGAATCATCATGGTGTGGAAAACGGACGTAAGTTGTACACTATATCTTTTTTTATCTTTTTTGTTCTGTCTTGATGAATTTAACACTAATTTATAATGTTAAGCACGAGTCGTTGATTTGAAAAAGCATCATGAACACGTTAAAAATTTACGCGCTAAGTACAGCCCAAGCCCAAGTCAACCGCTTTATGACTATGAGGATATGCTGTATACCGGTATGTTTATATTGCAAAATTTCAAAGCAAATAATTATTGTTATTGGTCGCGGCACAGAATTATTTGAACGATCTAATACCAAACTTTAGGTGACATAAGCGTCGGGAACTCCCCAACACAATTCAGGGTGGTGCTCGACACCGGCTCAGCTGATGTCTGGCTTCCGGGAAAGAACTGCACAGTTTCGGAAACCCAAAACAAATGTAAAAAAACCTTGTTTGACGTACGTTTTATTTTAAAATTTGAGTTTTTTCATACGCTTCGTTTTGCAAGGCTTCTACTATACTTGTTTTACTCATACTGTAATTATAAAGAGATTGTCATAGTACTCAAGGTCATGCTAAAGTCCTTTAACATATACAGCATCAATTTAGGGCAAAGTAGGAGGGCAAATCACCTACGGAGGCTTTGACAACGAACATTGCAATGCTTCGAATATAGACTATGCCAACGTTTCTACACCTTCATACTGGATTTTTAAAATTGATGATTTTAAATATAACAAAACCCAACCCACCAATCGACGACAATTTAATGCTGTTACTGATACTGGTACCTCTTTCTTTAATCACAACTCCTTCTAGAATTTTCGACAAAATTGTTGACGCATTTGACGCAAAATATAACGACGAGTATGAATTGTATTTAGTCGACTGCGACTCGGATGTTTCGCTTACTATCGTATTGAACAACAACGACCATGTGATCGAAGCCAAACATTTGTTGCTAAAAATAGAAAATACCGATCAGTGTATTTTAAGCGTAGAGCCTTTGGATTTGTTTGGAATAGACTTTATTTTGGGCGATCCATTTATTCGTCAGTTTTGTCAAGTTCACGATGTTGAGCAGCAACGTGTTGGATTGGCTAAATCCAAGGCTTGATTTACACGATGAACATTTTTTATTGATTTGAGCAACAAACACTTTTTTTAATAAATGATATGATTTTAAACATTGTATTCTGTGTTTTGAAGTAATCTTTAAAAAACACTAGTGTAAGAATGAGGAGTACTCTTAGTGAAAGTTTTTGCCTACGGGGTGAAGAATAATGACATTATGATGTATAATAGTTTTTCCAAATTATGTTAGAGTTTATCAACTCGACACATAAGCATCCTTCATATTGTTCAACACAAATTATGCTGTTGGTTCACAATTTGTCATTTTCATGATTTTTTATTTAGTCGGACAAGGCTAGTCAGAGCTGAAGAGACTCTTTCTAACAAAGCTCGAGAACCAAACACACTAACAATCTTACAGAATCTAATAAACTTGCCAACAATATTGAATGTTTAGGAAGGTAAATCATATATAACCTTATATTGTAGGCTTTTATTATAGCTTTATACCTGTAGGAGCAGCTGGATTGATCCGAATATTGTGTTCTATGTATATTTTAAACTGTTTATTAAGTTAAATGTGGCATTTTAAAATTTAGTTTTATCTTCAAAGTTCAGAACGAATAACACGTAATAAGACATATAAATAAATGCTTCAATGTAACATAAAAGACCTCCTATAATGTCAGCAAACTTTAAATTAGCTATAGTCTTGGTAAAACACAAAAGCTTTAAAGGTCAAATCATAACTATTTAAGGCATTGAAGTTCCAAATAATGATTATTGTATCAATCTTGTCAATCATGAAGACGTTTGTCATTGTATTTCTACTACTAATACAGCATGTTTTTTGTAAAAAGTTTTCTATGTCAATTGAGAAGCAACGTAACACCCACGTGGGCTTAAAGAATGGACGTAAGTTTTCTTCCTAAATAAAGCATTGTGAAAGGGATAGTAGTGTAAGGCTTTGAAAAGAAAGATAAGTAAAGGCTAGCCGGTTCATACTGATAAGATGAGGTAATTTACCACTGATAATTTTGATAGTTTTATGTTACAATTTTAGTTAGGTACGTTATCTTGGAACAGCATCTAAAGAGCTTGAAGAATCTAAAAGCAAAGTATAGTTCTAACCAAAAGCAAACACTCTACGATTATTACGATGTGGCTTATATTGGTACGTGTAATACACCAGTGAGAGCAAGTTTCCGTACTCGAGGAAAAAACAATTTCATTTTGAACCTATTTATCTTAAAAAACGTAGACAAAATTGTTACTTGCAGTACATTAAAACCATAATTCCAGGCAACATAACAGTCGGTACCCCACCATCGCAGTTCAGAGTAGTACTTGACACCGGATCATCCGATGTGTGGGTTCCGGCACTAGATTGCAAAGTTGAAGGCACGCAAAACCGTTGTAACAAGACAAATTTGTTTGACGAAACAAGTTCAACCACATATAAGGACCAGAACCGCGAGTTCACTATTACCTACGGTACTGGCGAGGTCTCTGGTCATGTCGGCGAAGATACGGTAGGATTGGGTGGTATTGATGATGACAAAATCGTTGTAAAAAACCAAGGAGTTGGAATCGCAGAAGTGCTGGATAAGATATTGAATAGTGATGAAACATTAGATGGTATTGTGGGGCTTGCATTTTCATCAATTTCCAGCGAAAACGAAACTTCAATTTTTGAAAAAGCTGTGGTAGAAAACTTGGTTGATGAACCGATTTTTACAGTTTGGCTTGACGAAGAAGGGAGTCAGGCAAATGTAAGGAATGTTTTTGAAATTTGAAAAAATAAACGTTGCGAGTATGACGGAGACAGGACCGCAAACTTCCCCCTCCGGTCGAGAACGCTGCTTCAACGTCATGCTAAAAAGGTTTAACAGCTTTAAATTCAGGGCACGGTCGGAGGTCAAATAACGTATGGCGGCTTTGACGATGAACACTGCGATGACTCCAACATTGATTACGCTCAAGTTTCCAAAGCTTTGTGGTGGTATTTTGAAATTGACGATTTTGAAGTTGATGGTAACGCCAACGGTAAAAGTTACAGCGCCATTACGGATACTGGCACATCTATAATTGCGACTCCAAAAAAAGTGTTTGACAAAATTGTCGACGCATTTGACGCTAAATTTAACCCCTTTTATGGAGTTTATTTGACCGATTGCGAGAAAACCCCAACACTTACCGTAGTTCTTAACAACAAGAAGCATGACATTGAAGCTAAACATGTTTTGTTGAAACTGGATGAAGGCGTGTGCCTTCTTGCCATTGCACCTTTTGAGGTTCCTCAAATTGATTTTATTTTGGGTGACCCATTTATTCGACAATTCTGTCAAGTGCACAATGTTGAAGAGAAGACTGTTGGATTGGCTAAGGCTAAATCTAAAAAGAACTTATAATTTATTTAACATTTGAACTTAATAAAGACATTACGCTTGCATAAATTTAGAGTTATGTTTTATTAAAATACGCAAAATAATTTCCTAAATTTTGATCACCGGTACTCTCCTGATATGGCTCCTACGAATTACCAAATTTTCAAACATTTGAATGCATTTTTGTGTGGAGGATAATTCAATGAAGAAGACAATGTCAAAAAGGCTGTCAAAACTTTCTTCGGTACCAGAAATTCTGCATTCTATGCTACTAGCATTAAACATAATCATGCCGGGGAGATTATTGCGGGGCTATGACCATTCCGGGAACATAATCTTGCAAGGAACATTATCTTGCAGGGGACATGATCATTCCGAGGAGATAATCATTCCGGGGATATGATCATGCCAAGCATCGAAAAGTTTGCAAAACGTTGGAATGAATGTGTTTATGGTGATTATTTTGATTAACAAAAAGTAGTTGTTGCTGCGCAGGAAAATTCTTATATAGAGTTTGGAGGGGCTCACAACTTACCTAAAAACCTAATGTAATAACTAACCGTAGCCCTAGTATATTAACTAACCTTAGCCCTAATTCTGCTTATTCTTTTAATAACTAACCATAGTCCTAAGTTCTGGCCTTAGTCTTGTTGTTGTCGGAACTCGCACGAGCCCGCACTTCAGGTCCCGCCACGACAGCGATGGACTTGGCATTCCACACGGATTACGATCGCCAGCACGATAAAAGGAGAACGAGTCAGTGAGGGGATCAACAGTTGGACAGTTGGGGACATTTACTGCACGATCACAGCGCCACTCTTTGGGGATTGATCTTGATATAGTATTTATCGTGGTTTATTTGTTATATATATATTTTATTAAAGAGGTAAATAGTTTATCGTTAATTTTAGGCTGTTTTAAGTGATTATTGAGGTTGGAATATCTAGTTTATTACCTATAGGACCGTTCGTCGATCCGAATTGGCGACCACGACAGGAATGTTTTACTTTTAGCTAGATTTTTTATTTACAACATTAGGAACTTAAGCCTATCACATTCAAGCCGAATCTTTTGAACAACTGAGAGTTATAAACCTGTGGTAACGTTCATAGTAAATTAAACTATGTTTGTCATCACACCAAGCAGTAACTCAGATGCTCTGATGTTTAATCTTTCACTTTTTATTTACATTTTTACTTTCGTTTTTAATATCATTTATTTGTCCCCTTTAGCCGTCATTCTGTCCCTTTAGCTCTGCCACCAAGCCTTATATATGTTATTGTTGTGTAGATGCATAAAACCGTAAGTGCGACAACAAATACAATAAAAAACCAACGTGAGAGCAAACACCGTTTCGAACCGTTTTTTGCGTGTGTTCGACTACATTAATAACAAAAAAATATTGTATTTTAGTGTTTTTTCGATTTTTTAGTGTTGTCATTGTACTGCCACTCCTCTACATGAGATATATTTAGAACAGGCATTGTGGTATATTGTGTTTGGTGGTGTTGTATTGTGTTTGATAGTGTTATAACGTGGTATTTATGTTTTTGACGTCTATATTGAGGTAGGGGGTTTGGATATACATCAGGCCTTGTTTTTTTGGGTTTTTGTTGTCACATCTATTATATTGTTGTAGGTGTTAGTCTGTTTATATTAGGCTGTTTTGAGGTTTGTAGTCTTATATTGTTGTAGGCTTCAAATTGCTTTTATATAAGGCTATTTTAGGAGGTTTAAGCATACATTAGGCTTTGCTTTGGAGTATTTTTTTTTGTTGTCATATCTTTTATATTGTTGCAGGTACCCTTTATATTAGGATATCTTTAAAGATTAAAAGGTTTGTATTCTTATTTTGTTGTAGGCTTGTAGGCTTCTTGTACTAGACGTCTAAAACGTAAGCATTGTACAACCAAACCCTAATAACTCTAAAACAGACTAACAGACACCATGGTATTTAAGTCGCCTGTGATCTAAAATGTCATCATAAAAGAATTTAAATTTTATTCATAGACTTTTGATTTAAATTCACTTTTTTACAAATAACCAGTGTGTAATTAACCCTTTACGATCCTCGTAACAAAGACATTTTTAAAGTTTTTAAAATTTGTCTTTGATCAATTTCAATTATAATATTATACTTTGAAATATTGTGTTTGATCTACCGACTGATAATAGCTAATCATTATAAAATTGTCTACATTTTTACTAATTTTTTTATCTCGGCTGATTTTTTAAAATGTTGACTAATTTATGGCTGTTGTTATGTTTTGTTGGTACTGTAAATGGGTTTGAGGTGAGTTTTTTTGTTTACGAGAACACATAAGAGTACGGTAGAATAAGGTAAGAAGTTGTGGTGTCAGGTAGAGTAGGATTAGGCAGTGCATCTAAATGGTAGATAGGGGGGGGATGGGAAGAACAAAAAAAAGAAGGGGTAAAAATGGTGATATTGAAGGATAGGGGTAGGATAGAGAAGAGTAAGGTAGGACACGGCAAAGCAGGGCAGCAGTGAGATAAGAATTGTAAATTAGAACTGGGAAGGGTAGGTCAAGGCAAAAGAAAGTATGGTAAAGTAGGTAGGGTAGGGTAGGGTAGGGTAAGGTAGGGTAGGGTAGGGTAGGGTAGGGTAGAGTAGGGTAGGGTAGGGTAGGGTAGGGTAGGGTAGGGTAGGGTAGGGTAAGGTAGGGTAGGGTAGGGTAGGGTAGGGTAGGGTAGGGTAGGGTAGGGTAGGGTAGGGTAGGGTAGGGTAGGGTAGGGTTAGGGACTGGGCTAAGGCGATGTAAGCTGTAATTTTAAAATTTTAGGTGATTTGGAACATTCCAAGTAAACAATGCACTTTCAATCCAACTTCTTTTGGTTTGGCGGCAAATTCGAATAACAAATTCTTTGGAGACAAGGTTGTTTTGTTGTATGAAACCTTTGGGTTGTTTCCGTTTTGTAACTCTGAACAAGAAAACGATGAGCAAAAGCCAGAGTGTGTTCCTGTAAATGGTGGTGTGCCTCAGGCAAGTTTTTTTTTCTGGTTTGGAATTGGAAATTCAGTATAAAAGATTTGTAATGTATTTTGCACTGAAAATCTTCCACTCAACTTCCATCTCTAAAAAGTGTCAAAAACGTGTTTTTAAGCCATTTTATGATATATTGAAAATGAAAGTTTAGTGGAAGATTTGTAATGTATTTTGCACTAAAAATCTTCCACTCAACTTCCATTTTAAAAAATGTCTTAAAATGACATAAAATGCCATAATGTTGCTTGTAAGCCAGCAAATCCCATAAATTAGCCATTTTCAGGCAGCCGACCTTTCAGCCCACTTAGAAAAGGCCGCAGCTGATATTGAAGCCGCTATTCCAGATCCAGATTTCAATGGTTATGGAGTGATCGACTATGAAGCCTGGAGACCGTTGTATGAAATGAACTGGAGTTCAAGAAGAATATATCAACGATATTCAAGAAAATTGGTTCAGGAGATTACTGGTATTACTGATCCACATGAGCTAGACCATTTGGCTAGGGCTGAGTTTGATTTGGCTGCAAAGTAAGGGCAAACGACATTTCTTTATAGAAGATTGGCATGTTTTTAATGTTTGACAAGTTGTATTTTACCTAAAAGTAATTTTTTAAACGTTTAAGTTTAATTTAAAAAAGTGGAAATTGAGTGAAATATTTGTAATGTATTTTGCACTAAAAATCTTCCACTTAACTTCCACTTCGAAAAAGTGTCAAAAAGTCATTTTTAGGTCATTTTAAGACAATTTAAAAATGGAAGTTATGTGGAAGATTTTCAGTGCAAAATACATTACAAATCTTCCATCCAACTTCCACTTTCTAAAAGCCCTTGTTTTGGCAGCTTTTGGTTTTTGTAAGTAAAGTTTTTGTGACTTTCAGACAATTTCTGGTCGAAACAATCAAATTGGCGAAGAAACTACGGCCCAAAGCCAAATGGGGCTTCTGGGAGTATCCTCTATGCGACTATAGAGCAGGCTACGAAAACCTACATTGTTTGGATTATTACAACGATTTTAATGATCAGTAAGTTTTTTTCTACTTTGTGATTGATTTTTTAGTTTGTATTTCACCCAGAAATGAGCTTTTACAAGCTTTAAACGGGTGTTACAAAAGTGGAAGTTGAGTGGAAAAATTGTAATGTATAGTGCACTGAAAATCTTCCACTCAATTTCCATCACTAAACAGTGTCCAAAACGTGTTTTTAGGTAATTTTAAGACATTTTGAAAATGGAAGTTGAGTGGAAGATTTTTAGTGCAAAATACATTACAAACCTTCCACTCAACTTCCACTTTTTATATCGCGTTTTTTTGGCTTTCTAATGAAACTTATTGACTTTTTATATAATGTAAAATAAAGTTCTGTCATTTTCAGTTCATTTTCTAGCCAGTTTTTTAAATTTTGATATATATCATACATTATAAAATGGCATTCCAGATTATCCTACATAGCCGACCATTCCGACGCCATATACCCCCACATCTACTACTATGAAGAAGAAGCTTCAGAAGGTCAACTACATCATGCCTACGCCAGAATGAAGCAAACAACCGACTACATTGCCAAGTACAATCCTAATGCTACAGTAATCCCTTATATTAAGATTGAGTACGCACCGGATGAGTCCGGTATCCCAAAATTCTACAGTAAGCCAGCATTATGTGCTTCTATTAAGTATCCTATGGAGCTGGGAGCGGAGGCGGTGTTGGTTTGGGGTGGCAGTTGGAAGATGAAGGAGAGATGCCAGGGCTTTGAGGAGTACCTGAATAGTACTGTAAAGCCATTTGTTGGTGAGGTTAGGAGGAAGGCTGAGAAGTAAGTCTTAGTTCTGTAAACAAAGTTTTTGCTTTTTCGTAATTTTTTTCATGATCATTTTTTGCCAAAAATGGCTTTAAAGCCATAAAAAGAAGGCCTTTTAGACCTCTAAACGTAGTTTTTGCTCAATTTTAAGCTTGTAAAGAAAGTCTTTGCAGTTTTCTAGATTTTTAAAAAACGTTTTTATCATTTTTAAGGTTTTATATCAATTTCAAGGCTATTTGTGACCCGTAGACAAAATTATGAGTTTTTAAAAAAGTGGAATTTGTGTGGAAGATTTGTAATGTAATTTGCACTGACAATCTTCCACTCAACTTCCATCTCTAAAAAGTGTCAAAAAGTCATTTTTAGGCTATTCTAAAATTTTTTAAAACAGAAAGTTACGTGGAAGATTTTCAGTGAAAAATACATTACAAATCTTCCACTCAACTTTCACTTTTTAAAACAATCGTTTTTTCGGTTTTTACTGGAAATTTAGCTCATTTATGGACTTGTAACCTTAAATTTTGACATTTTTTAACTTTGTTGAAATTATAATTTGACATTTCCCAGGTGCCGAGAATCCTATTGTAACAATAACGGCCGATGTGCTACTGATGTCAACATTGTACCAAATGAATGCCATTTGGGACACAGTATGGTCAATCCACATTGCATTTGTTACACTGGGTTTGAGGGGAAGCAGTGTGAAAACAAAATGACACATTTTTGATTTTTTAATTTTAAAACGGGTCGATTATTAATTTTTGCTTTAATATTGATATATGATATAATATATGATAATAACAAGTTTTATAATGTTTTAATAAAGATTTTTATGATATTCCTATAGTAGAGCGCGTATTTTACAAAAAAACTAAATAAAAAGCCAAAAAAAGCTGATCCAAACCATAAATAATGGCTTTTCAAAAAGTGGAAGTTGAGTGGTAAATTTGTAATGTATTTTGCACTAAAAATCTTCCACTGCACTTCCATTTTCAAAATGTCTAAAAATAGCCTAAAAAGACGTTTTAAAGCATTTTTTGAAGTGGAAGTTTGGTGGAAGTATTTCAGTGAAAAATACATTACAAATCTTCCACCAATCTTCCACTTTTTTAAAACTGTCATAATTTTGCTCACAGTTCAAAAATTGCTTTAAAATTGATAGATAATCACAAAAATGGCAAGAACTTTTTTTACAAAACATAAAATAGCAAGAACTTTCTTAACAAATTTTTAAAACGCAAAAACTTTGTTTACATATGTCCTTCAAATGGCTATTTTTAAGCATTTTTTAGCTAAAAGATTAAAAAGTATGATCCAGTCAGTAATAGCTACATTATACTACAAACTACATGTAATATCCTTTCCATTTTTAATTAAAAATCCCAAGATACGATCACGTTACATGGTAAAAAAGGGAATGGAGATCTCTCAAGTATTTTGTGTAATTAAATAATATCGAAAGGAAAAATAATAAAAGAAGTGTTTTCCTTTGGTATTACAGTGACTGGAAAGGGATATATTACGTCATTACTTTTTACTTTCGAAAAAAATCGGTTTTTAGCCGTTTTTTGGTCTGTAAATAAAGTTCTTGCCATTTTATGCTCTGTAAAGAACATTCTGGCTATTTTTGATGTTGTCTATCAACTTTAAGCCCATTTTGTACCTGTAAGCAAAATTATGGCAACTTTAAAAAAGTGGAAGTTGAGTGGAAGATTTGTAATGTATTTTGCACTGAAAATATTCCACCAAACTTCCACTTCTAAAAAGTGTTAAAAAGTCATTTTTAGACCAGTTTAAGACATTTTGAAATGGAAGTTGAGTGGAAGATTTTCAGTGTAAAATAAATTACAAATCTTCCACCAAACTTCCATTTTGGAAACAATGCCATTTTTAATCCTATTCCTAAAAATTCAATCAAATGTTACCTAAAATCAAGTTTTAATTTGAAAAACTATCGGTATTCATATTCAAGAAAGGTAGGGAATGACGAATTTCGTGGCTCATTGAATAAGAAATGGCATTTGCCTTATGGCGCCATTCGAATGTCTCAAGTTTTGTGAGAAAACAAGGCGAAAACCGGTCAGTTCGACGCAAATTTTGGAAGATTGGAAAAAATAATTTGTGGTTTTTGCACTTTTAGGAAAGGGGTAGAGGAGGCTTTGATTTTAAAATTGTTTTTTGGCTTGGAAAAGGCAATGTTTAGGCTTAAAAAATGGTTTTTTAGGCTTAAAAACTGATTTTTAGGATTAAAAAAGAGCCATGTTTACGATTAAAAAGGTGATTTTAAGCTTAAAAAAGCGATTATTAGGGTTAAAAATTTTTTTTTTAGGTTTAAAAAGTGATTTATTACGCTCTAAAAGTGATTTTTCAGAGTTATTTTTGTCTATTTGTTATTCTTTGAGCTGTAAAGAAAGTTTTAGCAACAATACGTGTTTTTTGCATTTTATTGTGTAAATTATATCATTTTTTACTATGTGTATTAATTTTAAGCCTATTTTTAACTCGCAAGCAAAAATATGACACTTTTAAAAAAGTGGAAGTCGAGTGGAAGATTTGTAATGTATTTTGCATTGAAAACCTTCCACTCAACTTTTATTTTTTTTCGTCAAAAAGTCGTTTATAGGCCATTTTAAGCCTTTGGAAAAATGGAAGATTGGTGGAAGATTTTTAGTGCAAAATACATCACAAATCTTCCACTCAACTTCCGCTTTTAGAAAGGTTGTTTGTAGTTGTTTTAGCTAAAGTTATTGATATTTTTTGATTTTTAAGGAATGTTTTTGCTGTTTTTTGTTATGTTATGTCGTTTTTGATGCATTTTTTGTCTGTAAACAAAGTTTTTGCAAATTATTGGTTTTTGTGAACAAGTTAATTTAAATTTTGTATTTTACCGCGCCCATGAAAAAAAAATATAAAATATCATGTTTAGACATGAAAGTCTCAACTCTACGAATATGGCTTCTAACAACTTTGATGGTATGTACTGTAGCTTTGATTATGTGTTTGATAGCACTACCAGCCATGTACATGGAGATGAGGCAGCTTTATGGTGAAGTGACTAGCTCTGTTGCTGATTTTAAGGTAAAATATGAACGATATAATTGCGCTTTCTTTATAAAAATGTTTTTTTTAGTTTAAAAAGTGGTAGTTGAATGGAAGATTTGTAATGTATTTTGCACTGAAAATCTTCCACCAAACTTCCACTTCTAAAAAGTGTCAAAAAGTCATTTTTAAGCCATTTTAATACTTTTTCAAAGTGGAAGTTGAGTGGAAGATTTTCAGTGCAAAATACATTACAAATCTTCCACTCAAATTCCACTTTTTAAAAACTGGTTTTATGCCGTTTTCTGAATTATAAGCCTAAAAATGAAGTTTTAGGACGAAACCAACAAAGCTTGGACTGAATTGATCCAAATTCAGCAATCTTATATTGTGATCCAGCCTAAGCCATCCATCTTCCTTCATATAGCACGTGCTAAGCGACAAGCTGACAAATCGACTGAAACTGAGCAACTTGACGAAAAATGTAACTGTGGAATAATACCAACTTGCCCAGCTGGTCCACCTGGCCCTCCGGGACTACCTGGTGAAGATGGTATACCTGGTGTTGATGGAGCACCTGGTACTGATGCTCCTGACGAGCTGAATCGAAACTGTGGATTCTCCGCTGGTACCTGCATCAAATGCCCGGCTGGACCACCAGGACCAAAAGGACCAGTTGGAGAACCAGGTTTTCCAGGACCACCCGGTCAGCCTGGTACTAATGGTACTGCGGCCGTACTAAAGGTTGGGCCACCTGGACCAGTAGGGCCAGCTGGTGAAAATGGTCCACGTGGTGAGCCAGGAGCACCCGGACCAGTTGGGAAGAAGGGGAAGAGTATTGTGGTGCAAGTTGGTACACCCGGGCCGAAAGGACCACCTGGACTGATGGGGCAACCTGGTCTACCTGGAGCTGATGGAAAGCCTGGGAAAGTTGGTGAAAAGGGACCAGTTGGACCAATCGGACCAGTTGGTGAACCAGGAAACGATGGAGAGCCAGGTAAGTTAGTTTTCAGCTTAAGGCTGCTAGTTGCGCCCATAAAGGCTATTGAAGCGTGGGCGCAGCTTACAAAAGTCATTGCGCAGGCTGCAGGACCAAAAAGTTTAAAAACAACCGAAATAACAACTAAAAATGACGAAAAAATGTAAAAATAGGTACAAATAATAACACAAATTAAATTCAGGCCCACACGGTCCAGCTGGTACACCTGGCTCACCTGGCGAAGACGCCGCTTATTGTCCGTGCCCACGACGCCTTCAGGTCATTGTTCTCAAGGATAATATTGTCGATTCTGATACCTAAAACAATGTTTTTATGGAAATATATAGTTCACTAACCTTAATATTACCTATAAATTGTGATTTTGATGTTTGTTCTGATATGATTTGGCAGTTTTTAATAAATTTTGCCTTGAAAACTAAGAGTTTGGTAGATTTTTCTGTAAAAAACGTCATAAATGGTGAAATAAATTAGAAAAAATGCCATTGTATTCAAAACAATAGACTAATCGACCGTATTTTACAATTAAAAATTTTATAAAACCTATTGAACAACCGTATTTTACCAGTTTTGGTTGATAAACCTCCATTTCCAGAGGATTTCTTCGAGAAAATAAGTCATAACTGATAGAATAAATAAATATAAACTTATTTTTTTCGATTGAACATGCCAAACTTTGATGTATTTTAGTTTTTACAATGTTTTGAATGGTAAAAAATATTATTATTGAACATTTTTATTAGTTATTCGCCGTTGCATGCCGTGGAAACAAAGTTTTTGACGCTTTTCCTAGATTTTGGTCGAGATTTCGTTGATTTTGCTATTTTTAGATGAAAGTTTGGACAACAAACACAGATTCTTCAATGGAAATACATCAACTAACATAATGTAAGTTTTTTAATCTTTGTTCGGTTCCATTTTTAGGTTTTATGGAGGTAAATAACGGCTTATATTATGATAGACATTGAAATCTGATGGCATGGGTAATATCAGATCAAAAGTGAAGTCCTTTTTTGGCATAAAGCAAATGTCTTTGCATTTAAAAGTTGCTAATTAATATGTTTAACATTTTAAAAGTATAAAGGGCTTTTAGAACGCTCAAAAATATTATCTTTGGTCCCATGTTATCCATGACATCAAAGTTGTAATATCGGATCAAAATTGAAGTCCTTTTTGTCTCAATACATTTGAAAGTTGCTTATGAACACGGTCAACATTTTGAAAGTAAAAAGGATTTTAAAACGCCCGAAATCATTAATTTTGATCCGATATTACCCATGACACCAAATTTTAGTCTCATGGATAATATAAGTCGGTTTGACAAGCTTTAAAGGCCCATTTCTGATCTAAGGCTCTACTTTTAATCATAGCAATTATTAGCGAAACATTTTTGGGCAATTTTTAGACATTTTGAATAATCGAATTTGAGTGGAAGATTTCCAATGTATTTTGCACTGGAAATCTTCCACCAAACTTCTACTTCTAAAAAGTGTTAAAAACGTATTTTTAGGTCATTTTAAGACATTTTGAAAATGGAAGTTGAGTGGAATATTTCCAATGTATTTTGCATTGGAAATCTTCCACTGATCTTCCACTTTTCAAAGCTCTTATTTTTAGCCGTTTTTCGTTTTCTACAGACAGTTTTTGTCATTTTCGACTTCAACTTTGATTTTTGTACATAATAAATGGTTTAAATTGACAAAATGATTTTCGTTTTGCGACAGAAACGTCCGTTTTTTGATATTTTTTGGTGAATGATAAAGAAGATTGATTGAAAACAGATTCGTTTTTATTTTTTTTCTTTCTATCACTTTGAAAACGTTTCGGGGACAAATTGTTTTTATAATTTTATTTACTCAAACACTTTATTCGACCGACTTTTATTGGTAATTTGGGGGTTTTTGGGTATTTTTCGGTGTTTTTTGGGGTTTTAGGGGGATAATTGCAATAACTTTCTTTACAAGCCGTAAAATGGCAAGAACTTTCTTTACAAAACAAAAAATGGCAAGAATTTTCTTTAAAGAGCATAAAACGGCAAGAACTTTCTTTACAAAACAAAATATGGCAAGAACTTTCTTTACAGGACATGAAATCGCAAGAACTTTCTTTACAAAGTAAAAAATCGCAAGAACTTTGTTTCCAGCTATCAAAAACGAGAAGTTAGCGATCCAATTAGTGACTAATCTTTTTAAACTCGGAAAACCGAATCGAAATTCCACCAGATTGTGATGTGTTTATTGGAAAGCCCATAAATCTTATGAAGAACACTTTCGTTGGCGGGAAAATTTGAGAATCGGCCCAAACGTTTCGATCGAAAAATCGCAAAAAAAGTTTTTTACGTTGCGCCGGGTTAATTTACTTACTTTATTTATGAAATTTAACCTTTTCTTATCAAAAACATGAACTTTTATGTCCTGTAAAGAAAGTTCTTGCCATTTTATGAGTTGTAAAGAAAGCTCTTGCACTTTCATGCTCTGTAAAGAAAGTTCTTGCCTTTTTTTGTTTTGTAAAGAAAGTTCTTGCCATTTTATGTTTTGTAAAGAAAGCTCTTATCATTTCTTGTTTTGTAAAGAAAGTTCTTGTTGTTTTATGCTCTGTAAAGAAAGTTGTTGCCGTTTTATGCTCTGTAAAAAAGTTCTTGCCATTTTTTGCTTTGTAAAGAAAGTTCTTGCCGTTTTATGCAGTGTAAAGAAAGTTCCTGCTATTTTTGTCATTATGTATCAACTTTAAGGGTATTTTTGAACTGTGTGCACAAATATGACAATTTTAAAAAAGTGGAAAATTGGTGGAAGATTTGTAATGTACTTTGCATTACAAATCTTCCACCAAACTTCCACTTCTGAAAATGTTCAAAATTTCATTTTTAGGCAATTTTAAGACATTGTAAAAATGGAAGTTTCGTGGAAGATTTTCCGTGCAAAATACATCACCAATCTTCCACTTAACTTCCATTTTTTAAAACGGTTGCTTTGGGCTATTTTTGATAGTTTATGATTTGAATATGACATTTTAAGGATAAAACGTCTATGTTTAGACTAATTTTGACTATTTTCAGGTTTAAATGTCCAACAAGACGCATAATGTAGTGGTATTTGGGGATGGTGGTGTGGGTAAAAGTGCACTTACGATACAATTTGTACAAAATGAATTCATCACCGATTATGATCCGACGTTAGAAGACAGCTACAGAAAACAGGTCGGTTTTTAGGTTGTGAGGGTATGGTAAGGAAGAGTAGGCTACTGTAGAGCATGATACTGTTGGGTAGGGTAAGGTAGGCCAAAGGGGATAGGGATGTGGAAGATGGGATTAAGTAGGGGTGGGGGAAAGATTACTAAACTTCGAAGCCTAAGTTCACTAATTTAAAAGTAAGCTTAGGCTTATTGAGCTTAGGCTTACTGAGCTTCATCTTACTAAGCCTAAGTCTACTCAGAATAAGCCTACTAAGCTTAAGGCTGCTATATCTAACCCTACTAAGCCTAAGCTTATTGAAACTAAGTTTACTAAGCCTACTAAGCTTACGCCTACTAAGCCTAAGCCTACTAAGCCTAAGCCTATTCCAGGTAGTAATAGACAACAAAGTGTGTGTACTGGACATCCTCGACACGGCCGGTCAAGAAGAGTACGATGCTATGCACGACCACTATGCTCATAATGGCCATGGCTTTCTACTGGTATTTGCTCTAAACGACCATTCCTCCTTCATGAACATTCGAAAGTTCAGAGAGAAAGTACGACGAGCCAAGGATTCAGATGATGTAAGTTGAATTTGTTTAAATTTTTTTGAAATTTTAGGGCGTTTTTTGTGATTTTTGGTCGATTTTTGGATGTTTTTTGATGATTTTTCTTTCTTTATCCGTTTTAAATATGGCAAGACTATTTTATGACATTTTATAGTAGCGATGATCTTTATTTTGGTATTTATATATATATGTTTAAACTAAAAGAGACGATAAAATATTTTTAAAAAATCAGCCGTTTTAAAAAGTGAAAGTTGGTGGAATATTTGTAATGTATTTTGCACTGAAAATCTTCCACTTTTAAAAACTCTTAAAATGGCCTAAAAATACGTTTTTGACACTTTTTAGAAGTGGATGTGTGGTGGAAGATTTTCAGTGCAAAATACATTACAAAGCTTCCACTCAACTTTCACTCGTACAAAGTGTCAAAAACGAGTTTTGAAGCAATTTTAAACCTTTTTAAAAATGGAAGTTGAGTGGAAGATTTTTAGTGTATTTTGCACTGAAAATCTTCCATCAATCTTCCACTTTTTTAAATGTGAGAAAATGGTTGCCAACTTGATTTTTTGGGGATTATAGGTAACAAAGGTGTTTAGAAATGCTATTTTTGTTATCATAGTACTATTTTGGTTATCCTAGTACTATTTGAATACATATAGTACTGTTCTTTGGCCATAGTACCATTTTAAATCAGTGTTGCTGTAGTATGACCCTAGTGCAATTTGAGGTTTTTTTGGTAACATTTATTACTTTAGTATTCTTTTGTTTACAAAAATGAAATTCTAGGTCCCGGTAGTAGTTGTAGGCAACAAAAGTGATCTGCCGTACCGTGCCGTGACCCCACAACAAATCGAAGAGCTAACCCAATCCTTGGGCTGTGCCTACGTTGAAACGTCGGCCAAAACCCGGCAGGGGGTGGATGACGCGTTTTACGAGGTGGTGCGGGCGGTGAGGAAGTTTGACAAAAAAGAAAAGAAACGTGCTAACGAGTACGAGCGAATGTTCGGCGGACGGCGAAAGAAAAGCTGCTATATCATGTGAAATATCAATGTGAATATGTCATTTTTAGTTTGAAATTTCAAAGTTTTTTATTTTTTGTTGTTGTCAAGGTCGGGCGGGGTATTTTTTTGGCGAGGGGGGGAGGGGAGGTGGTAAATTTTTTTTTGTTTAAAAATTGATTATTGAAAAAGTTTTAAAAAAACGAAAAAAATTTTTTGGGGGTGGATTTTTACCCCTCCCTCTTTTCCCGTGGATGGATTTCCCTTCCCTTCCTCTCGCTTTTCCTTCTCCTTATTCCTCCCGCCGAGGAAGAGTTTAAAATTCACTTCTCTCCGCCTCCCCCCCCCCTTTCCCAATCCTTTTACCCCGCCTGATCTTGGTCATGAGCATCACCTTACTCCAGCATTATACAGTAATATAACTATAATTTCTTTACCTAAAATGTTCAACAAACTTTTTTCAACATTACTGTTGCCATATATATTGTATCTCGTATTTACCCTGTACCCACAAAAGCCAGACCTCTTTTTTTGGTCGATATATTATGTTCACTTATTGTGTTAACAATTTAAAAGCCGATTTTATACACAAGTCATTGTGTTGTTACAATAAAAATTTTAAAAAATAGGGTTTTTTGGTTTAGTTGATAAATTTGTGAAATGGTCAGGGTAAGGCAGGAGGAGGTGGAGCTGAGCTTGAGCTCTAGGATGAAAGCCAAGGATAGGCCTACTAAGCCTAATCTTACTAACTCTAATAGTGAGAGTACTGGTCATACATTCATTAGGTTTAGTGTTATGCTTACTAAGCTTTAACCTACTAAGCCTAAGCTGACTAAGTTTATGCCTGCTAACCCTAAGCCTAACACTACGTCTAATCAGATTAATCCAGGAAACTCTCGAGAAAATCGAGATTAAAAAATGACATTTTGAATTTCCCGCCAACTTGGCATTGTGTTTCAAGCTTGTAACATTGTCATTTTTTGACTGTTAATTATTTTTCTTTAATATACTAGTAGATAACCTTTAAATGAACCTACATTTTTAAATTTGTAAGCGTATCTTGTTTGGAAATTCGAAAAACGTGCTTGAAACACAATGCCAAATTTGCCAAATTGGCGGGAAACCCAAATAATTTAAATTTAAAACTCAAGAGCGCGAGCTAAAATTTTTTATGAGTACTATTAGTGGTACAAAGAATTCATATAAAAATTTTGAGCTGATTCTGAGCGGGGCAGGTAGGGTACTTTCCTTGTGAGCCTAAGTTGAATAATTTTACTTTTAATTTCACTAAACTTAGGTTTAGGTCTAATGAGAATCTTTTCTTTACGCATCGCAGAATTGCATCAACTTATTAAAAAAAATTAGCGCTATTGCCTAATTTTTTGATGTAATAGCATAGCCTTAGAGAAATTGCAAGAAATCGTGTTGCGCAACTGTTTATTATGTAATGTTATGGTTTTATATAACAGTTGCCTCGATGTAAAACGACCCAACAAATTACTGCGAGTGTTGGGATTTTACTCTATTTTACTTCGAGGGACCGTTTGTTTTACCTGTCGATATTGTATGTGTAATGTTTTCTACGGTTTGATTCTGTCAAAGCCTTGTAAGCCTAAAGTTGCTAGGTTTTAGTCTACTAAGCCAAGGCCTACTACGCTTGACCTTATGAAACCTGAGTCTATTGAGCTTAAATTTGGTAAGCCGATGTGTGGTAGGGTCAAGCAGGGTATGGTAGAGTAGAGTAGGGTAGGGCAGATCGTGGTAGTGTAGGGTAAGGTAGGGTAGGGTAAAAACTGGAGGATTATAACAAAGTAAGGAAAAGGTTACGGTAGGAACACTGCAAAAGTAGGGTAGCGTCAGTGATGATGAATAAGAAGATTAAGGGCACAGTAAAGTTAAGGTACCTATAGAGGCAATGGTATAACTTCTCTCTTCAAATCCTCTTCCTTTCTCTCTTTATTTAACTTGCCCAAGGCTTAGAACTTTCGCTTTTTATTTGAGACTTAGACCTTTCACCTAGCTTTATACGTAAGGCTACGGTAGGGCTAGAAAAAGATACGGTAAGGTTAGAAGACAAAAAATATTTTTTAGGCCATAAATTTTAGATAGACCACGGCAGGAACTTTTTTTTCAAAAAACAGCCCCAAATATATTTTTTTAACTCTTTATTGCAACAAAAAATGTCATTTTAAAATGAAAACGCTATTATTACAATGTAAAACTCAGTCGATTAAACAGTAATGTAAAATCCAGTCGATGATATAGACAAAACACTTTGGCCCCTACGCTTACTTGGCACCATCAGCGATTGGAGGTAGTCCCATCGCTCTCATGGCACCATTGAAGCTGGTATCGGCTGGAGCAGCGTTGCCAAAGCCATAGTAATAGCCAGGGGCTTGGTTCGACGACAGTTTTCCGTCGTTCTTGCCCTGAATCAAGGTCTTCTCGTCGGCTTTGATGTTATCCTTTTGGTCGTCCAGCTTGTCGATCAGCTTGTCCGCATCCTTCTTGTCGCCTTCGATTATCTTCTTGTCATCCTTGTCTAGCTGTTTTCCTTCGTCCGGCTTTGGGATTGGACTGGCTGAAAAGCGAAAATTTGAAAATGAAGAGAAGTAAGAGAAGTTACAGTAAGACTTGTTCTGAATTGTTACGATAAATGAAAAAGTTGAGCTAGGGTAGGGTTATAGTTAGACTAGGGTGAAGTAGGGTGGTTTAGCGTAAGGTAGGTAATGTAACATAGAGTAAGGTACGGTAAGGTAGGGGGTACGGTGGAGCCAAGGGGTATGGCAATGTAAAGCTAAGAAAGAGTACGGTAGGGCTCGGTAGTTCTAATATAGGTTACGGTAGGGCTATGGCGAAGTATGGTAAGGCTAAACTAGGTTATGGTAGGGCTAAGTTCGGATACGGTAAGTCTATTATAGCGTAAGATAACGCTAATATAGAGTATGGTAGAACTAAGGTAGGTTATGGTAAAGCTAACTTAAGGTATGGTAGGACAGGGTAGGGTAAAGTACAGAAAGGTAGGGTAGGGTAAAGTACAGTAAGGTAGGGTAGAGTAGGGTGCTGTAGGGTAGAGTAGGGAGGGTAGGTAGGGTAGGGTACGGTACGGTAGACAAGGGTAGGGTACGGTAGACCAGGGTAGGGTAGGGCAGAGTAGGGTATGGTAAGGTACAAAAAAATTATCGACCAGCTGATAATTGCTGAAAAAACCTACAATAACTCATTCAACTTACCGTATACCGCCAACAGCAGGCAGGAAGCGAGTAAAAGTACCGAGAATGTTTTCATTTTGTCAGTTGGTTGTATGTTCGACCGCCAACCCCTCTATATATAGGCGGCTTTACAGCGGTCATGGTGATCGTTAAACGCAATTAATTGACCGCCGAGATCACTGAAATGTTGTTGTGAAAGAGGTTGTTGATCGCTGAAATCATCCTCATTACACTGTCGGTGGAGAGAGTGGACCTGATTACAATATTGACCGGTAATAGCCTTGTTATGCCACTCTTGTACTGTGTGGATGAGACAGTCATTACTACGGTCATTACGACAGTCGATCGGCTGACAATAGTGTTGTAAAAGAATTTGGCAGGGTACAATAAGAGCGTTGGGGCTTAATTTGATTTTGTAATGATATTGTAATAAGGGGAGGGTATAGGGCGGGGGGGGCCCAAGAGGGGAAGGGGGGAGGTGGATTAACTTTGGGAGGGGGGGGAGCGCTTTTAATGGTAGTGGTATAGGCAGGGCAGGGTAGGGCAAGGTAAGATACGACAAGGCAGGAAAAAAAAGGCGGAAAGCAGTGGTAAGGCAGCACAGGGCATGGTAGGGTATGATCGGGTATGGTAAGTAAGATAGAATAGGGATAGAGTAGGTTAGGGTACGGTAGGGTAAGGTACGGTAGGGGTAAAAAAAGGGGAGGGGACAATTCTAAAAAAAAATCAAATTTAAAGTTACAGTAAAAAAGCAAAAGGCTATTTTGGTATTATTACATGATAGTAATAAACAAAAAAACCATTTCAAGGCTAATATTTTGTTGAAAAATAACTTTTTCGAGATACTGTAAAGAAAGAAAAATCACGTAAAGGTTAATATAATGTAATAAAGGTCATTCTGAGATTAAAGGAAGTAAAATATAATTAGATAAACAACTTTATAGCTAAAAATAGTTTGAATTAAAGTTTTGAAGATACAGTAATCATAAAAATCTATTTTTAGATTTTTAACGTTACAGTAACCGTGAATAACCAATTTGTAGATATTGAAAGTTACAGTAATTAAAAAAACATTTTTAGATTTTGGAATTTATCGTAACCATAAAAAGCCATTGTTCGATTTTTTGAAGTTACAGTACCCTGAAAACAAAATTTTTGGATTTTTAACCTTACAGTAAGACAAAAAACTCCTTTTTCGTTTATTTAAAGTTACGGTAATTCCAAAAACCAATATTTGGGGTTTGAAAGTTACAGTAACCATAAAAAGTCATTTTTAGTTTTTTTAAGTTACTGTAATTCGAAAAAACGAATTTTTAGGTTTTTAAATTTAAAATACCCATGAAAACAAAATGTTGCAATTTTGAAAGTTACAGTAACCCAAAAAACCCAAATTTTAAATTTTCATCGTTACAGTAATCTTATAAACCTTATTTTTAGATTTTTAAAGCTACAATAACCTCAATTTTTTCTCGGAAGTTCGAATTACAATAGTCCTCAAAGACAAATACAATGTTACAGTAACCATTAAATATGTTTTGAAACTTTTTTTTTTATTTTTTTTAATTCCAATTCAATTTCATAATGTTGAAAGTTATCACTCCTACTATAATATCTATTACAGCGTGACTTACTTTGTTTAGGTAACAAGTTTGTTTTCGTTTTAAAAATAGTCGAAACTTTCTTGTTTTTCGCTTAAAAATAGATTTCCGCGTTTTTTTACACTTGTTTTGGGCGTGAAAACTTCTAGAAAACAACAAGATTCGTCTCAACAATACAACCTTATTTATGATACAAGGCTACTTCAAGGTGAAATTCATTATTACGCAATGAACTAGTATGATTTCAGAATCATTTTAATCTTACTATAACTAATCTACTCAATTTTATATTGACTTTAGACGAAAAATGGATAACAGAAGCTTACTAACACCTTTGATGAACATTATTTGATGTTTCTAGCTAAAAAACTCAGATTTTTTAAACTTAAAACGCTAAAAAACAAAATTAAGATCATTTTACAACATCTTTGCAATCGATCGCACCTATTTTCAAAGTTTAATACAGCTAATGAATAACATAACAACAAGTCTAACATATTGTTTATGATTTTTTGCCCGGTTTGTTCTTCCGATGGAAAAGATCGTCGGCATATGAATAATTCGGTAGTCTTTGCATTACTCTGTAATTTAAAATCATTAGTGCTTTCATTTTTCAACAATAAAATAGTTTTTGAAGTCAAAACATTATATTATCCATGACCAAATCCATGGTTTTCAAAGATTTGATGGTTCCAAGTAAATATAGCTCTAAATCAAAACAAAATAATCAAAATATACCTGTAAGGTCTCTTCCCCAAGTCTGGTTGTGGATGGATCTGCATAATCTTGTTCAATTGAGCTGCTGTCAGGCTTTTGCCATCAGAAGTTTCATCACCCAACGTTCCCTTCCTCAAACGTTCCGTATTCTTCGCAGCTTGAACTTCTGAATCCTCAATACATCTCATGTAAGCACCGTGGAAGCTCTTGCAAGGTAAATCATCGTACTCCCACTTTTTCAAACATCCAAACAAGGCTTGAAGCTCTTGAGTACACGCAGAGCCTAAAATCAGTTGATGTGGTTGAGAAAATTTGATGGTTGATAGCTTTAACCTTGATCAATCTTGTTGATTTTAGGTTTAAAATGAAGGAAAAGCTAGTATCTATCTCATACTAACCTTTATTTAACCCTGCCGAACAATAAAAAGTTCAAAAAAGCTTGTGTAAGCAAAAGCCCTATATCAGATAGCATCGAGAACACAAATTAATGATAGCTCCCCTTAAAATTGGTCAGTCCTTTTCATTTATCCCCCAAACATCAAAATACTTCATTATAACGAATCATAGCTATTCCACATCCCCTCATTACCTAAATGTTCAAAAAACAATAAAAAACCTTAACTTACCAGCAACCTTCTGTTTCCTCACCACAACCTCGTTTTTTCCAACCAATGGCACAACTTCTGAATAATACACCTTTCGAGGTTGTAGAGGACGGTTCCTCATGCCTCTTTGCAAAGACTGTGCCGTAAAATTCATGTTTTTACCATGAATTCGACCAAGATCTTCTAAAAACCTCGAAAATCCAAATAAATATTATATTAAAACGTTTTGCCACACGTTGTTAGCATTCCAATATTTTCGTCGAGGGACCAAGTGACTTTGCGCATGTTTTTATTTTTCTTCTAAAAATTTCGAAAAAATAAATCAAAATCGTCTGTAAAATGGCTTGTTCTGTTGAAATACTAACTATATAGACATAATAAAATATCCACTACATACTCGCATCTTACAAGATTGTAAAAATGGAAGAACAAGACCTCAGGATTGTCAGAAGAGCAGTGAATGGCATTTTAAGCGAGGTAACTTAACGTTATTTTCTTTATTTTGTGTTTAGTTTGATTATAAGACCAACGAACTGAATCAAAGGTCCATCAAGGAGATAACGAGTGTGATCAAGAAGAATGACGGTGTTATTTTTGGCTTCTGTGTTCAAATCTTTGAAGAACTCAACAAAAAAGATTGTGATCGAAGGTTGGGGATGGTGTTGATCACGGATTACTTCTTTCAACGGTCTCACAAGTTCAGACTGGAGATAATCAAGCATCTACAAGACTTTATGATGCTTAGTTTGGAGACGGATGCAGTTAGATGTCCATTACCGGATCCGGTATCAGCAGCCAGGAATTTGAAAAAGTGGTCGTTAAAGATTGTGAAGGGATGGATTGAGAAGTTCGGTGCAGGATACGTTAAATTGAAGGGTGCTGAACAGTATTTGAAGAACAATAAGAATTTTGACTTCCAGGCGTCTGGCGCGGAGCTTTTGGTATGTTTTTGAATTTTGTGCTTTGTTTTTAGGTATAGTGAAGCAAAATGTTCATCACTTGAAAACTAGTTGATGTATCTTGGTGATTATTGTTTTTTGGTATGTATAACAGAATTTATTTATTGTAGACAAAGGTTTGGATCAATTTATAAACTTGTTTTTGAGATAAATCAAATTTTATATTGTTATACTTAATAATCAACCACCTTGTTTTAGATTGAACGCCAACGTACAGAAGAAGACAATTTTAAACAAAGAGTGAATGCAAAAAAGTGTGGAGAAGCTATTCAACAGGTTTTGAATGAAAGTCGACCAGATATTCTACGAACTTTGCTGGAATGTCGGAATTCAATTGATCTTCTCTATCCAGACATATTTGAACAAAATTCTACTGATAAGCCCACTAGTTCAAAAGATTTGACACCTGCCGAGTTTCAAAAGCTGCATGGATACAAGCCTAATACTGATGTTGAAGTTGTGATACGATCAGGTTTGTTACCTTTTCGAAACAATTGATCTTAACGATGTTAACCATGATGACTTTGGTATTTGGGTTTCAAACGGGTATTTTAAAGCGGAATTGAAGGATTAAAAGCTAAATTTTTAATTATTAGGTAACATAGTGATAGAAGAAAACGAGGACAACAAAGATTTGGTCAATGCTTTACAAGACGCAGCGATATTACTCAAGAAGTCGATGTCAACATTGCAGAAATGGCTGAAACGGCTGGTTCAAGTTGGTGGAGACCAGAATCAAGCTTTAGTTAAGGAAATTGTGGAGCTAAAAGGCTCCTTGCAACGCGAATTGAATCGATGTGATCAATTAAAGATTGTGAAGGCGGATTCTGATGAGGACGACGAATCCGATGGGTTCGTGGATGTTGAGGATGATGAAGCTGCTTTGTTGGGTTTTGATGTAAGTAGTGGGGTATATTTTTGTTTTTGTGTTCGTATTGCAATATTATTCATGTTAGTAACAAAAAATTTTCAAAAATTCAAGTTTTTTTATATTTTTTAAACTTTTGGGCATCAGGTGGCTACTACAATATAATTTTTTAAAAACTAATGAAAACTTTTACTGTTTGGCCAATTTTATGTAATTTCCTGTTCGAGTAGAATCTAGACTACATTTTACAGGCAGATGAGCTACCACCAACATCAAATTTGGCAGAAGTGGATGATCAGAAACCATCTACTTCAATGTTACCTTCATCATCTTCAGAAGGCCATAACAATGTCAAAAATGGTCAAAACGATGATGATCTTGAACAAAAACCTTCAACATCATTAGAACTTGATGATGAAAAACCGTTAAATTTAAAATCCACCCCCAAAACGGCAAAAACTTTAAAATCCCTGCCCAAGGACGATATTCCAAGAGTTCGTTTCGGCTTGGACCTCAAATATTGGGGCCAAAAAGTGGAGCCAGCTTCAGTGGATCGAAATATATTCGATGGCCATCGATTCTGGAAAGGCTATGACCCAGGAAGTGACACAGCCAAAGAAGCCGAGGAGATATACACGGAACGAGAGATATTATTCATTGGGAAACGACCCGAAATCAAGAAAAGCTGTCGATTTCCAATGGAAAACGGGAAACTTTGTCCGCGAATGGACCTGGAGCGGTGTCCTTTTCATGGTCCTATTGTGGAACGAGATGAGATGGGCTTTCCTGTTCATGAGTTGGGTAGAACGTAGGTTTATATTGTTGTAGGGGTTTTAATGGACTTTTGATTCAAACTGTTACTAGTGGTTTAAAAATTTTAACAATAAATTAGGTTTAGTACCAAAATCAAAAAGTGGCTCCAATTTGGTACCAATGGTACCAACTGCCTTAGGAGCCATAAAAAAGCTCAAATTTTGTATTAATGGTACCAATTGCACTAATTATCATAAAACTGTAAAAATGGGCTAAATTTGGTACCAATGGTACCAATTGCCTTAGAACTCAAAAAATGGTTCAAATTCGGTACTACTGGTACCAATTATCTTAAAACTAAAAAATGGCTGAAATTTGGTACCAATGGTACAGACTGTTTAGAAATTAAAAAATGATTCAAATTTGATACCAGTGGTACTATTTACCCGAAAAATTTAAAAAATCGAAATCGACCGAACTTAAAGTACTAAACCCATAGAACAAAGGCCCAAAAAGCTATAAAGTGAACCAGTTTTATTGCCATCAAACGTTATTCAGTTCGTCCGAGGCTTCGCTCAAGTCTCCGGTCTTCTCTTGCTTTTCGTACTTCTTGGCGTAAGCGTCAAAGTCGTCAATGTAGATCAACAGGTTCTGGCTCATCTCAATCGCGTTGTACTTCATAAAGTAGAACAGCACGATTCGGGTCGCGTACACATACTGCTGAAGATGAAAAAATGAAAAAAAAATTTTGAAATTCTTGCTTTGGAAAGAAAGTTTTTGCGGGATTTTATTTTTTTCGGTTTTGTGAAGTTGGGTCTTGAAAAGAAAGTTATTGCGGGTTTAAAAAAAATTTTAGTTTTTTAAAAATTTTTTGCTTTGGAAAGAAAGCTCTTGCGTTTTTTTTTGAAATTTTTTGATTTTTTACAAAATTGTGGGCTGTAAAGAAAGTTATTGCGGTTTTTAAAAGTTTTAGCTTTTTTCAACTTTTTTTTGCTTTGGAAAGAAAGTTTTTACGGTTTTTTTGAAATTTTTTCATTTTTTACAAAATTGTGGGCTGTAAAGAAAGTCCTTGCGCTTCTTCGAAATTTCAAAAATTTTTGTAAAAATCGGCTTTGTAAAGAAAGTTTTTGCGTTCTCAAGTCAAGCTTTTCGCCTCTGTAAACAAAATCCCTACCATTTCATTCCGAATGGCATTGTGCCGTTTCGAGCGCATCTCCTTTACCATGTTCAACATGTTGATCTCCTCGTTCTGTTGAACTCGCGCCAACAATTGACAAGTCAGTACGAGGGTTGCACTGCGACCCGCGCCCGAACTGCAGTGCACCAAAATCCGGTTTCTGGTCTTAATGTGTTTCCAAATGTATGGGATCGTGTTGCTGGCTTCGGGCATACCAAACTGCGGGAAACCGTTCCAATGAATGTGCTTTAACGTCATTTCACCCTTAGGGCCTTGAAGTTTGAAATGGAAAAATTGGAGATTCGGCTCTTCGACTGGCGACGGTTCGATCTGAAATGGCAGTATGAATAAGATTTGATGTAGACTCGACCAGTCTGAGGGCTTTAGCTGCCCAGCATAGGTCTCGCAACGAAAGATTGAAAGGGGGGGTGAATTATTAGAGCGTGGCACACTCTTCTAAAGGGTGGATTTTAAGAGGGTAAGACAATTCGTAACAACCACCTTGCACTCGGACGACTTTTTTGCCGTTTTTTAAAAGTGGAAGTTGAGTGGAAGATTTATAAGGTATTTTGCACTGAAAATCTTCCACTCAACTTCCATTTTTAAAATGTCTTAAAACGGCCTAAAAACACGTTTTTAAGCATTTTTGGGAGTGGAAGTTGGGTGGAAGATTTTCAGGGCAAAATGCATTACAAATCTTCCACTCAACTTCCACTCTCAAAAATGTTCAAAAACTCATTTTTAAGTCATTTTAAGACATTTTAAAAATGGAAGTTCCGTGGAAGAATTTCAGTGCAAAATACATTGCAAATTTTCCACTCAAATTCCACTTTTTAAAAGCTATTTTTCAAGTTTCAAAATGCCTATAATGGACTTACCTTGGCTAGTGTAACTTTATAAGGTCCGTACTCTTCTGATTGATTTACTTGTGTAGGATAGTATTTGGAACATCTGCGACCTTCATCAAATGGGTGTAGTTGGACTACCTAAAATGATGTTAATAAGTAAAAATCACTTACTGCTTCTATGTCATTTGTCATGATGAGGTCCCAAAAATGAACGACACAGTTGGGGTTGGGGGACTGGGCCAACACAAATTGATTATCCACAACGTTTGCATGGTAATATCCGCCATCTGACAGTCTTAATCGAGGCTGTTCGAAGCATAAAATGTTCTGAAACACATAACTTTGTTTACAACACACAAAAGTGTTTTTCTAAAGATAAAGTAACGTAAACTTTGTTTACAAACCCTAAAATGGCTTCAGTTAGAAAGTGGAAATTGGGTGGAAGATTTGTAATGTATTTTGCACTGGAAATCTTCCACTTAACTTCCATTTGCAAAATGTCTTAAAATGGCTTAAAAACACGTTTTTTGTTATTTTTGGAAGTGGAAGTTTGTTGGAAGATTGTAATGTAATTTGCACTGAAAATCTTCCACCCAACTTCCACGCTTAAAAACAGACAAAAAGTCGTTTTTAGATCATTTTAAGACATTTTTAAAATGGATGTTTGGTGGAAGATTTTTAGTGGAAAATACATTACAAATCTTTCACTTAACTTCCATTTTTTTAAACGGCTCAAAACATGCGTTTTAGGCCACTTTATGGTAGAGTAAGGCAAGGTAGGATGGATAGGGTAGAGTATGGTAGGATAAAACGGTGGTAATTTGAAAAAACTTTCTTTCACTTCAAAATCCCTACCTTGTAGCGGTTTCGGTTCATATTTTCGGGTTCTTGGCCAGCCACAGGTGGTAGTGGTTTCTCTCTCTCCTCCGCCTTCATCTTGTTGTACTCCTTCTTTACTCCGCTCAATTCCTTTTCCAATAAGGTTGCTGTGAACCCGTACTTGTCCATTACAGTATCGTTTGACGCGGCCGACGTACTGGTTGGGGTGGTGGGGGTGGTTGGAGCTCGCATTTCGGTCATTGCATTGTTATCTGGAGGATGTTGAATTTCAGTCTGGTCATTGTTTTTCGATTTTTGCTTCTTTTTTCGTTTTCTGAAAATTTTTTGAGTGATTTGGGTTTGTAAAGAAAGTTCTTGACATTTTTTGAGTCTGTAAAGAAAGTTCTTACTAGTTTAGATGTTCTTTCAAAAAAATTGTTGATTTTCTTAACAAGTATAAAAAGTTATGGAATTTTTAAAAAAATGGAAATTGAGTGGAAGATTTTCAGTGCAAAATACACTAAAAATCTTCCACAAAACTCCCATTTTTAAAATGTCTTAAAATGGCCTAAAAACAAGTTTTTGACATTTTTTAGGAGTGGAAGTTATGTGGAAGATTTGTAATGTATTTTGCACTAAAAATCTTCCATTCAATTTCCACTTCTAAAGTGTCCAAAACGTGTTCCTAGTCCATTTTAAGTCTTAAACCATTCAACTAAACTCATAAAACGGCAAAAACGTTTTAAAAAATTTTGCTATAGCACATTTAAAAAAGCCAAACAAAACTTACGCTTGTTCTTTGCTTCCTCCCATGACACTGCCTGTATCGTCTTCAGGGATGTTTTGAGTAACTGTAGCACCACCCTTGTTGTCCTTGCTTTTCTTCTTCTTCTGAAAATGTTAAATTAGGTGTATGGCAAGAACTTTCTTTACAAAACAAAAAATGGCAAGAACTTTCTTTACAGAACAAAAAATGGCAAAAACTTTCTTTACAGAACAAAAAATGGCAAGAACTTTACAAAACAAGTAGTGGCTGGCAAGAACTTTCTTTACAACAAAAAACCCCTGTTCCTTACTTTTTTGGCAGTTTTAGAGCTCTGAGCACCAGCACCTTCCTCTTGTTTAACATCCTGAGTTCTGGCCTTCTTCTTCTTCCCACCGCCCTTCTTCTTCCCCCCGCTATTCGATTCCTGGGTGAGGTTGCCCAAAATGCCACCGAATTTGTTCATAAACCCGCTCATCCTTCCACTTTGAGCGACCGGTCGATAGTTTGGAGTTACGAGCTGAAGAAAGCGACCGTCTTGTACAGCGAATTTTGAATAAATGACGATTTTTTGGGATTTTTGAGGAATTTTAAATTTTTTGAAAGTTTCGAAATTGAAAAAAGTTTTTAAATTTTGAGCAAATTTGGATTCGAAAAAAAATTTTTAAAATGTGACAAAACAAATACTTCCACTTCCAAAAAGTGTCAAAAACGCGTTTTACGCCATTTTAAGACTTTTTTGAAAGTGGAAGTTTAGTGGAAGATTTTCAGTGCAAAATACCTTATAAACCTTCTACTCAACTTCCACTTTCTAAAAATGGCCGTAAATGGTCTTGTAAACAAAATTATCGATATTTTTTGAATTTGTCAGAAAAGCTTGTATCTTTTAAGGATTTTTGTCAAAATATTGTAATTTTTCAAAGATTATCATATAAGTTATGGTATTTTGAAAAGAAGCATAAAACGTTTTGGCCTAAAATAAGGTTTTTTAAAAAATTTTATTAAGAAAAATATTATTTTCAGTATAAAATTTACAATTTTCATTAACTTCCAGAGCCCTAGAAGCCCTGAAGAACGCCGAAGAGAAAATGAAACGAAAAGCAGAACAAGATGAAAAGGATTATGTTCGAGATGTTGAGGCTGTGGTTGGTATACCACTACAATTAGAAGAGAAAAAGAAGAAACGAAGAGGATTTGTGAACAGAAATTATGGAACAGCAAGGAAGAGGGTCAAAACTGAAGGTGAAAGGTCAAGGGAACGCTTGGAGGTGGGTTGTTGAAGTTTTTTTAAATTTTAAAAAAGTGGAAGTTGAGTGGAAGATTTGTAATGTAATTTGCACTGAAAATCTTCTACTCAACTTCCATTTTCAAAATGTCATAAAATGGTCTGAAAACACTTTTTTGGTACTTTTTGGGAGTGGAAGTTTGGTGGGAGATTTTTAGTGCAAAATACATTGAAAATCTTCCACTCAACTTCTACTTTTAAAAGCCTTAAAAACGTGTTTTAGGCCATTTCGAGACATTTTAAAAATGGAAGTTGAGTGGAAGATTTTTAATGCAAATTACAGTACAAATCTTCCACACAAATTCCAGTTTTAAAAACAATCAAAAATGTGGTAAATTTGAAAGGCTTGATCCTATTTTTGATCACTATTGTTTAGAAAAAGCTTTTTGACCGAAAAGCAATGCGTCGAGTGGCTGAAACGTTGGCCGAAATTCAACGCCACAGGGCTCAAAAAGCTTTTGGCAATCAGTATGTTCATGCTGTTCAACGTTGATGGCCTGTATTGTCGTGAAAGATGTTTAAAAAGCTAAATAAAGTGTATATTGCCTAACGTTTTTCTTTTTTGATGTTATACATGGCCTGGTTTGACAAGTTTTTCAAGTGGAAGTTGAGTGGAAGATTATTAATGCATTTTGCACTGAAAATCTTCCACTTAACTTCTATTTTTAAATAGTCTTAAAATTGCCTAAAAATGAGTTTTTAAGCATTTTTAGGTGTGGAACTTCCTCTTCTTATTTTATTTTTTTACAGAAACATAATGTATAGGTATTTTTTAATAAAGTATTGATTAATTGTGGTCAAAATAATTTATTGCACATAAAATACGATGTAAACAACTTTTTGGGTAAAATAAATAAAAATTTAGATTTTAAAAAATTTAAAAAATTATTTTTAAATAAAAAAAATTTTAAAGCAATTTCTGCATGTTAAAACGCTTTAAGCGATTCTCTTGACCGCCCTCAAGAACACCTCCTTATCACTGGGAAATTCACGGCGGTTAAAGTTGAATTCACATCGGATTGTGAACGTGATCTGGCTCTGACGGCACTTTTTGTCACGCCACAAGAACCAATCCTCACCACGGCGTTCCAGCCTGTGCGTATAAAATACGAAACAGGAACGGTGAACCTGAGGATCACGTTTGATCAGGTAGACGGTATCGGCTTTGGGGCAAAGTAGGTCGCAGTAGGTACGAGTGGTACCGTTGACTACTTCCTGGAATAGGTTTTGTTGAGATTTTATGGCTGGAAGGCTTAAAAGTGAAGTAAATTACGTCGTGGAATGGTTTTGTACTCAAAAACCTGGCCTTTTTTTTAAATAAAATTTAGAAAGTGGTAGTGTTGTGGAAGATTTGTAATGCATTTTGCAATAAAAATCTTCCACTTAACTTCCATTTTTAAAACGTCTTAAAATGGCCTAAAAATGCATTTTTGACACTTTTTAGAAGTGGAAGTATGGTGGAAGATTTTTAGTGCAAAATACATTACAAATGTTTCACTCAACTCCTACTTTATTAAAAATGTCACAGCTAGGCTTAAAAACTACAAATTTCTTTCAAATCCATACACGTCTTTTTAAAATGGCATTATCTAAAGTTTTCAAGAAAAAAAATTGCAAAAACTTTCTTTACACTTTAAAAAAAAGTTTTAAGGCTTAAAAAATAGGGTTAAAAGAGTTTTTTTTGTAAAATACGCCTTTATTAATAGTCTTCCACATAAAGTTTACAATTTTAAACTTACATCAAAGCATCCGGCCTCTTTCTCGGCCAATCTTCTGTTGTGATCAGTTTCGGTTTCTCTCAATGCAATAGTGCATTGAGCCTTTTCTGTACTGATCTTGTCTGGTCCAGTGCCATTTTTAGTCTCACAGATCAGGTCTCTCCATTCTAAAATGGAAAACGTGGTTTATAGGCTATAAAATGGCAAGAACTTTGTTTACAGAATAAGAAAGAGCAAGAACTTTCTTTACAAAACAAAAAATCACAAAAACTTTCTTTACAGAACAAAAATGGCAAGAACTTTGTTTACAGAATAAGAAAGAGCAAGAACTTTCTTTACAAAACAAAAAATCACAAAAACTTTCTTTACAGAACAAAAATGGCAAGAACTTTCTTTGCAAAACAGATAATAGCAAGAACTTTCTTTCCAAAACCTACGCCAATGAACAGTCGATTCCTCGTTGGTCTGGGCTAGGGCCAGACCGACCAGTAATAGTCCAACAACCACTGACTTCATTTAAATTCAGTCGATGACATTCTAGGCTAAACTGAGTCTTTTAAAGGGTTGCGCAACGTCCGGGTGGCTAGCCCTCGAACCGGATTTCCAGCGATCTTATCACTTACTATGTTGAGCGATGACAAATGAGTAACATGCCGTTTTTGAAGAGACACCAGTGTTGTTGACATAGGGATCAGCGTTGCTTTTATGTTGTTGTCATTGTAAAAGAAAGAGATAACAAAAAACATGATAGTAAAAAGAAAATTACAGTTCAAAAGAAAGCAGGGATACTATAGAAAATGGCATTTTACATGAGAATTCTTGTGCTATTTTACGTATGTTTAAGCCTACCGTAACTTAGGCTTAGTAGGCTTAGGCTTATCAGGCTTAGGATTAGTAGGCTTAGGCTTGGTAGGCTTAGGATTAGTAGGCTTAGGGTTAGTAGGCTAAAGCTTAGTAGGCTTACAATTAATATGCTTAGGCTTAGTAGGCTGAAGCTTAATTGTCTTAGGCTTAGCAGGCTTAGGCTTAGTAGGATTAGTCTTAGTATGCTTAGTTGGTTTATTAGGCTTATTTTTTGTTAGCTGGAATGTCTTAGGATGAATATGCTTATATGACTTTAGGCTTAAAAAGATTTTCCGTCTTACGTACAATTTGGGCTCATAAATATTTTAGGCTTAAGGATTTGTCTATTAAAACTGAACTTACTAAACGTTAGTTTACTAAGGCCCAGCGTACGAAGCTTACGCTTACTGAATCTAACCTTACTAAACCTATGTCTATAAAGCCTAAGCTCACTAAGACTACTAAGCGTAAGCCTGCTAAGTCTAAGCTTACTAAGCCTATGTTTTGTAAAATACGACGCGTTAACTTGCAAAGTTTAATTAGTATTCTTGCACCATTACCTGATGTTTACCTAATGTTATGATATATTAACATAGCCTCAGAGAAATTGCAAGAAATCGTGTTGCGCAACTTTCTTATGTAATTTTACAACTTTATATAACATTTGCCTCGATGTAAAACGACCCAACAAATTACTGCGAGTGCTGGGATTTTACTTTGCGTTACCCCGAGTATCAAAATTTATCTGCCATTATGTGCACATCAGTTATCATTTGTCTGTTATTTTTTATAAGGTGGGGTAATGTAAGGCAGGTAGAAATATGTAGAGCAGGGTAGGATGCCGGTAGAGTAGGGCCGGGTAGGGTAGGGTAAGGTAGGGTAAGGTAAGGTAGGGTAGGATAGGGCAGGGTAGGGTAAGTTAGGGTAGGGCAGGGCAGGGCAGGGCAGGGCAGGGCAGGGCAGGGTAGGGTAAGTTAGGGTAGGGTAGGGTAAGTTAAGGTAAGGTACGGTACGGTAGGGTAAGGTAGTGTACAGTACGGTAAGGTAGAGTTCAATGCCCTGCCTTATCTCCAAGCTTGGTAGCAAGTTTTTAGCTATTCTTTACTTAACTCTTGCCTTTTCAAGCCCTTTACCATACTCCTAAAACACCACAGATCCATGTCTTTTTTCTTTAAAAATCGACCGAAAATAATTCTGTTTACCATTACTCCTCCGATAAAAGCAATTTTGGGTGCAGAAGGGTCAGCAGAGAGGGAATGTTTACTACAAACTTTTGAAATTGCAAAAAAAACATTGTTTATACAGAACAAAGACGTCGCAAATAAAAAATAAGTGGACTTTGAGACCTGTTTTAATATTAAAATGGCAAAGACTTTCTTTACAACTTTGAAAAATATTAATCAGAAAAGGCGAATCATATTGATATTTTTGAAATAAGGCATGATTTTGGTGAAGGTAAAATACGGAAAGCTTTTTTTGTTGGTATTCCTTATGTTTAATAGTAGTAGTAGGTTTAGTAGGGTTAGGCTTATTAGGTGTAGTGTGTTTAATCTTATTAGGCTTAAGTTGAGTAACATTAAACATAGACGTCTTACGATTTTCAGGCATAGGAATAGGTTGAGCAGGTTTAGGCTTAGTTGGTTTAGAACTATATGATTTTAGCTTAGTAGGCCTAGGCTTAGTAAGCTTAGGTTTAATAGGCTCAGGCTTAGTAGGCTTTGGCTTAGTAGGCTTTGGCTTAGTAGGCTTTGGCTTAGTAGGCATAGGCTTAGTAGGCTTAGGCTTAGTAGGCATAGGCTTAGTAGGCTTAGACTTAGTAGGCTTAGGCTTAGTAGGCTTAGGCTTAGTAGGCTTAGGCTTAGTAGGCTTAGGCTTAATAGGCTTAGGCTTAGCAGGCTTAGGCTTAGTGGGCTTAGGTTTAATGGGCTTAGGCTTAGTAGGCTTAGGCTTAGTAGGTTTAGGCTTAGTAGGCTTAGGCTTAGAATTAGTAGGCTTAAGCTTATTATCTATTGACTTTGGGTTTAGGCGTATGAGGATTTCTAGGTCTAGGTTTGCTTAGGCTTACATAAAGTAAAATAAAAAGAAATTCGGTTTATAAAAATTTTGTGAAATCTTGTCGGAACAACTTAAAATTTCGAAACCAATTGACTTTTTTTCTACTTTTCGTAGTCTACTGAGTAAAATGGATTATACCTTTCGTAATACGATATCAGTAAAGTCATGTCAGTAATCACATTATCTTTTTTATTTTAAAATTTTTTTTTGAAATTTTAAATTTCGAAAAAAGGGTAAAAATCAGCTTTTACTATATTTACTTGCACAGTTTAACAATTGTGTAACAAATAATCTTTGTTTTGGCTTTGGAAACGGTGTAACATGGTCATTATGTTAACTTGGTTGGAGAGAGATAGGTATGCATTACAACAATATGGTTTTTTAAAATGTGACAAAACAAAACAAAAAATACATTTTTATGGGGTTGTAAGGAAAGTTTTTGAATATTTCTGATAGGCAAAAACGATTTAGGACTGATTTGGTTACGTAAGAAGCATTTGAAGAATTTTTAAAAAATGGAACTTGAGTGGAAGATTTGTAATGTATTTTGCACTAAAAATCTTCCACCAAAATTCCACTTCTAAAAAGTGTCAAAAACGTGTTTTTAGACCATTTTAAGACATTTTAAAAATGGAAGTTCAGTGGAAGATTTTCAGTGTAAAATACATTACAAATCTTACACTGAACTTCCACTTTTCAAAAATGTTATTTTTTGGTTTTTAACGAAAATTCATGTCAGTTTATGTTTTGTAAAGACATTTTTGATTGTTTTTGATACGGTAACTACTTTTTTGTAAGAAAAAAAATTGTTTTTGACTTTAAAAATGTTATTTTTGTGGCTGTTTACTTGCTAAGTTTAGATCGTATTTGGCCTAATAGTGTTCCATCCAGTATCATATGCTCTTTGAGGTCTTCTTTTTTCTTATTTTGCTATAAAAACGTTTGGCCAAGTGTTAGAAAAAGTGTGTTTTTACTTGTTTTTAAGGGATTTCTCCGCCTTTTTTATTTTTTTTAACCATACCCTACTTTACTTTACCCTACTCTACTCTACTTTACCTTACCCCATCCTACCCTACCCTACCCTACCCTAACATTCTCTACCCTAGTCTAGACTGTCTTACCTTACCCTACGTAACCCTACCCTACCTTGCTTTGCTTTATACTGCCTTGCCTTGACTTGACCTGCCTTTTCCTGTCTCTACTTTACCCTACTCAACCCTCACTTTACCCTGCCTCTACTCTACCTTACCTTACGTTACCTTGCTCTACTCTATATTATCATACTCCTCCCCTGACTTTTTTACCTTGCCTTGCTGTACCTAGCCTTTTCTAAGCTTTTTTCTCTTCCCTATCCCTCCTTCATACCCCCCCCCCTCTTTTTATACCACTCTCCCTTCTCTATCTTTCCTCTCCACCCCTTCACTTTCTAATCTTGTTCTCCCCCCCCCCTCTTCCCATTACTTCCCCTTCGCTCAAAAAATGCTTTTTTTGTTGTTTTGGAACAGCTGTGAACCGGGGCTCCGCCCCCTTTTCGAAAAGCCTTTAAATAGAGGGCCCGGGGGCCGAAAACAAAATCTCAACGCAGATTCCCACGCCAAATCAAACTGTTTGAAGAAATCGTTGTCGTTCGACAGTGCTTAATCAAAATGCAAGACAAAGGCCTCAAGATTCAACCCGACTACAACACTGACGTCTTGTGGAAGCCGCCAATGGGTAAGCTGCCATTTTTAATCATATCTTCTTAACTTTTTATAAATGTTAGTTAAAATTACTGTTTTCTAACTACTCCTAGGCTAGGGAATGATTTTTATTACCTAAAATATATTTTATATTGTTTAGAAACCCAAAAACAACCTGTTAAAAAAGTGGAAGTTTCGTGGAAGATTTGTAATGTATTTTGCACTGAAAATTTTCCACTTAACTTCCATTTTGAAAGTGTCTTAAAATCGCTTAAGAATGAGTTTTTAGCAATTTTTAGGGATGGAAGTTGGGTGGAAGATTTGTAATGTATTTTGCACTGGAAATCTTCCACGAAACTTCCACTTCTAGAAATGCTTAAAAACGCATTTTTAGGCAATTTAAAGACATTTTAAAAGTGGAAGTTTTGTGGAAGATTTTCAGTGCAAATTACATTACAAATTTTCCACTTAACTTCCACTTTTATAAAGGCCGTTTTGAGCTATTTTGGTCGTTGTTTATGACTTTTTGGTTAATTTTACTGGTTTTTCAGCCCGCATGCGCACAGTGAGCATGGACTCAAGTGCCAGTGACTCGGTCGATAGCCCAAATGCATCGACCGGTCGAAAGTTCAGTTTCTCCGAGATGTTCATCGGTCCATTCCATCGACGAACCTCCTTCTCCGAAACCGAGACCACGATGCCGAGAAAGTCGTCGTTGAGTGAGAACGTCGACTTCAAAGAGTTCATGAAGCGACAGAAGAAGATTCTCGAGGAACAGTAATCGGGCTATGCAGTATACTGTAACCAGTACTAGTGCTATGGTAGTATATTATAACTAGTACCATGGTACTTTTGGAGCCAGTACAAATTGAGGTTACTGTAACATTTTTTAGTACAACCAAGTTTTGGATACTGTAACTTTACGTTTTTTATTTGGTTTTAATAAGTTCAGGTTACTGTAATCAAAAAGGGGCACTGTATTTTTGAAAAACTAAATTTGGGGTACTGTAACTTAATTTTTTTGTGGTTTTTAATAGCTAAAGGCTTTTAAAGTGACTTTTGGGCGATTTTATGGATTTTTGGTTACTGTAACCCAGCGTGGAGTACTGTAACTTTTAAAAAGTAAAAGTTGGATTACTGTAATTTTTTGCATTTTTTCAGTTTTACGGTACTTTTTAACACTTTTTTTACCTAAAAATTGATTTTAATACTCTTCAAAGCCCGCTAGATTACTGTAACATACTATTTTTCAAAAACAATTTACAGTACCCAAATGCTTACAGTGTCCTCTCTCACTACTCCAAACGTGTATATAATGTAAACCTAATATATCTTATCACCATCTTTACAACTATTACTTTATTTATATTACTGTAGCTTCACCTTTTAGCAGAGGTACACAGTAATCTTGCTTTCTTTTCTACCATAATTTTGTTATTGTAACTTGCTTACTGTAGGTTTTTAGTAATAGTAGTAGAAGATTATCTAATTTTTTGATGACACAACTTAATGTAGTTATCAGATTGTAACTAATTGGTCAGTTGGTCTATTGGTTACTTGTACATATACTGTAACCTAATGTTGCTATAAAAGGGAAAATAAACAAAATATTACCTAAACTTGGCATAGAAACTTTTTATTTTACTAATAGAAATCTATTTTCAAAAATTTAAAAGTGGAAATTGAGTGGAAGATTTTCAGTGCAAAATACATTACAAATCTTCCACTTAACTTCCATTTTCAAAAAGTGCCAAAAAGTCATTTTCAAGCCATTTTGAGACTTTTTAAAATTGGAAGTTGAGTGGAAGATTTTTAGTGCAAAATACATTACAAATCTTCCACTTCACTTCCACTGTCTATAACATCTTATTTTTTAATTTCCAGACCATTTTATGATTTGTAAAGAAAGTTTTTGTCATTTTAATCATCTGATACCATATTTTGTCACTTTTTCATTTTGTACTCCAAGTTTTGTCTGGTTTAGTCATCAAGACATCAATGTTAATATCCTTTGCTTATCACTAAGTATATAGGTCTCAGTGAACTTCTCATCAAATATATGTTAAAAACTACCGTATGAGTACAAAAACTCTTATTTTGAATCTTTGCACTTTTGCATTTCTGTGGAAAGGGACGGTATTTTGAAAAAACATTGTTTTTTTCAAGATTTTGGGAAAGAAGGATATTACACTAGCCATTACTTAACGTTCTGGTTGTAATATCGACACGAAAATAGGTTTCCGAAGCAATGTGCTTTGGTGTAAACAAAGTTTTTGTTATTTTTTTCATTTTTTCTCAAGCCATTTTTCATTTTAAAGCCTGTAAACAAAGTTATAGCAGCTTTCAAAAAGTGGAAGTTGAGTGGAAGATTTGTAATGTATTTTGCACTGAAAATCTTCCAATATACTTCCATTTTTAAAATGTCTTAAAATGGTCTAAAAACACGTTTTTGAGCATTTTTGGGGGTGGAAGTTAAGTGGAAGATTTGTAATGTATTTTGCACTAAAAATCTTCCACCGGACTTTCACGTCCAAAAAGTGTTAAAAATGCATTTTTAGGCTATTTTAAGTCATTCTAAAAATGGAAGTTGAGTGGAAGATTTTCAGTGCAAAATACATTACAAATCTTCCACTCAACTTCCACGATTTAAAATGCCCAATACTTTCTCTTGATGTTTCATTGAGATTGATTCACATGTTTTTCGCCATTTTTCCCTTTTTTTAAACCAACAAAAACGAAAAAAAGGCTAGGCCAAAGTCCGTAAAAAGGCCTTGTTTTTGTTGGAAAAGACTCGTGACTACGGCCAAACAATATTAATGAAGGCAGGGACATTTTATATGTGTTTCATGTTTTCTTCTGAGTAAACAGGATTATGGATACAGTAGAAAATAAAAAAAATTAAATTGCAAAAACTTTGTTTACAGGACCATTTACGGAAGTTTTTATTAAGTGGAAGTTTAGTGGAAGATTTGTAATGTATTTTGCACTGAAAATCTTCCACTCAACTTCCACTTTTAAAATGTCTTAAAATGGCTTAAAAATGACTTTTTGGCACTTTTTGAGAGCGGAACTTCGGTGGAAGATTTGTAATGTATTTTGCACTGAAAATCTTCCACCAATCTTCCACTTTTTATTTTCACTAAAACCTTACATATTGTCTCAAAGCTGCAAAAACTTTGTTTACACATTTCTTTGCACTTTTAAAACGCTCTTTCTAACCCCATCTAACCTTGATTTTTTGTATTTTTCGCAACCTACAACTCACTCCCCCCTATAAGCTTACTGTAGAATCACCTTTGTACATTACTACACTTATCAGTGTAACAAACAAGCTGTAATAGTAGTGTGTTTTTATCGCCCAAAACGTTATCAGTAATCAAGCATTGAGAGCACGCGGTTATTAAACTTCCGTATGTTTGCTGACTGTTAATATGAATGATAAGGTGAAGATAACCTATTAGTAAATATGTTTTATACAAAGTTTTGTTGGGAAAGTCAACCTAGAGATCATTTTTTATTGTAAAAGTCTAGGATTAGTAGTAGTTACTGAAAACATAGTCTTTGAAAGTTTTATAAAAGTGGAAGATTGGTAGAAGATTTTCAGTGCAAAATACATTAAAAATCTTCCACATAAATTCCACTCCTAAAAAGTGCCAAAAAGTCATTTTCAAGCCATTTTAAGACATTTCAAAAATGGAAGTTAGGTGGAAGATTTTCAGTGCAAAATACATTACAAATCTTCCACCAAAGTTCCACTTATAAAACTACTGCTTTTAGGCCTGTAAACAAAGTTCTTCTCAACCGTATCAAATAAAAATCAATTTCAAATCAAAATTCGTACCGGTTGGCCCCACAAACAGCTTGTCAGCTTTACTTTAACAATAAATGGCATAAAAAGTAATTTGTGATTCTCCTTTTTCAAACTTTTTAGTCCTTAAATCAGTCAAAAGTGTGACAGCCACGTGCTTTTGAAAACAAAACCCTTTGAAAGAGCTGCAAAAACTTTCTTTTCAAATTTTGCCGATATTTTTAGTGACAAAACCGATATTTTAGGTAACAAAAAACAAAATTGAGAGCTTTTTGAACAGGTGGGGGTAAAAACTTTGTTTACAAAACAAAAAACGGCAATAACTTTATTTACAAAACATTTGAAATGTTTTAAAACGGCCTAAAAACAAGTTTTTGAAGTTATTTGGTAGTGGAAATTCAGTGGAAGATTTGTAATGTAATTTGCACTAAAAATCTTCCACTTAACTTCCACTCTCAAAATGTCGTAAAATGGTCTAAAAATGACTTTTTGACACTTTTTAGAAGTGGAAGTTCGGTGGAAGATTTTCAGTGTAAAATACATTACAAATCTTCCACTCAACTTCCATTTTCTTAAACATGCCATTTTACGTTTTGTAAAGAAAGTTCTTCCCATTTCATGTCCTGTAAAGAAAGTTCTTCCTATTTTATGTCCTGTAAAGAGAGTTCTTGCTATTTTATGCCCAGTAAAGACATTTTTTTTGTAGTATGTGTCAATTACTCAACGTAACAACTCTAAAAGCAAATTATCCGAGAAGAAAAACAAAATTAAGTTTCTATTTTTACATTCACTTTGTATTTACATGGGCAGTAAACAGATAAAAACGAAAAACAGCTATATATAACAACATATTATGTATGTTGGCATGTTTTTCGTTTGAGTGTCAACAACTTTTTAATGGTAAATACAGGGTGAGGATGGTGCAAACTTTCTTTACAGAGTGTGAAATGGCAAGAACTTTCTTTACAGATCATAAAATGGCAAGAACTTTCTTTACAGATCATAAAATGGCAAGAACTTTCTTTACAGATCGTAAAATAGCAAGAACTTTTTTTACAATGCAAAAAATGGCAAGAAGTTTCTTTACAAAACAAGAAATGGCAAGAACTTTCTTTACAATCTTTAAAAACTTTGTTTATTGTAAACAAAGTTTCTTCTTTCATTTTCCATTTCAAAAATACCTTTCAAATATAGCAAAAACAATTTCCCATCTCATAACGGGTACTGTATTCTCTTTTTTATTTGCCTTTAAAGTGCATTTAAAATGTTTTGCAGCAAGACACAATACCTTATAGAGAGAGAATCAGAGAAAAAGAGGGAAAAAGCACGAGATATTTGGCGTAAACAACAAAAATAACTGAATTTATGGCTTCGAATGGAAAGTTGAGCAATTTTAAATTCAAAATATTTGAAAAGAAAGCGAAAAAACGTTGAAAAATAGACATTAAATTTGCATATTTACAAAAATAGTGATAAATATTGATGATAACGAGAGCTTTTGAACTTTTTGATCTGTAAAGAAATTTTGTGACATTTTAAAGGTGTCTGAATTCGTTTTTAATGCTCAGAGATGTTTAAACAAGGCTTTGGCAAAATGTGGAAAAAATGGAAGTTAAGTGGAAAATTTGTAATGTATATTGCACTGAAAATCTTCCACCAAAATACCACTTCTCAAAAGTGTCAAAAACGTGTTTTTAGGCCATTTTAAGACATTTTAAAAATAAAAGTTGAGTGGAAGATTTTCAGTGCAAAATACATTACAAACCTTCCAGTCAGCTTCCACTTTTTGAAAAATGCCATAACTTACAGTTCTTAATCAAATATTCAAAACAATTCAGTAAAAAATTGTTTACAACGCCAATTGTGACATTTTCAAGAACTTTCTTGCCACAATAAACACCTCAGGAGCTTAGAGCTGATCAAGATCATCCTCTTCATAAGAAATCAAAAATCCTCGAAAACAACAGCTGTAAAGAAAGTTTTTGCGAGTAGCAAACAAGTCCAAAGTACTTGAGGACTACTGTTGTTTTTGGCCAATTTTTACGAAATTGTTTTTCGCACGAAAAAGCCCCCTCGAGACATTTCCAGCTATTTTTTAGGGGATTTTTTCGAGCTTTGCACGTGTCTTCAACAAGCTGTTGACAATGGTGAGAATAACATGGTAATCCAGTTGTTGGCATGTTTACTATGTGTTTCTGAGTTACTTTTAGGTAGTCAAGTATGTTATAGTAAGGTTTTTGAGAAAAAAGATAAGTTGAAGTTGAGTGGAAGATTTGTAGTGTATTTTGCACTGAAAATCTTCCACCAAATTTTCACTTTTAAAAGTGTCAGAAAGTCATTTTTAGGCAATTTTAAGAGATTTTAAAAGTGGAAGTTGAGTGGAAGGTTTTCAGTGCAAATCACTTTACAAATCTTCCACTCAACTTCCAAGTCTAAAACAAGACTTTTTTGTCTTCTAATCAAAATACCTGTAATTGTAAAGTTTGTAAGCCAATCTTCTTGTCATTTATTGTTTTGTAAAGAAAGTTCTTGCCATTTTATGTTCTCTAAAGGAAGTTTTCGCCCCCTACACCTTAAACAGAAATCATGCCAACCTTTATACACTAACCTTTGACCCATGTCACATCTTCAATACAATACGAATACCAAAACAAACAACACATGTTTTTAAGTTTTGTAAAGCTGATAAGGAACGTTTTGCTCTAGTTTTCAAAACTTTCTTTAATTAAGTTACTTTACACTTTGATAAAAATAGAAACAAAGGTAAGTGTAATGACACAAACAACAAGAAATACTTTTTCAATGTTACATATTCATTAACTTCGACAAATCACCCGTATTTACACATTTATTTGATCTTGAAGATGATTATTGGTACATAACATAATATAATCATCATAGTTAATATAATAAGCTTAATAAATTAACATTACTGTTTTAAATAGCTAACAAATTCAATAAAAAACGTTAAAAATACAAAAAACATTGAGTTAAGCAGTGAAAACCTTCAAAAAAATTAAAAAATTATCAAAAATCGCAAAAAAATCCACGAAAATTAAGTCTATTACAACATAAATCGCCTCAAAAAAAGTATCCATACCCTTTAAACACTAAAAACCTTTGACAAAAACATTAAACACAATCTCCTCTACCCCTACTATCATCAGCGACCACATCTTTCAGAATTCCTTGTGCTTCTTATAGATCAAAGTGATGGGTTCATCCACATCCAGCTGTCGTAACCTTGTTTTCCGTATAAAAACGACCGAATAATCACGTCCCATCAGCTCATCATTACAAAAAATGTCAAATTCATTGTAGTGAGAAGTGTCACCATCGAATAGGAAGTATGATAACAGACGTTTCAGCGTGGTAATCGTGGCCAGAGCTGAAATATATTGATGTAGACATTAATACTCCTTTTAAAACAAAGTTTTTCAAATTTTAAATTCCCAAAATTTATATTTAAAACTCACGATTCAAAGCAATAACAGCATGCTTCAATGGCGGTGTATCATCAGCGGGTATCAGGCAAACAGCGTCTTTATCACCTAACCGATTATGGGCAACATCCATATCTTGTTCATCACAACATTTTCCCTTAATTTTCGGTTGAATCACCGCATTTTCGTAGGCTGAAAATATTTATGCTATAATAAATATAAACTTAAATGTAAAATACACGTATTTCAAAGAATATTATCCATAACGGTAACTCTAACTTTTAATCAAAAATAATATTTTTAGCTTTAATTATTTGAATATTTTTGAACGATTAGTTAAAACTGGCCCTCAGCTATCTAAAAAGTCCAAAATCACCATCAAACATCTCTAAAAACAAAAGTTATGATAACAACCATTACCTTGTTCATCCTTCTGAAGTACTTGATCGCTTTCTTCCTCATCTTCACCATCATGAATTCCCAACCGCTTTCTTTCTTCATAAAATTGTTTTCTCCTTTTCTGCTCAGCTTCTAACAATCCTGGCACCAGCTTATAAACGATCTCTTGCAACGTACGATCATAAGTAACATAATGAGTTGGATGAGATTGATGAATCACTGTATGACACTCCGGGCAGTCCTTGTTATCTGGAAAACCTTGAATGCAACGCATTATTAGTATGTTTACATAAAAAAATAAGTTAAAGTACTTGCCGATACCAAAAATAAGCTTTTATGACGTATATACATCTTTTCCATCTACTACAATATAAGTTGACATAAAACATATATGTAGACACCCATTTTCATTCCTACTCCTTCCTAAACATCAAAAACAACAAGAAAATTAACTTACCTTCAAAATACATCAACAGGCAGCTTTTACAAAATGAATGCAAGCAATCCATGATGGTAATGGCATCAATTAGGTATCCTTGACATATTCCACATGTCAAATTGCTGTTCAAAAGCTTCAACTTGACCATATAACCATGTTCTTTGTCGTGCAAATAATCTGGACCTTCTTTGGACTTGCTGGAACACGGAGCATCTTCATCTTGCTTCTCCGCCTTCACTTTCCGCGCTTTATGAGGCTTTTTCGTGGTGCTGATCGGCGGTTTCATGTCTAAAACAACATAAACTAGTGTTGGAATACTCTGAAGTATATATAAAATAAATTAGAAGTCGAAAAGCTACAATATTTTACTAGATATAGCGTTAAAACGACAATAATTCTTATAAAAACGAGATTTTTCTTCAGAAATTATGGCGTCGCAGAATGCCAAGACTTTTTCGGCATTTGTTTTCGTGGCGGAACTATATTGGAAACTGTGTGTACTGTAAAAATGTGAATATAAACTGTAACAAAACTGTTGAAATTGATATTTACGACAATTTACTAATATTTTTTAAAAAAATTTTATTTTTAATAACAAGTTTTATAAAAAGTTATTTTTTAATTAAAAAATATTGTTTTATGTAAAATACGACAATTCTAGATACAGTCATATATACTGCTTTCAGTACGATCAAGCAAAGATTGCGTTTCAAAGATTCGATTTTAATCCGGGTTCGAATTTCAACTTGACGATTTTGATGTGGCACAAATTTTGACAGCAAGTGGCCACAGATAGATGGGTCATTTAACGTTTTATGTGATTGGGATGCTAACGCTTATGGTCGATTTGATTTGAACGTGTTGATGACCAATTTTGTCAAGCACAAGAAAAGGCACAGCTCTCGTAGGTTTTTAATTTTTAATTTTTTGAAATTTTTTATTTGAATTGTAAATGTGTGCTGACCTTATAATTAACATATTTTACAAATCAAAACGGTAAAAATGTTGTAAATAGTTTTAAAGTATTTGTAAGATACTATTTTATATTTTTGTAAAATACGCGGTCGCTGAGGTTATTTTCAAAAAGTTATGAATCAAAACGTAAGGGGAACGCATCTGGCCTCATGGATAATATAATTTTAGCTTCTAACTTGCTGAATTTATAATAAAACCTAAAAATTGTTAAAAATAAATAACAAATGAGATATTTGTAATCTAAAAAGGTATAGTTCCTATATCTTGAGCTTTAGTTCAACGTGATATTAGCGGTAGAAGACAACGACATACGATGTCATGGATAATATAACTGTAGCTTGTATTTTGCTGAATTGATTTTAAAACTACGAAACTTAGATTTTTAGGTAAAAAATGGTTTTGCCATCTTGTAAGACTATATTTACTTATATTGTTCTATTTTCTGTTTCAAAACATTGAAAATTGTGTAAGGAGACGTGATGTCAAGGATAATGTAAGCTTTTGCCTCATAACTTGGTGATGCTTTTTCAGATTAAAAAACAGTTTCTGGGCATTAAAGGGGAAGGTATTTAAAGTGTTTTAACATTATCTAGGACTTGGTTTGACCTATTTTTTAAATTTTATTATTAAGAGAAAATGGCCACATCTATAGGCATGGATAACATACGTTTTTCCTTTGTAACTTGGTGGTGCCGTTTCAGCTTTAACAGAGTGTTTGTGACATTTAAAAGAAACATATTTAAAGTGTTTTTAAGCTAGTAATAACTTGTTTTTGTTTATTTTTGTGGTTTTATTATCAAAAGAAAGTTATTGCAGCTGTAGTCATGGATAATATAAGTAAACTCTCATAACTTTTTTATTGACTTTTTAAACTTTATGACCTTTTGAGCAATTAAAAACTACAGCTTTTACAATCTTTTAACAATCAATTCCATTTGTTTTGTCACATCTCCAAAAAGATATAGCCAAAAGAAACACTAACATCATGGTTAATATCCGACCTTTTTCATTAAAACCCTATTTTTTGAGTAGCCAATGTTTGTAGCGTACGGAATTCATTAAAGTTTTTCGTGAGTTTGTGTTATGAATGCACTTCAAGGTTTTGTTTGCCGAGGTTTCCATACTATTATACCTACTTTTGATATTGTGTTGGTCAATGTACCGCCGGCGTTTTGGTAAGTTTTTAGGTGAAGTTGGCAGTTTTCGTGATTGTGATGGATTGTGAAAGGTGTAGTAAGCTGTAGCATTGTAGTAGGGTCAAAAATTTAAAAAAGAAAATTTTTGAAAAGTTTATAGAATATTACCTAAAAATTCAAAAAATGATGTTGTTCTACAAGAAATAAGTCGAGTATTTTATCCAAAAAAAAGCTCTAAATTACCCTCCTTCTGGAGCCAATTAAAGCTCCATTAGCCTAGCCGTTTGTTAGGCCAGTGACATTAAGAAACAAGTGTTTTGAGTGATCGCAAATTTTATTTTTGACAGCTTTCAAGCTTTTTCTAATTCATAAGAAGCTTGTTTTAACATTTTTCTGAATTTCAAACGAATTTCGAAAATATTTGTTTTTGGTTAGCAAGTTTTAAAAAATTTCTGTTGGTTTGGTTAGGCTTATGAAGGTTGGTTCTAGCAGGTATAGACTTAATAGGTTTGGTTTTTTTTTGGATTATGCTAACGTTTTGTAAGTTTAGGTTTAGTAGACTCACTCATAAAAGGCTTATGCATAAACGGCTTAGGCTTAAAGGCTTAGGTTTTGAAGGCTAAGGCTCATTAGGCATAGGATTACCAGGCATGGGATTACTAGGCTTAAGCTTAGTAGGCTTAAGCTTAGTAGGCTTAGACTCAGTAGACTTAGGCTTAGTAGGCATAGGCTTAGTAGGCTTAGGCTTAGTAGGCTTAGGCTTAGTGGGCTTAGGCTTAGTAGGCTTAGGCTTAGTAGGCTTAGTTGTAGTCTGCTCAGGTTGGTAAACAAAACACATGTAATTACAGGCTGACTAGGCTTAGGGTATGGTTTGATATGGTAAGGTAGGGTAAAGTAGAGTAGGGTAGGGTAATGTAGGTCGGAGTACTGTATGAAAAATGCTTATTAATTAAAAAAAATTTCAGTTTTTAAAAATAAAAATCGATCTCCAAATCAAGTGTCATTCTGTTTTTTTCACAGATTATTAAGCCGCTCATAAAGTAGTCGTATAAAAAATGTCTATGAGAGAGAATTAAAACCTCCCTTCTGCCTCTGGCAACGCTGACCAGCTGACGTTTCAGCTCTTCGAAGCCGCTGAATGCCTCAGACCCTCCGGGGTTTGTATATTTGTTTAAAAAAATAATCGCCGTTTTTTCTCCCATTTTTGGCACGGTAAATTATGTTTCCGTATTTTGGGTGTGGTATTTGAAAAAAAAATTGTGGTGGAGGGGGGGGAGAGGGGAGAAGTGGTTTTAAAAATTTTTGTCGAATTGTGATTTATCATTCGTCTTATAAGGCAATGATTTCAGTTAATTTTTTGGATATAAACAGTGACTTTAACACCATGGAATTTAAGTGGAAGATTTTCAGTGCAAAATGCACTAAAAATCTTTCATTCAACTTCCATTTTTAAAATATCTTAAAATGGCCTAAAAACACGTTTTTGAGCATTTTTCGGGAGTGGAAGTTTAGTGGAAGGTTTTTAGTGTATTTTGCACTGAAAATCTTCCACCCAACTTCCACTCCTAAAAAGTGTCAAAAAGTTATTTTTAGTCCATTTTAAGACATTTTTAAAATTGAAGTTGAGTGGAAGATTTTCAGTGCAAAATACATTACGAATCTTCCACTCACTTCCACTGTTTTAAAATTTTTACTTGAGTAAAAAATGGTATTTTTTAGGTAAAATACGCTAGAAAAAAGGATGTATACAAGATTTTTTATTTGTTTAGTAGGTATATGTTTTAATGTCTTGGCACTTGTTTGATTTTTAATCAAATCAAAAAACCAAAGCGAAACAAATGCCCGCCGGGCTGGATAATTTATTTTGTGTCAGGAGAAAGAAAGAAAAACGGAAAAAAATAAAAATTTGATCAAGTGTTGGCTAGGGTTGGGCGGGGTGGTTTTAATTTTCATTTTTGGAGGGGGGGAGGGGGGGGAAAAAAAATTTTTTGTTAAATAAAAAATTTTAAATGTAAAATACGGAATCCTGATATCCCCATTTCAAAAAAATTTTTTTTTGTGATAAAATGACTTTTTTTAAATTTAAAATGCCTGAGCTTTGATAAAACTCCATTGTCTGTGGCTATTTACAAGCTGTGGACATATCAGTTAATCATTGAGTTGAACGTGTTGACATCACAGCTGTCGTTAACCGGCTGAACTTTATTAATTGGGCTGGGGATCAAAGATTGGAACGATCTGTGGTCTTAATTCTACCCCTACCCCTAACTGTACCCCTTCCCCTACCCTTATTCCTACCCCTACCCCTAACTGTACCCCTACCCTTAATTCTACCCTACCCCTAACTCTACACCTACCCCTAACTCTACCCCTATCCCTACCCCTACCCCTACCCCTACCCCTACCCCTACCCCTACCCCTACCCCTACCCCTACCCCTACCCCTACCCCCCCCCCTACCCCTACCCCTACCCCCTACCCCTACCCCTACCCCTACCCCTACCCCTACCCCTACCCCTACCCCTACCCCTACCCCCTACCCCTACCCCTACCCCCTACCCCTACCCCTACCCCTACCCCTACCCCTACCCCTACCCCTACCCCTACCCCCTACCCCTACCCCTACCCCTACCCCTACCCCTACCCCTACCCCTACCCCTACCTCTACCCCTACCCCTACCCCTACCCCTACCCCTACCCCTACTCCTACCCCTACCCCTACCCATACCCCTACTCCTACGTCTACTCTTAAGCACTCTGTTTTACACTGCCCTGCCTTACTCTACACTTTTTACCATGCCCTACCCTGCCTTATTTTACCCTGCCTTGCCCTGCTTTATTTTACCTTGCCCTACCACACCTTCTACCGCTAGCTCTATCTCTCATACCTCTTTTGTAGTCTACCAAAGGCTACAGTAACCTTACCTTGCCTTAACCATATCCTACCGTAACTCCGTTCTACCGTAATCCTTATTATAATAAAAATCAAAATTTTTAAAAAATTTTAAAAATTTCGTTAAAGCTTGCTCAAATTTTCAGCTAGTCTTCGACCAACTTCCATGGTGGCGGGCTCACGGGTCGGCCTACACTTTTTGACCTCGGCGCTGAGGCTGTTGGAGCCTCGAGTCGACGATGACATTGTTGATCGCATGCACTATTTATACACTTCCATTCTCTTGTTGATGTTTGCATTGTTAGTCTCGGCCAAACAGTATGGTAAGATTTGAAGAAAGGCTTAAAATTCAGTGATTTTTGAGGTGGAAGTTGAGTGGAAATTTGTAATGTATTTTGCACTGAAAATCTTTCACTTTACTTCCATTTTTGAAAAGTCTTAAAATGACTTAAAAATGAGTTTTTGACACTTTTTGGAAGTGGAAGTTGGATGGAAGATTTTTAGTGCAAAATACATTGGAAATTTTCCACCAAACTTTCACTTCTAAAAATGATTAAAATCTTGTTTTTAGGCCATTTTAGGACATTTTAAAAGTGGAAGTTGAGTGGAAGATTTTTTGTGCAAATTACATTACAGATCTTCCACTCAACTTCCACTTTTTTAAAACTGCCATTACTTTGTTTACAGCGAAGTAAAAGAAAAAGATTGCCTTTTACTAGCTAGCCACTAGTTAAATCTACTTAAAAACTCAAAAACAATCAAATCCTTATATGATTTGTTACAGTAGGCCACCCGATAGAATGTTTCGTCCCAGCTCAATTCACTCATGCAATGGAACAGTACTCGGAGAACTATTGTTGGGTACAAAACACTTTCTTTATACCATATCACGACCACATACCACATAGAATAGAGGAGCGAGAGAAGCGGCAGATTGGGTATTATCAATGGGTACCATTCGTACTGTCAATCGCTGCTTTGATGTTTCATATGCCAGCTTCAATGTGGAGAATGCTGTCGAATCAGAGTGGTAGGGCATTTTTGGATGGCTTTTTATTGGTTTTTAAGTTTAGATTAGACTTTTTGATCATTTCGGCTTGAAAAATCGCTTATAATGATGACTTAAAAAAGTGGAAGTTGAGTGGAAGATTTGTAATGTATTTTGCACTAAAAAATCTTCCACCAAACTTCCACTTTTTAAAAAGTGTCAAAAAGTCATTTTTAGACCATTTTAAGGCATTTTGGGAATGGAAGTTAAGTGGAAGATTTTCAGTGCAAATTGCATTACAAATCTTCCACTCAACTTCCACTTTTTAAAAAAGCTTGAATTTTGGATTACAAGCTTAATTGTTGAAAAAATATGATTTTGTGATATTACTTTTTAGTACGTTCTTCTTTGAAAATGTGTTTTGACTATAATTTTTTTCATTTTCAGGCCTAAACGTCGGCCTAGTCCTTCAAACCGCCTGCCAAGAGAACAATATCGACCCGGATGTTCGAGAAAAGACGGTCGATGTTCTCACTCGTCATATTGACGAAGCGTTACAGTATCAGCGAGAGTTTGGCAGTAAAAACAGAAGTGTATTCATATTTGCACTGTTAAATGCTGGCAAGTTGTATGGTGCATATGTTTGCATGGTGTATATGTTCATCAAGATATTCCACTTGATCAATGTTATGGTGCAGTTTTATGCTCTGAATGCGTTTCTGGAGACAAGTGACTATCCATTGTTTGGTGGGCATGTTATTTATGATCTGATGAAGGTAGGGTTGATTGTTTTTATTTTTAAAAGTTGGGGGTAGGGTAGGGAAGAATAGAGTAGGTTAGGGTAGGGCAAGGTAAGGTGGGTAGAGAAGGGTAAGTTTGGGTAGGACAAGGTAAGGTAAGGTTGGGCAAGGTAAGGTAGGGTAGAAAAAAGTAAATTATTGATCGAGTAGAGCACGATAGAGTAGGGATGAGTACGGTAGGGAAGAGCAGGGTATGATAGAGCAGAATACAGTAGGGCAGGGCAGTAAAAATGAATACTTTAGGGTAGGGTAGAAAAAACGAAAATATTGAAAACAATAGTATTGTAGAATGAGGTAAGCGCTTTTTAAGATAAGGCAGACATGGGCAGAGTAGATTCATTCAATTTATAGAAAGGTAGAATGGCGAGGGGGGGGGTGAAAGGAGAGGGCTATTTAGGGGGTAGATATAAAGGGAGCATACGGGATATAGGGCATGATAGGAGCAGGTTAATGTAAGTTTGAGTAGTGTAGATTATGATAATTCAAGGTAGGGTATCACATAGATACAGTAGAGTACTGTATGGACAGGGTTTGGTATATTATGGTAGGTCTAAGCCTACCAAGTCTTCTTCTTCTAGTAAATCTTGAACAGGGTAGAGTAGGGTAGGGTAAGGTAGGGCAGAGTAGGTTACTGTTTGCTCTATAACCCCTCACTTCCAGAACAAAGAATGGAAAGAATCCGGCAAATTCCCTCGAGTAACTCTTTGTGATTTTGAAATTCGAGTACTAGGCAACATCCATCGGCATACAGTACAATGTGTACTAGTAGTGAACATGTTCACCGAGAAGATCTTCATCTTCCTTTGGCTATGGTTCGTATTTCTAGCACTGTTGAGTACCATTAACATTAGTGCATGGATGGCCACATTGGCCATACCGTCTTGTCGACGGAATTTCGTGGAAAAGTTCTTGGAACATGATGACATTACCAACGATGAGATTCATGACTTTGTTGAGGTGTTTCTACGACCGGATGGTATGTTTTACTTTAATTTAGGGTAGTAGAATAATAATAACAGGCTTTATTGGTATAACTTTCATTTTACTTATATCAAAATGTCACATTTGGACCAAAAAACGACTTTAAAAAAGTGGAAGTTGGGTGGAAGATTTGTAATGTATTTTGCACTAAAAATCTTCCATCTAACTTCCATTCTTAAAAAGTTTCAAAACGGCCTAAAAACACGTTTTTGGGCATTTTTGGAGTGGAAGCTGAGTGGAAGATTTTTAATGTATTTTGCACTAAAATTCTTCCACTAAACTTCCACTGTTAAAAAGTGTTAAAAACGTGTTTTTAGACAATTTTACGACTTTTTGAAAATGAAAGTTAAGTGGAAGATTTTTAGTGAAAAATACATTAGAAATCTTCCACTCAACTTTCACGTTTTTAAATTGTAAAAAAAGGTAAAATACGTCGACGGTAGCATTTGGTGAATAAAAATTATTTTAAAAAAGTTGATAAAAAATCTGTTTAAATAATTTTTTTCCAATTTTAATCAATTTTTAGGTGTATTCCTCCTCAAAATGATATCAATTCACGCTGGAAACATGATGTGCTCACGGTTAGCGACACGGCTAAGAGAGAAACATGTTATATATTATCGACAGAAGGCGTTAGATGCCAGTATCGCATCGAGAAAGGAGTCTACACCTGGTTCGGTACGACGAAGGCATCGCAGTGGAGAACGACGATTGTCAAGAACGTCGTCGCACGGTGAGAGGAGTTTGATGGAGACCGTGCCGAAGATCAATCAACACTTTGATCCGAGTTTGCCTAATTTGGCCAATATTACTGATACAAGGCATTATGTGTAGTGGAATAGCTTGATGTAAGCCTAAAGTAGTCTTAAGTTTAACATTTTTAATTTTTTAAGCTTAGGCTTAGTAACTTCAAATGCTCAGATTAATGCTTTGGACTTTTGAGCTAGGGCTTAGTAGGCTTAGGCTTAGTAGGCTTAGGCTTGACCGGCTTAGGCCTAGTAGGTTTAGGCTTAGTAGGCTTGTTAAGCCTGAAATGATATTGAACCAAAAAAACGTTTTTAGGTCTATAATTTTTGGAAGCCTAAAATATACCTTATATCCTTCAGTTTTTTCTTTCTTTCACTGCCTATAGGATCACTATGATCACCATGTTCTGTTATAATCTTAGTAAAATCAAACTAACAATGCCATATTGAAATTCTAATTTAATTTTGTTTTTGATCTCACAAATATTATTATACGTTGTCTTCTTGAATTTTTAAGGCTTAGATAAAACTTCCACTTCAAAAAAGTGCCAAAAAGTCATTTTTAGGCCATCTTAATACTTTTTGAAAGTGGAAGTTGAGTGGAAGATTTTTAGTGCAAATTGCATTACAAATCTTCCACTCAACTTCCACTTTTTTAACTGGTACAAAACGTGGGTTTTTGGCCATTTTATGGTTTATAAAGACAGTTTCTGCCATTTTTGGCCTTTGTAAAGAAAATTATTGCCGTTTTAACTCCTGTAAAGACAGTTTTTGCCATATTCTCTTTTGTAAACAAAGTTATTGCCCTCAAGCTTCAAATTTATAATTTTATTTGTTTCATAAGAATTGTAAATACACAATAATTAATAGTATATATCAACAATAAGGTGTGAAAATAAATATTGAGTAAAATAATAATATTCTTGAAGTGATTACACAATATAATATTGATTATTATTCATTAACAAGATGTAACAGGTTTCGAGTATTCATGAGATTTGATGTTAATATGTAGGTATAATAAGTTAGAACACGTTTTTTTAGGCCTAGCAAGGGCATGGACAAGCCTTTTTTGGGGGTAGGGGAGGGTGGGATAAGGTAAGGTAGAGTAGGGTAGGGGCTGAGGTAGGGGTGTGGTACGGTATGGGTAGATACAAAGGTACGGGTGGGGCAAGGGCCGATTTAAAGAAAATTACAAAAGGCGTGGTAAAAAATAGCCCAAAAAAGTTAAGGGCATGGTAAATTTTTCCATTTTTTTCTTGGGCGGGGTAAAAACTTTAAAAAATTTGGGCGGGGTAGATTTTCAAAATAAGGTTTGTTTACACTCACTAGACCTAATATATGCTACAATATAGTCGTTTTAAGCACAGTACGACCTAAAAATGGCAAAAAAATCAAAATTTTTTCAAATTTTTAAAAAATATCAAAAAAATTTTTTTTCCTAAAAAATTTTGAAAATCGAAAAACAAAGCCATTTTAGAGTAATACTGTACCAAAAACCGTCATAAAAACTAAAAAAAAGGTAAAATGGATATAAAAGTATGGTAATGGTGTTGGTACAACATCAAAGGCCTCGGTTCATAGATGTCAAGTGTAATATAAGGGGGGTAAATGGAAAGACCGATGTGTTAAAGACGTTCAGCCTAAGGGCTATTTTGTTAAAAAATTTAAAAAAATTACTAAAAAATTTTTAAAAATGAAAAAATAATGAGTTTTGACGAAAAAATGGCTAAAAATGACATTTTTGGTACTAAAAAGACAGTTTTTTGGTAAAAAATAGTACTGTTAGTGCCAAAATATATTTAAAATGATAAAACAGACCCTTTGTTACCCAAAAAACTGCTTTTGCTGACCAAAAACTTTCAAAACTTTAGTGATTAGAGGATAAAAGATACCTAAAAATGATAATTATTAAGGTTAAAAGTACAAAATAAGACTATATACTGGTCATAAAACAAGTAAAAAACGGTCATTTTGCCAAAAATAGGTCTATATTGATCATAAAAAAGCCATTTTAAGCTTAATTTCAAATTTAAAAAAAATGGAAGTTGAGTGGAAGATTTGTAATGTATTTTGCACTAAAAATCTTCCACCAAACTTCCACTTCTAAAAAGTGTTAAAAACGCGTTTTTAGGCCATTTTAAGACATTTTTAAAATGGAAGTTGAGTGGAAGATTTTCAGTGCAAAATACATTACAAATCTTCCACTCAACTTCCACTTTATAAAACGGCACTTTTGGGCTTTTAAGCCAAATTTTAGGAAAGTTATTGGAAAATATAGGTTTTTGATGGCAAAATCGACTGTTTTTACTATATTTTCGACCAAAAATGAGAGGATAATAGGTTTAAAATGGCATTTTTGTCAGTTTTTGGCTAGAAAATGTCATTTTAACCATTTTAAACAAAATAAATTTTAAAAAATGTTAAAAAATAAAAAAATCAATTTGGTGAGTTGCTCCTTCTTTGCACATCAATACTCTCGTCGCTCGAGTCCTGTCGCGACAATGGGCTTTGCTCCTCGACCAGGTTCGGCGACAGGTCCAGCGAACTTGTCGCGACGGTCGGGTTTGTCGCGTTAACAAAGTTAGCGATGGTTTTGTCTTCGAGCGATGAGAAAATGTTCATTTGGTTGCTGGCCGACTTCAGCAACGCCTGCAACGCTTCGTTGTTGGCTTGGCTTAAGGCGTTCAGGGGGTAGTCGGTGGCACCTTCGGCCCGTGAGAACGGCCTGAGGGGCTGGGAGGAGGAGTGGGAGATGGGGTCTGAAAGAACAAGGTTAATTTAGTTTTGAAATTTAAAAAAATCTTAAAACATAGACATAAAAGTAGAAAAAATTTAAAAAATTAAGCCTAAAAATGGAAAAAATTAAGAAATATAAGCCCAAAAATAGAAAAAAAAACAAAAAATGTGCCCAAAATCACAAAACAAGCTAAAAGATAAGCCTAAAAATCATGCCAATGAACCCAGAATCAAAAAAACCCTCATTTAAAAAGTGGAAGTTTGGTGGAACATTTGTAATGTAATTTGCACTGAAAATCTTCCACTCAACTTCCATTTTTAAAATGTCTTAAAATGGCCTAAAAATGACTTTTTGACACTTTTTAAAAGTGGAAATTGAGTGGAAGATTTTCAGTGCAAAATACATTACAAATCTTCCACAGAACTTCCAATCCCAAAAAGTGTCAGTCATTTTTAATGTAAAATACGACGTTACCAGCAATTTATGTTTTAAATTTGATTAGTTTTTGATGTTTTAAGACGTTAAAAATTGTATTTTAAGCCTAATTTCATTTTTTTCTTAATAAAGAATTACTTTTTTTTAAAATTCTTACCATTAAGCCTAAGAGTATTGGCACCAGCACTCATCGGTGCAAAGAGTTCATCAATGACAAGCCTAGGACTCTGACTTCTGGCCCTTTTGTTCTCCACCTCCATCTGCAAGTCCTCGTTCGCGCCCTGCCCAAAGTGGGCCGCAGCTCGCGACAACAAAGTGAGAGGATTGGTACCATTGGTACTGTTAGGCTGGGTTACGTTCTGCAATAAGTCCAAGAATTGGGCTTGTTGCAGCATGTTTAAGGCGTTCTGTTGATGATGAATATCTGTGGCTGGGGCTGGACTAGACGCGGCCGAGTCGCCAGCGTTCTTCAGTGCTAGCGCAGCACGTGCTACGGCCGCGTTGGAACGTTGAGGTCGACGTTTGTAAAACTCGGAGTCGTCCACCGTCCATACCGCTCCTTTCACGTTCTGCTCGACTCGAGCGAAACATTTGTGGAGCGATAAGTTGTGGCGAACTGCGTTCTGAAACGACAAAACTTATTAAAAGTGTACTTTAAAATGATAAAAATAGCAAAAACTTTCTTTACAAAACCAAAAAATTCCAAAAACTACCCCAAAAGTCCATAAAAAGTCAAAAAATTCAATTAAAAACCAAAAACGGTCTTTTCAAAAAATGGAAGTTGAGTGGAAGATATGTAATGTAATTCGCATTGAAAATCTTCCACCTAACTTCCATTTTCAAAAAGTCTTAAAATGGCCTAAAAACACGTTTTGGAGCATTTTTGGGAGTGGTAGTTTGGTGGAAGATTTTCAGTGCAAATTACATTGCGAATCTTCCACTAAATTTCCACTTCCAAAAAGTGCAAAAAATTTTTTCAGGCCCTATAAGACCCTTTTAATGCTTATCTAAGCCTTAAAAGTGCCATTTATATTGTTATCCCGTTAAAAACCCACCTTCCAAGTAGCGGCATTCCTTCTAAAATAAGCAAAAGTCTCCTGAAACCACTGATAAATCTCATTCAACGTCAACTGTCGATCCTTCGACTCCATGATGGCTTGTCGTATCAATGAAGCATAGGTATAAGGCGGTCGAACATCGTTATTCTTGTAATACTCGCGATTTTTGGCAATATCCGCCCCAATTGGCAGTACGGCTTTGTCCGACACCCGCCTTCTGGCCTGGTTTGAAGACGAAGCCATTGGGTTGGGCGAGTCGGACGGTGAGGTACCAGCGAGACTAGGCGCACCAAACATGTCACGAGTCTCGGATCTTGAAGGGGAGAGTGAAGGCGAATGAGGCGTGGGCAGGGGTTGGACCGCATCTTGTTCAGATTTTATTGACCGGTTGGAGGAGTCGGACTGAAAAAGATCGTACTCGTTAGCATCGTACTGTAAAAATTTAAAAATGTGATTTTCTAGCTCTAAAAAAGCCTATAAAATCACTTTATAGCCTCCGAAAATAAAATTATGGTCATTTTTTCGCTAAATTTCTAATTGAAAAAAATGGAAGCTGAGTTGAAGATTTGTAATGTATTTTGCACTCAAAATCTTCCAAATGTTTCAAAAAAACAATTTTTTCGCGTTTTGCGCCGAATAATAATATTGGAAATGGCAGGGTTAGAGGAGGTTGGAACAGACAAGAGAGGGTTTGGAAGGGGAAGTAACTACTAGTAGTATGAGGGGGGGGTGGTCATAAAAAAATTATGGTAAGAGGTAAGGATGGGGTATGAGCAAGACAAAAAATTGGGGTAAAGACCAGAAAAATAGTAGTGGCATGGAGGGTAGGGGTAGTAGAGGGTATATGTACAACATAATGATAAGGGCAGGGGTCATGAAAAAGACAGAGCTCGGAAGGGGGCATAGTAAGGTTTTGAAAGTCACTGTAAATTTGAAAAAAAAACATTCTTGTTGCTTTTGATTCCGTATTTTACCTAAAAGTATAATTTTCACCCATTTTAAGAAAGGTTTAAAAAGTGGAAGTTGAGTGGAAGATTTTCAGTGCAAAATACATTACAAATCTTCCACCCAACTTCCACTCTTTAATAAATACCTTTTCTTGTACCGTAAAGAAAGCTAGTGCCATTATACACCCAAAAAGTCATTTTTAAAAAGATTTCAAACTTACAGCGCCGATATTAGCACCAGGAGCGCTGTTTTGTTGTGAGAATGAGTTCAAAATGTTCGAACTGGCCGATGAAGCCGACATATTTGAGGCCACATTGCGTTGGAAATTGCTTGGTGGGTTTGATGCTGACACGCCAAAAGTTGGTTTCTGAAATTTTTTGAAATTCTAAATTTTTTTTGAATTTAATAATGTGGACAGGTTTCATCGTATAACATGTCCGTTTTTTAAATTTTGATAAAACAGTTAACAATACTAATGAAGCTGACCATAAAGATGCGTATTTGACACTATTTTTTGATATTTGCATTTTAGGTGACATTTTATACGATGAAGTACGTCCGTACACGTTTCATCGTATAACGTGTCCCTTTTTAAAATTTTAGCAAAACAGCTGATCATACTTACAAGTCTGATCATAAAAGCGCGTATTTTACATTAATATTTTAGGTGACAAGTTATACGATGAAATGTGCCCGTACATGTTTCATCGTATAACATATCACTTTCAATTTTTTTATAAGAATTTTACTGCTTAAAACGATTTGTTTGGACATTCTAACATGAAATTGTTTCAAATTCTCAACTTTGATGTTCCAAACATTCCGTCGAGATTAACAAGGTTGACATACACCATGTTTACTATGGTATATGTTAATCCCGGTGCAATAAGTTCAAGTCAAAATGTAATAAACTATAAAATTTTAATCCTTACTACATTGAAACATACGAAAATGTGTTATTTATATTTCGAGATTAGTATTTTCAACTATATTTCGACTTATCAATGAATGCATTAGGTACCGACATAAAGAACCCGCCATTTTTTGCAGGCAATTACAGGTAAAATGTGGCGGGTTCTATATGTCGGCACCACCATGACAAGACTACATGTTATAACTCGTTAATTTACCGAGTATAATACCCTCATACTCAATAGTATTGTGTTTAGTAATGAGTACACATGTGTCAGGGATTAGATTTTCGTATTTCATGAAATTATTTGTAAACACATACGACGATAATCTGCTTTACATTGTTGTCGACCAGTAGATTAGCGTCGTATGTTAATTACTATGTAGTGGAAACCCACTCAGAGTATTAACATTTTATACGGTATGGGGTGTTTAAACATGTTTTTTGTCATTTTTAAAAATTTTTAAAAAGTGACATGATATACGATGAAATGTGTACGGGCAAGCATGTTTAACATCGTATAACATATCATCTAAAACTCAAATTAAAAAGTAATATGAAATACGCATTTCCATGGTCAATGTTGTTAGTATTGTTGACTGTTTCGTCAAATTTTCAAAAACCGACATGTTATACGATGAAACATGTCTGGATATATTTTATCGTATAACATGTCACCTAAAATGCGAATATTAAAAATTAGCGTAAAATGCACATTTTCATGATCAGAATTGCCAGTATAGTAAGCGATTTTGCCATAATTTTTAAAAGGGACATTTTATACGATGAAACATGTCCAACCTTTTAAAATGTTTCACCGTATAACTTGTCCCTGACATAAAAAAATTAAAAATCTTTTTATATAGTCTCTTTTGTCTATTTTCAATCATATTTTATCATATTTTTTGCTAAAACATTCAAAATGTGACAAGTTATACGATAAAACATGTTCCCCATAAAACATGTTTCACCGTATAAAATGTCCCAAAAAACCATAAATGCCAAATTTAGTAAAAACTAGTGCCTACCTGCTCAACATCCCCAAATCCAGCCTGACTAACTTTCGGCGACATCATGGGGCTTCGATTCGTCACGGTGGTTGATGGTTTTGTCACGTTCAAGCCTAGCAATGGCTGTGTGGAATCTGGAGAATGCTTCATCTGAAGATGCTGCATCATTGCCTGAAGACGAGATCGTTCCTCATTCAGTCGATGCTCCAGCCCATCCACAATCCCAATCTGAAGCTTGTACTGAGCGATCGTCGTTTCGTCCGTAGCGTGCGACGAGTTCAGATGCTGCATGAAGGACGCCATGGAATCACAGTGGGCGTTGCACTGTAGCCATTGACATGTATTGTTACTGTACAAGGGGTGGGCTAAAAATTTTTTGTGTAAAATACGGAGTGTATTCATAAAAATTATTTAAAAACTAATTTGGACAGATTTTGAAAGTTTTTTAAAAGTGGAAGTTGAGTGGAAGATTTGTAATGTATTTTGCACTGAAAATCTTCCACTCAACTTCCATTTTCAAAAAGTCCTAAAATGGCCTAAAAATGGATTTCTGACAATTTTTTGAAGTGGAAGTTTGGTGGAAGATTTTTAATGCAAATTACATTGCGAATCTTCCACTAAATTTCCACTTCCAAAAATGCTCAAAAACGCGTTTTAAGTCATTTCAAGGCACAAAAAGACAAGAAAATACCCCAAAATGCAAAGAAATAGCCCAAAAAAGCCACAAAAATATCCCAAAAACCCAATATGACACTAATAAAACCCATTGTAAAACCTTACATAGCGGATCACCAAGACCAGTGCCAATCCCAATCGGCGTCCTCGACCCGAGGCCACCGGGCAAAAGCTGTTGACCCAACAAGTTCCCACCCAAACCGGGCAGGTTGGCCAACAGCTGAAGGTCCAACAACGAATTACTTAACAAGTTCGGGCTGCGATTCAAGTTCAGGCCCAGCTGAGGTTGCGGGTTCATTAAGAGGTTCTGCAGTGTGCGAAGATCCAATTGATTGAGTTGCGACTGTTGCGAGTGCGGTAGCTGACGGCCCATCCCGTCCGAAAGGGCCAACATTAACTGTTCTTCCAGCTGAAAATATTAAAGTTTTAGGTAATATAGCAATGAAAAAGTTCAAAATGTAAAAAATATATCGAAAATTAAACTAAACACAAAATATATCCCCAAAACTTTCTTTACATCCAAAAAGACAAGCAATTTCAAACACTTTTAAGAAGTGGAAGTTGAGTGGAAGATTTGCAATGTATTTTGCACTAAAAATCTTCCACTAAACTTCCATTTTTAAAATGTATTAAAATGGCTTAAAAACACGTTTTTGAGCATTTTTAGAAGCGGAAATTTAGTGGAAGATTTTCAATGCGACATACATTATAAATCTTCCACTCAACTTCCACTTTGATTTTTTTCAAAAAATTGGTATATACAGTGATAAAATGACTACAAATACAAGAAAAAGCAAGAAATAAGCCTAGAAGGATTAAAAGCGCAAAAAAAATTTTAAATTAAAAAAAAATTTTTTTTGAATTTTAGGTAACAAATTGCTACAAAAAATTCAAAACAACATCAATAAGACATTACCACCCCTTTTAATTTCAAAATCCATCTCAAAAAAAGCTATTTTTAACAAAAAACCAAAACTTGTTACCTAAAATACTAAAAATTTATATTATCCCTGCCATTTTTGCGCCACATCTCTCAAATTTTTACCAAAAACCCCTGAAAAACTAAATATATCTATTCTTAAACCAATTTGTAGTGTGAAACGGCTAATTCCACCTAAATATACACCTACTTATACCCATGTTTTATAGGTTTAGCTGGCTAAAATTAGCAGAAATACAAAAATAATTACAGAATGGAGACGTTCTTTGGCCGAAAAGTCAAAAGATTAACACAATTTGACGAATTTCGGGTTTGAAAACAAACAAAGATTACAGCTATGATGTTTTGACATAGTTTTTGGTTTGAAATTTTAAAAAAGAATGTCATTTTAAGTATAAAAGAGACAAAAAGGACTGTTTAGCAAAAAAATCAGTGGTTTTTTTCCCCGAAAAGCCCCGAAAAGCGAACTTTTGTGGAGAAAAAACGCGAGCGGGTCGATTTCATATAAAGAAAACCGTTGATCCCGTGGACCCGCTCACGTTCAGCTCCAAAAAAGTTCAAAGACAAAGCGGCGGCTCGCGGAATAAAATGAAACAAAAATATATTCTAGTAGATTTACTTTAACTGAACCTTTATATAAATGAAAGTTAGCAAATATTCAATATAATATAACTAGAAATAGTTCTAAGTTAGACGAACTCCTAGGCTACAAGTAAGCAAAAAAATGACAAAAACCTATATTTTTTTTAAAATGAAAGATCAGTGGAAGATTTGTAATGTAATTTGCACTGAAAATCTTCCACTGAACTCTCATTTTCAAAAAGTATTAAAATGGCCTAAAAATGAGTTTTTGGCACTCTTTGGAAGTTGAAGTTTAGTGGAAGATTTTCACTACAAAATACTTTACAAATCTTCCAATCAACTTCCACTTTTCAAACTGCATTTTGAGCATAAAAAAGTTATTTTTAGGTAAAATACGAGTTAATGAGATATTTGTATTCTTTCTTTTAAAATTTTGACCGAATCCGGCCGGAGGTGGGGCGGATTATTTGCGCGTAAACAGCGGATTAGGGGTTGATAATGTAATAAAATGTATACGACTACCATGGTAAACATACAACGTATGTTTGGCACGGATTAGTCAATTTAATTGACGCACTTCTGAAGGCCCTACGGTAGGAGAGTTATTCGTTTTAATGTAATTTGGGATAAATATGAGATAAACTGGCATTATATTGTGTTTTAAGGTCAAGGGGACAAGTTATACGAAATGGGTGACATGTTATACGAAAGATGACAAGTTATACAAGAAATGACATTTTATAACAAAACATGATAAAAAGCAATGTCTTAGGCTTAGAAAAGAATTATAACATCCCCAAAAAGCGTTTGAAACCCCATTTTATCAATTTTCAGCAAAAATGGAATTTTTCAAATTTTCGTGCCGGGACCTAAAATATTCAAAAAATTTTAACTTTTAAGTTTCTAAAGCACTAAAATGGCAAAAATCAACTTAAAATTGATAAACGTGTACTAAAATAGCAGTCCCTAACATTTTTTAACCCAATATTTTTGATTTTTTGAATGTATCATATTTTACCGCAGAATATGTTAAAAAATAGTCTAAATAATATTCAAATTACTGACTACAGATTATTACTACATGTATTTACATTTGTAATCTCATATGTTGTCAGGCTCCGCCCACTAACACCTCATTAAACCACCAACTACAATATGTTGATGTCTTCGGATTACCCTTTACACACCTCACGTAAGGTTTTTACATTACTCTTTGATACTGACGTACTACGGTTTTTAAGTTTTGGTATGTAGTACTATATAGTACTAAGTTGGTACTTTGTAGCGCTTGTGCACCTAGGGTAATGTACAGTAACTTATGAGTAAAAATAGTGTTGTATAGTGTTTTTTATACTAAAATGTAGTTTTTAAATGCTACGTTGTTGTAAAAACTACTAAAAATTGTAAAAACAACCCAAGCCTCAACTTTTTGTAGCAAATTACAAAACATAATTAAATACCTAGAATGTTGCATACACAACACCATCGTATCATGTTGTGCCATGTTTTTACAAGTTGGATGACAAGACTGTACATTTGCATTTATAGCGACAGTTTGTTTTGGTTTTAATGAAAAAAGACAAAATAACGTCAAAAGGTCCGACCCATGAAAGGAAAAATAGTTGGAGGTACTTCAAAAAAGAGACGATTAGTTATGTTACAGTAAGCATAGAACTATGAAAAATGACGCGGATGTTCAAAATAGACTGTAAAATCTTAAAACATCACACAATTTTAAAATTTTGCTTTATATCTGATAGAAAATGACATTAGAAACAGTTTTTAACAAGCTTTAGGAAAAAGAGTACGCGGCAATAAAAACCAATTTAAAAATGTTACAGTAACCTTAAAAGTAAAACAAATGAAATGCAGTTTCAGAAAGACGATAGAATCATAAAATGGCCCAAACTGTTCAAAATTCGCTTTAGTTGATAGAAAATTACATTAAAAAAAGTTTCCAACAAACTTTAGTGCAAGACGCGACATTAAAAGTATCTTTAAAAATGTTACAGTAACCGTTGATCTACACGAAATGACAAGTAAGTACAAAATAGACTGTAGTGGCTTTACAAGACATAAACTTTTAAAAAATCGCATTATAACTGATAGAAAATAGCATTCAATCAAGCTTTCCCTGTGTGCCAAGGAACAAAGTTCTAACGAAAAAAAAACTCATTTTAACTATGTTACAGTAACCCAAACTAAACAAAAATTTTTAAAAAACTGCCAAAATGAATGTAGTTTATCATTATGTAAAAGATTTTCAGAATTTCTAATTACGACCAGTCGAAAAATAGGTTTAAAGGCAACATTTTGCTCATATTTCGCCCTGTGTCATCTCATTTAAAATCAGTTTTAAATAACCAAAATTATCGAGAAAAGCCAAAATTATCATTAACAAGTTCCAGTAATAGCCCTCTAATCTAAATACAAGTCACAAATTACCGCCACAATTGTAGTGTAATTGCCACTGTAGAATGTACTATTACATTGCCTCCGTATGACCTATTACAACCACTTTAAATTCGTAAAAACTTTGTATTTTACAATGTAAACCCATAGTAAAACCTTAAAAGTTGTACACAAGTGTTACGTTACTCTCTTACTACACTTATCATTAGTAATATTTACAATGTTTTAAGTATAGGTATGGGGATACTATAAGTACATCAATGTAAGTGATCACGTAGGTGTAACTTGTTGTATATGTTTGTTTAAAGTGCTCAATGCTGTTAAAAGTACATTGTTTGTCAGTTTTTTACTTTATAATCAAATAAACCACATTACTATGGGTTCAAGTTTTGTGTACTTTTAAGCGCAAAAACTTTGTTTACAAAAAATTTTAAAAAGTTGAAAAAGACATACTTAAAAACAACCAGTAAGCTCATATTTTCCATTTTAGACCCCAAAATATGCTTCAAAATAAGTAAAAACCCAATATCCCAAATTTAAAAAAGTGGAAGCTGAGTGGAAGATTTGTTATGTATTTTGCACTAAAAATCTTCCACTCAACTTCCATTTTTCAAATGTCTTAAAATGACCTAACAACATTTTATGACCACCCCCCCCCCTCATACTACTAGTAGTTACTTCCCCTTCCAAACGCTCTCTTGTCTGTTCCAACCTCCTCTAACCCTGCCATTTCCAATATTATTATTCGGCGCAAAACGCGAAAAAATTGTTTTTTTGAAACATTGTAAACATTCCGAGCGAAAACAAAATGTTTTTGCCACAGGGCCCACAAATAATAGCCCAGAAGCGTAATCGATTATTCGGCATTACTTTGGGGCCGCGGGCCGTTGTTCCCTTTCCGAAAAAAAAACAAATATTCCGCCTCAGGGCGTGACACAAAATAAACATGAAAATGAAAAAATGATAAAGTAAAAGATTGTACTATAAAGTAATAGTAAAGTAAAAAAGATGATACCTGGGCCGGGCGTGGACTTTTAGTCTGGGGGTCGAAAAATCCACAGGGGGGACTACGTTCAACTTTTTTTTTCCAAAAATCCACAGGGGGAACCACGTTCAACTTTTTTCGAAAATTTTTTTCTGGGGGACATAAAGAAGTCGTAAACTAAAAAAGATGGTACTGTAAAAGTGATAGTATAAAGATAGTACTGTAAAACTAGTAGTAAAGTAAAAAATAGTATTAGAAAAAAAACTCGTGCTAAACTTCAAAAAATTTTGAAATTGAAAAATTTTGTTTACAAGCATTATTGACCTTTAAAATTAGAAGTATTTAAAAAAAGGGTCGTATTTTACACCTAAAAATGTCACATTCGCTCCAAAAATCAATTTAAAAAAGTGGAACTTGAGTGGAAGATTTGTAACGTATTTTGCACTGAAAATCTTCCATTCAACTTTCATTTTAA